AGCGGACAGTATCATCCAGAAGTCAGGTCTCTCCAAGAACGCAGAAGATCTCCTCACAATTTCAAAGGCGGACGAACCTGATCAGGTCACTGACGTCCAGGCTCTGATCAACCGAGTTCATGCTTTGTTCATGGCGTTAGAGTACCTGAACATTTGCACCTACTCCAAGAAGGCAGGGCCGCTCAAGTATATGCAGGAGCTCGAACTTTTCCGCGCAGAATGTCCAGGGCTCCCGAACTTGATGGCCGCAGACGCCCTGATCAGGAAGAAGGTCCATCGCCAGCAGTCAGAACAACGCCAGCTCTACCCCACTTTTGAGGATGCAATGCTCGAGGTGCTCAGCAACCACAAATACATCTGGAACGATGCTCGCACCAAAGCTGCACTCTCGCGGGTGGAGAAGAAGAAGGACGAAGTTCCTGAGGAGTCAGATCGCGTTCTCGAGACGCCGCCCAAGAGCTCACCCAACAAAAGACGCAAGCGCAGGGCCAGAGACAAGGAGCTCATGCGCGAGGCCAAGATCGCCCGCCGCGCCAAGACCGAAGCAACTCCGAAAGCCAAGGCTGGCGCAAAGGTGGACAAGGTCGACAAGGACAAACGCATTCCAGAATCGGAATGGAAGGCGATCACCCAAGCTGCTGGCTCGGTCACCGGGCCTAAGCGCTGCCATTACTACAACTCGTCTATGGGGTGCTCCTTGGGCGACAAGTGCAGGTTCAAACATCTTTGCATGGTTTGTGGGTCTGCTCACTCGATGGTGGGCAACCACTGATCGATCAGTGCCACAACAGAGCTCGCGGGTGATGGCAAGGCGAATGATGATCTGATGTCTGATCTGACAGCCTGGCCTTCACCTTTTTGGGGCTCTCAGTTCATTCCCTCTGCAAAGGGATTTTTCCTGGAAATTTTCGCAGGAGAGGCAGGTCTCACACAGGCAATCCATGCGCGAGGCCAAAAGTTTCTCCCGCCGATCGAGATTTTACCCAACAATTTTGTTTTGGATGCGGTGGACATTTTGGACCAACAGGTCGTCCTCCACATCAAGAAGCTGATCGCAGCAGGTTCTTTATTTTTCATCCATTTTGGCACGCCATGTTCCTCCTTCAGTTTGGCTCGAAAGGACGATGGTGGGCCTCCTCCCCTGCGCGATCGCGCTAATTTGTGGGGACGGCCAAACCTTCGGGCCTGCGACATTGAGAAGGTCCAACTAGGCAACCAGTTCATGGCCATCACTGCGGAGCTGGTCACCATGTGCCACAGATGTTCAGTCGGTTGGTCTGTCGAAAATCCTGCCGGTTCTTTCTTGTGGTCGATGCCCCCGTTCGAGGCCATTGAGACTTTGCCGCAAGTCGAACGGTACCTGCTCGACATGTGCAGGTTCGGCTCCCCCCACAAGAAGCCAACCGCAATACTCTCCAACCGAGATCTGCGCACGTTGGCGCTGCTGTGCGATCGCCCGGTGCGACCTCATGACCATGAACCACTGGTGGGCATGATCGTCGTGGAGGGCAAGAAGGTGTTCAAGACCAAGCTGGCTCAAGTTTATCCACATGAGCTCTGCTCAACATGGGCGCAAGCAATTTGCGCTGATCAGCAAGAGGTTTTGGCTCGTACTTTTGCGTGGTCACAGCCAAGTGACGAACGCAAGCGACCAGTGGGGCAAGCAATCCCCTGGTCGGGCCACAAGCAACAGGTCACCGCTCAGAAGGCTCTTGCAGCGGGATATCAGCTCAAGCGGTCTGCTTTGCCCCCGCTTCTGCAGATCGAACTGGAACCTGGCGAAGCTGTTCGCAGGGCGCTGCAACTGCAACATCCTTTCACGGTCGACCCTGCTCTGGAGCCCGATCTCCAAGAAGCTTTGGCGCTCGCCGTGCTTCATCCTGCCCAAGTGGAAGGTCATCGCAGAGGTGCTCTTCAATTTTGGCAAGAGCGAGCCGAACGCTTGCTCCCTGCCACCGAAGCTATTCTGAACCAAGTGAGTGGTCCTTTCCTTCGTGCTCTTTTGCGCGGAGGCCCCGATTCTCAACCTCTTGAGCTGGGGGAGGTCACTCACATTGCTCTTTGGCGTGAAATGCTTCAGGCCGCTCGGTGCATCGACGCCTCGCTGCTCGATGAGATGCTGGGGGGCTTTCGCATTGTTGGGCCTATCCAACGCTCTATGCGATGGGCATTGCTTCCTTTTCCTGAAGAGTCCATGGCCGAGACGGAGCTCGTCGAGAGGGCCTGGGAGTTCTTTGAGAAAGTGGTCAAAAATGTGGAGCGGTCAGAGGTGACCGATAACACTGAAAAGATCTGGGAAGCTACGATGGAAGATGTTCGTGAAGGCGCAACAGTGGGTCCATTTTTCTCCAAGGCAGAGGTGGACAAGTTCTTGGGGGTTAAAGACTGGATCCCCACCCAGCGCTTCGAGGTCGTCCAAAAGAATAAGGTCAGAGGTGTAGACAGTGCCACGGTCAACGGCATCAATATGGCCACCAAGATTGTGGAGAAGCTCGACCTGCCATCTACAGATGTCAATGTAGCGGCGCTCAGATGGATGAGATCTCACTGCTCTGAAGGCCAAGCACTGCTCGGGTGGGTCCTGGATGAACGCAAAGCCTACAGGCAGATCCCGATCCATCCCGATCATCGCAGGTGGAGTGTCATTTCGCTCCGTGATCCTGGCAGTGGTAAAGTGGCTTTCTTTGTGATGATTGGTCATTCGTTTGGCCTGGTCGCAGCCGTATACAACTACAATCGTAGGTCTGCAGCCATAACTGACATTTTGAGAAGACTTTTTCAAGTTGCTGCTTTTAATTTCTATGACGACAAGTAGGGCTTCGAGACAGAAGCTACATGTCGATCGGCTCACCAAGTTGCTCAACGGGTGCATTTCTGGTTGGGAGCGAAGTTCGATGCCAAGAAATTGCAGCTCTGTTCCGACCCCACAATTTTAGGGGTCACCTACGATCTGCAAGCGATGTGCCTGAGGATCAAGCCGTCGAGAAAGGAAGAGCTGCTCGACGAAATTGACTCAATTGTCACTTCGGGCCTTTTGCCCCCTGGTCAAGCCGGCAAGTTGCGGGGCAAGCTCATGTTTGGAGCATCGCAGCTTTGGGGGAAGATCGGAAGAGCTTTTCTCCGTGTTCTATCGGAGAGGCAGTACTCGAAGTTCCCTCACACGGGGCTCACAAAGGCGCTTAAGCTCGCGCTGGTGCACTGGCGTTTGCTCATTAAGGACGGTCCTCCTCGACAGATCTCTACGTGCACCAACAAGCCTGCTGACTTCGTGATCTTCACTGACGGCAGTTTTCCTGATGGGAAGAGTTCTCTTTTGAAGCCGTGGATAGGAGGGGTGCTCTTCTCCAGGGGATGCCGACCTGTTCAATTTGGTTGCGAGGTCAGTCAGAAGCTGGTTAAGAAGTGGCTGCCTAGGAAGTCGCAGATTGCTATGATCGAGTTGCTGGCGACGGTCGTTGCTTTGAAGACCTTCGCTCCTCGGCTCCGAGGCTCTTTGGCATTGCTCTTCGTCGATTCTGAGCCAGTTCAAGGCGCGCTGGTGAAAGGCTACTCGTCCAAAGAAGATTTTTGTGAGCTCATAGGAGTATTTTGGAGATGTGCACTTGATCTAGGTGTCAACATTTACATTGATAGGGTTCCTACTGATTCCAATCCAGCTGATCCTCCATCTAGAAGTCGGATGGACATCGGAATAGGTCTAGGTTGGGAAACTATCGATCCTTGTTTCCCTTAGGGCATGCGGCGTGGGTCTGTCATTTGATTTTGCTTGAGGATGTTCATTTCATTTTGTGAAGCTGATTTATTTCATTTGTGAAGCTGATTTATTTCTGTGATTTCAATTGAGTTGATCCAGCTCAGTGATTGATGCGAGCAGATCCCGCTCGGAACTTGATCGTCAGTCGATTTGATTTCATTTATTTGATCAGATCAGCAGACAGAACAGTCTGCAGCATTTTTCAATAGATCAGATTAGCAGACAGAAAGGTCTGCTGATCCATCCTCACTACCCACGTCTTCGGGGATGGAAAACGTGTGTTCGCTGCTAGTGCAGTGCATGTGTTCACATGCACGACAGAGAGCTTGATTGGATCACTTATTGACGGTTGGTTGGTAGGAATAAGTGGGTCAATCTCCAGCTCGGGGCACTTGCTGCGATCGCGTCATCTCCTTGCTCTTGTTCTTTTATTTGATTGGAAGGATCTGCGAAAGAATTTGAACTGATCATTCTTTATTTTATTTACTGAGTTGGAAAGATCTGTGAGAGGAATTGATTTGATCTTGTGCCTGATCGGGCTCGTTTGTGAATTGAGCATTCATTGGGATCAGGGTCAGATCTCAATGCCATTTTGGCTCAAGATCTGACCCACCTTGATCGATCATTTCTTTTGGTCCCATCCCTCAGCCACCCTCTGTTGAATCAGGGGGAATTTTCGATTTGCTTTGCAGGGGTCTGTCATTTGATTTTGCTTGAGGATGTTCATTTCATTTTGTGAAGCTGATTTATTTCATTTGTGAAGCTGATTTATTTCTGTGATTTCAATTGAGTTGATCCAGCTCAGTGATTGATGCGAGCAGATCCCGCTCGGAACTTGATCGTCAGTCGATTTGATTTCATTTATTTGATCAGATCAGCAGACAGAACAGTCTGCAGCATTTTTCAATAGATCAGATTAGCAGACAGAAAGATCTGCTGATCCATCCTCACTACCCACGTCTTCGGGGATGGAAAACGTGTGTTCGCTGCTAGTGCAGTGCATGTGTTCACATGCACGACAGAGAGCTTGATTGATATATATACATATATATATATATCACACACACACATACGCACAGTCTCTCTCTATCTCTCTATCTCTCTATCTCTCTCTCTCTCTCTATATATATATATACATATATATATATACATATATATATATACACATACACATACATATGTGTTCCCATATGTATGTGTTTAGCATAAAACCATTGGAAGTGGCCAAGCCTCTCCGAAACCTCAGGAGATGCTTGGAGGAGGCTGGTGATTCTCTTGGCCCAACTGAAGGGCGATCGAAAGGTGGAGCAACTGCTGAGGGAAAAACATCCTGAACTCCTTCAGGTGGCCGACTCCTGGGCGAAATGCTTGGGATTTTGAGATGCTTTGGATCTCTATGGATCTCTATTTGAGGGTTTGGGGTGCAAAAAACGGATCTTGCTGGGGGTCTTGTTTCTGATCGCCCGGGCTATTTAGGAACTATTTGACAAAAGTATATCTGGGCCAGCTGCTAGCGCTCAAGATCCCCTGGAACTGGTTGCAGACACATCCTCCAGGTGAATGCAGATGTTGATCATTCTGGATACAAGACATTTCACTTCTCAAGTTTCCCGGGCTTCCCATCCTGGACCATGACTAAGGACCGATGCGGAGCTTCAAGCAAGGTGTGATGGGAGGGGCATCCCCCAAATCCTTCATGGTGTGTAGATCCGGATCCTGGGAACCATCCAACGGTGAGGACCCGGTAGGATTCTCAATGTTTGCATGGCGTTGGGGGTTGCTGGCTGACTCTGACACTTTGGAGGTACAGGGGGCTCCCAAAACCACGGCTTTTGCAATGGATCGAAGTTATGGGCCTCACAAAATAATTTAGATGGTGGATGAATATGCCCAAACCCCTTTGCCTGGATCCAAGAGTCAGATCCATGGCCCACCCCTCAGTGCCTGGAATCTTGCTTCACCATCCTTGGGCACATTTCCCAGAGGGTTGGTATGAAGGAGGGGGTTCATGACAAGCTGACTTGCTGCATCGGCTCAAACACTTTCATCAGCTTCATTCATCGCAGAGTTGCGAAGTAGATTCTTGATCTCCAAAAATTGCCCCAGCAAATAAAACAATATGGCTGGATGCCACCGCAGCAGCAAAACAGACTGAACCATTTTCTTGAACCACAAGAGCGGCAGAGAGAACCAAGGGGCGCAGTAGAACAATGCAAACATAATGATCATAATGCTTACGAAGCTTGCCTCCAAGGCCAAGCTGTGCAAACCATGGGCTCCCTACAGATCTCTAAAGTGAATCGGTCAGGGACAGGCCACAGGCATCGTAGGCCATGATCCACGGCACGCTGGCATTGAGCACAGGGCCACATGGCACGTCAATTGGATCAACTGAAGCTGTACGACAATCAGCCAGATCTCATGTGAGAGTCAATGAAACCCTAGCTTAGGCTCGAACTGATCCATGTATTCCTAACCTGATTGTGCTTTCTAGGAAAGCATACGGCAGGCACACTCGCACGTGCACAGTGTCATTTTGGATCCTGCACCATGGCTACAGTGGAGGGTGTGACGGAAGTGCGGCCGAAGCTGTACCTTTCCGCACGTGATGCAGCCACAGTTTTGAAATCGCTGACCGTCCTTGGCATTTCGCACATCCTGCAGCTGGATGCAGTTTTAAGCTCGGCCGAGAGTTTTGGGATGTTTGGGATGATGAAGTACCCTCTGGTAATTTGCTACATAGCTATTGAAAATGGCCATTGAAATCGTGGATTTACCCATTAAAAATGGTGATTTTCCATAGTTATGTTAGTCTACCAGAGGGTAAGACATGGGCTTCATGACATGGGCTCAGCCACCAGTCTTTCTGGGGATGATCGTTGGGATATGGATCTAAGCCACCAGCCTGAGAAAGATTCAGGTCCGTTGGCTCAGAATTCCCAGCGCGCTTGGGCAATGCCGCATTGGATGAGAAACAGATGAAGAAGAGGAAGATGGATGGCCGGTCTTCTGCGGGACGTTTGTACCTCCAACATGGAGGCCAGGAGGGTCCGTTGAAATAGAATGAAAACTTGGGGAACCTGACGTGGCATTTGAAATCGCAATTCGACATAATTTGAAGATAATCAACTGCGAGATTGTGAGATATTTGTTTCCCATCCTACGACCTTTTCCGGCGCAGTGTAAATGCATCTGTTTTTGGTTGACAGCTTATACAGACATCTTATACCTTGATTTTTCTTGACGGCCCTGCCTTGGCCTGGGGAGCAGCAGTGAGACCTCGAAGCCTCAGCACCTGATGGTAGGTAAGAAAGATCCATTTGTCAGACTCTTTCTGCCCGTGGAAGATGCCAATGACCAGGACCTCAACAGCCGCTGCTGTTTCTTGTGCAATTATCATGGTATAGCATGGTACTGTATACCTGGCCACACCGAAAAAAAAATTGCCTTGATATCCTACATCCAAGGCCATCACCTGGATATGAAGATGAAGCTCCTCTGAGAGCTCAAGGGTTGCCGGGTTTCTTTCATGGCCATGTTTGCCGGAGCAATGATAGTGCCACATCTGTGTTCCTCCCACCAAAACAGGATGATTTCCCATCACCCATCACGACTAGGTATCCCATTTAGAACCACATTTTTTCATGGACTCGGACATTTCCAGCAGCAAAAAGAGACGTTTTAATTTTCCCATCAACTTTTTTTTTGGGCATGAACAAATAGATAGATCACTAGATGGATAGCTAGATATAGAGCAATCATAAATGAATGAAGGAATCACAATATACATACATACATATAAAATCATATATATATATATAGAGTATATACATATCTCATCATATCTCGATTTACATGTAGATTCACATAGCTAGAGTGAATGCTGTATATATGTACGTGTGGTTAGAGGCAGAGGTGATTTCCAATTGTTAAATGAATATCCACGTGATCAATTAACTGTTATTTCACTAGTAGAAACACACATGTTGTTTCACCGTTTTGTGTAGTCAAATGAATATGAGCCTTTGGCAATTTCACATAGCTTTTGAACATGGCATATTTTTAGATGATTGTACCTATTAATTAAATATGATGTTTGTCCATAGCTATGTTAAATTGCTACAGGATAAATCCCATTGTATCCCAACATTCCCATGATATTACAGTGATATTTCAATAGATTCCCAGCATATTCCCATTAAATTCATTAAATCACCAGAGGGTAAAGAAATGATTTGGATTTTCCCCATGGACTTTCCATGTTTTTTTTTTAGGACCTGTCTCAGCACTTCGATGAGACTCGACTCTTCATCTCAGAGGCTTTGGCCCAAGGGAAGGCCTCCTGGAGGGCTGGGAGTTGGCTGGGATCAATCCACGAAGACTGCTGGTAGCGAAAAAGGGGGGATACCCGGCCTGGTAAAGATACAAAAAGCTATAGAAAACACGTTAATTAACTAACATAACTATGGAAAATCACCATTTTCAATGGGAAAATTCCCATTGATAGCATGGTGATTTTCCATAGTTATGTTATATAGTTTGCCAGAGGGTACGTTGAGTGAGATTTTTTAGGGATCAAGTGGACCTTCAACAGAATTTTTTGAAACTTGCAGTGGGGGATGGTGAACATTTTTGATTTCAAGCGAAAACATAGGGGGATTGGCAAAATTTGAGGAGGTGGGGATGGAAACAATCAGAGCATACACACTCACATAAAAGAACAAAGAAACACGAACAACAATAGGTTCTGCGCACACACGCATATATATATATGTATATATATAAATTATAGTATCTGGATGTATTTGGATGAGTTATAAAGAGCTCACTGCGACGTCACTGGAAGGATGGTTAGGAGGGGTAAGTGTCCCAAACTTGCCTTAGCCTTAATTCATGTGAATTATCACAATCCATCCAAACAATGTAGACTTGTTCAACAGAAATGACAACCCATATGGTATTGACATGTATTGACGAGCTTGCCAATCTTGAAATACATATAGATATATAGTGATATATACGTATATAATATATATATATATATGTATATATATACTAATATGTTCAAAATTAAGATAAATTAAGTAAATCTTTCTCTCTCTCTCTGCATATGTAGACAATATGATTATATTTTTTCAAATGGTTTGGCCATGTCAGACTTATTACTTATTATATTCATCTGATACACCCATCCTAAGTATATGAATTATTTTAATTCATATATATAATCTGAATATATATATATATATATATATTTTTTGCTCTGATTGATATGATAACAAGTTTATTCGTTTGGTTGACTGGTTTCAATTTCGAGATTCCGGCAGGTGTTGGTGCACTGCACCCAGGGCCGCTCCCGCAGTGTGGCTGTGGTGGCGGCATTTCTGATGCAAAAGGAGAAGATCTCCCTGGGTAAGGCGAAATCGCTGGGTTTTGGAGCTGATTTCATGGGATTGTACCAGGAATAATGGGATTTAACCGGACAAACCAGAAAATCACATGGATTTTATATGATTTTACCATATTTGACCAGTAAACAACTTGGATTCTTGGGTAAACTGACAGGTGAATGGCAGGTGTGTTGGAACTGAATTCATGAATATCAACTGTTCGCGGGAATCTGCATTTGACACCCTTTAAAGAAAAACGACGATTAGCCGAGCCCACCAGCCCTCTGAGGCCCTTCTGTCCATCAAGGTGACTTGACTGGCATCTCAAGGCCGTCCAACTGGTTCTAGTTGGCAAGTTGGCCACAAATACAACAATGTATTTCATCATAAACCATATATTTTACCATATTCATATACTTATACCATTTTGATACACCACCAATGCATATATGGTGTCATATAGCCAATTTCTTATGTAGTCACAAAACCATATGTATTTCACCATCTTAAAAGATAGTACAATATGTTTTACCATACTATCAACCACATACGTATAGCAATCCATATTGTGGTTCAACACATTCTTACATGTATATCAAATGCAATATATCATAACATTGCAACCAGTGTACATACAATGCAATAAGTTCTGCCCGCATTACATGTTATCATTACATATGCAATCATACCTATATGTATGCACACACACATATATACATATGTATATATATATATGTAATCATATATCACCATGTTATCAACCATATATGTAACCATCCGTTTAACCATATTATTAACTATATCATCAACCATATTATTGTTAACCACATTTTTAACCATAGTATATACATATAATCTGGATCAATTATAACGACCTCACTGCGACCTCAGTGGAATCATGGTTAAGGGAAATCATCCCCAAATGGCGGCAAAATTCAGGTGAGTGAAATATGATAATTTACTCAGATGTATGTCAATCCATATCAAATCCATATCAAATCATCCCAAAAGTTGTGTTTATGTCTTATAGATGTATGTGTTTATCCACACTATTATAAATATTCTAATGATACATGAAATCCACATCCCAAAATCCATCTCAAAATAGCTGTGGATCCTTCACATTTCATCCACATTTCATCCTCCCTGAGGAGAAGCGTCCTGAGATCGACTGTAGGACCAGCTTTTTGGACCAGCTTCGGTCTCTGGAGGAGGGGCCGCTGGGGCGGCCGGCCATCCGCGCAAACGAAACAACGACAATTTGGGCCGGGGTGGGGACACCCTTAAAATTGACGCCAGATTGGAACTGGATTCTGGAATTTGGATGGTTACCCTCTGGTTATTTAGCATAGCCATGGTATAGATGTCCCATTTATAGATGGTTTACCTATTACAAATGGTGATTTTCCACGGCTATGTTAAATAACCAGTTGGTATTTCATTTTCATGCCAGATTTCCCATGTATTTTCCATGTTTTCATGTTCTTTTTGGACTCCCGGCTGTGAATTTCTTCCGTGTTTGGATGGCCCGAGGAGGAGCTTCAAGTGGCACCTGCATCTCCCAAGACCCTGGAGGCAACGAAGGGTCCAGATGGGTTACCCCCCAAAAAAACCAGAGTAAGTAACCCGTTATTGAAATAGCAGGGGATTGCTTTTCTAGATAAAGGCTATCTATATATATATATACACACACATATATATATATGTATCGGATTTGAAGATTTTTGGGGTTTGTTTGAGAATAGGTTGCCCCATGCCCTATTCCATCCATTGATTAATTTATCAGCATTTTTTTTCTAAACTGACGCTTGTTAGGGGTAAATATACCCGATTCTCAGACGGAACCCAAACCATATGAGGTTAGTTATTCCCATTATTATGATAGTTTAAAGTTTAGATTCCCATTCTACCATGTCATACCATCATTTTCATGATGGTGTCCCATTTGAGGCTTTCCAGCTCCTTCCCCAGAGGAGTGGTTGGACTCTGTCAGGCGGCCGGCGCGCTCAAGAAGGAGCTGGCTGAGGTCAATCCTAAGGCCGTTTAGCACGAAGAATGCGGCGAAGGATGGGATAGGATGGGATACTGTGGATGGGCCAGCGAAATCCGAATCACCAGTTGAAAACGGTGGTAAACATCCCATGATTCATCGGGTTTCAACCATCCTTTGGTGCAGGATTTCTTCAATTTCGCAACCATCCACAGTAGGATAGGCTAGGATTCTAGGATAGATAGGTGAGTGACGATCTTTCTACCCCCAGATAGGCTATGTTTTCATCAGCCCCCAGGTAGATTTGGCACAGCAACCTGCCCCTTCTGGCAGGTGTTTATGGAGATTTCCTTCGATGGGCAATCCGCAGGGCGCATCGAGTTCGATCTCTTCTGTGGCTGGGCTGAAAGATGGCTTAGAGAACCCATGGCTTACCCTGAGATACGGTTTCATGGGATATCATGGATATCATACGATCTACATATATACATATTATACATATTAGACATATATACATATATATATATATATACATACATATATACATGCATACACACACACATATATATACACACACACGCATATATATATATACATATGTTTATATCAATATACAGATACACATATACACATCTATACATCTATACATGCACATATATATATATATATATTTTTCATATAAATATATATATGCACAGATAGATTAGATAGATAGATAGATAAACACATAGATAGATTAGATTAGATTAGATTAGATTAGATTAAAATAGATAGATTAGATAGATGGGATAGATTGGAAAGATGGGATAGATTAGATAGATTGGATAGATTGGATAGATTGGATAGATTGGATAGATTGGATAGATTAGATTCGTTAGATAGATTAGATAGATTGGATAGATTGGATAGATTGGATAGGTTGGATAGATTAGATAGATTGGATAGATTGGATAGATGGGATAGATTAGATAGATTGGATAGATTGGATAGATTGGATAGATGAGATAGATTGGATAGATTAGATGGTTATATAGATTAGATTGATTAGATGGATTAGATGGATTAGATGGATTAGATGGATTAGATGGATTAGATGGATTAGATATATTAGATAGATTAGATAGATTTGATAGATTGGATAGATTGGATAGATTGGATAGATTAGATAGATTAGATATATTAGATAGATTAGATAGATTAGATAGATTAGATATATTAGATAGATTAGATAGATAAAATAGATAGAATAGATAGAATGACTACATAGATATAATTATTAGATAGATAGATAGATAGATAGATAGATAGATTAGATTAGATTAGATTAGATTAGATTAGATTAGATTAGAATAGATAGATAGATAGATAGATAGATAGATACATAGATAAATAGCCAACAGCATGATAATTGCTTGTCATTGAAATCGCCCTTCACCCTCCCCAAAATGGTAGGTTTTAAATTGGGAACATGTTGAACCAGTGGATTTTGGTCAAGATTGAATCGAGCCCGAAATGATCATCCGAAATGGATAGTGAAGGGAATAAATGTGAGTTACTATTTTTCATACATGAACATAAATGAACGATAGATAGATTCACCATCTAGTAAATCTCCAGATGTTTTTTCCCCCTCTCCAGTTTAGGAACGCTTGTGATTTACCCTCTGGTAATTTAACATAGCTATGGAAAGATCCACCATTTTCAATGGGTAAATCCACTATTTCTATGGCCATTTTCAATAGCTATTTTGACATAACCAGAGGGTACCAAGGAGTTCATGTTGAATCTGGCGCTAGGTGACGTGGCGCCGGAAACCTGTGAGAACTTCCGTTGCCTCTGCACTGGCGAGAAAGGCCATTTTTGGGCCATTTTTCGGTGATTTTTCAGGGGCCATGGGGACCCGCAACGCCATGGTATAACGGGGCTGGAAAAAAAGAACGGGAACATGATGTAACTGTCATATGTAACTGTCATGATGGATTTAACGAAGTTAAATGAGAAACACCTGGGTGCAAAGTGAAACGAGGATTTATCATCATAAGTACATGGAACGATTGATCATGAAATTGTAGAGCCGGTAATGTGTCATCGTGAAAATGCTTCATCCTTCCTTTTTGAGTCCGATTTTTCTGTCTTCCGGATTCCAGGCCGGGGCCAAAGTGGGAAGCGTCTCACATATCTGGGTGCTGTGTTCCATTGCGTCATCCCCGGCTTTGTGGCGATTGCTGGTGATGCTTGGATGCGATGGCTTCGGGATAGTGAGGTCCTCAAGCTTTGCATGGATCAAAATCCATGAAAATTCTTTCCCCTCCCCCACAAATGCTTGGTCTAGAACAAAAAGTCATGACAAGTTGGATGGCTCCTGGAACCACTTTTCAGCATCTTTTTGGGGGTTACCATGGGTTACTATATCGATATGGCTATTGGTCAATACCTATTAATACCATTTTTAGTGGGATGAACATCCATTTACCAGCTATTTTGATGTTCACCAGGGGTACAAGGTTTTGACACACTGCCATATGAGAGACTTTTACACCATTTTTTCGCCCGAACTTTGGCTCACCCAGGACATCACTGAGGGAGATGGCACCGGGGGAGAGTCCATCTATGGATACTCCTTCAAAGACGAGAATTTCGAGGTATCCCGTCCTGGAGTAAAAACCTGGCTGAAATCCAATGAACATGCATTTTGTATGCCTATGGATCATCTGGAAACCACACATTTTGTGTTCAATTGACGTCTGATTGACATGAATTCTATTTATAGATTATGTCTGGAGTCTGGAATCTGGAAAACCATCCTCCAAAACCTCCAAAAGCCAATGGAAAGATGTTTAAAGTGGGCTATTTATTGCCCAATCCGGATTTTTGAGCTACACAACCCAAACCACAATATAACAAATTCCTTAGAGGAGGCTTCAAACTTCTCCATTTGGCCTGTTTGGGTCCAGGTGAAGCATGACAGTGAGGGAATCTTGTCCATGGCCAATTCGGGACCTGAGACTTGGTTGTGAAAAAAATGGCGACAAAAATCGATGACCAGAAATGACTTATGTGGTTAAAACAATAATAAACCACCCCATGTTTGATGGTTTATAAAACCATATAAAACCCATTTATGGTGATTTGGGGGATGGTTTATTATTGTTTTAACCACATTATATACAAGAAACCTTTGTTTGTCACTTTGCGATTGCTGCATGAATATCATGAATCATGCTCGGCTATTGCGCATGCTTATCGATGGTAGTACGGCTGCACAATGGACTCATCGATAAAAGTGTGACTCTCTAATTCTCGCAGGTCCTTTGGCAACGCATCGCTACATACTTATGGTGCTCTGCCAAAAACCTAGACACTGCGAGTGCAAAGGCCACATTCATTTGTCTCGGGTAAATCTAACATAATAATGTACGATAATAATGTATACTAACATGATAATATATAATGTATACTAACATATCCTGATAGGCCCTGGGTCCAAGTCATTTTTGTTTGGTCAGCCAAGTGAGCTGTTGCCACTTAGGATAGCAACGGGTCGCAATTCCTTATTTGCTTCGCGGCGAGTCCCAAACTTGATCCTTGGAGCGGTTGTAGCATCGAAGTGGAAAGGCCAAGAGGTTTTGGAGAGCTAGCAACGGACAGCTCTTATTTTCCCGTTTGCCCGCGCACGCATGCACATGTATATCATATAGACAGCAACACACACACACACACACCACATATACATATACTCGTATATGTATATGTACGTAAAGAAATAAACACACACACACACGTATATATATATATATATATGCACCCACATATTTATATGGACCACCTGCTCGCCTTCAGCTTCTGTTGAACTTTCTGAGATGGCAATGGATATATATATATATAATACGCGTGTATGAAGACACACACACACACATATCCATATGTATCTATACATACACATACACATTTCGATTTGCTAGCTTTGATATTTGATTGCTGGAAAGAAACCCAAAATGGCACTTCAGTGACTCAAAATTGAAACTGCCCTCGGTCAAGGACGGAAAGAACGTGGCCTTTGGCAAAGCGGTCTCCACTGATGTGCTGAAACTCATCGAGGCAGTGCTACATCGTCCTGGATTTGCTGAATAGTTTTTATGTGAGTGATTCTCCCATTGGTTCATTAATCTACCATAATCTACCATTTGGAGAACCTACTCTGAATATACGTGTATATATATATACACACATTGCAACACACTATATATATATACACACGTTATATATATATTATTATAAAATTGTTTTCTTATAAAACACCACAACCTACGAACCACCAAAAGAACCAAAGTCAAAAAAAAACACCAGGCCTGCGGCAGCGAGTCGGGGGAGGTCTCCAAGCGGATTACCATCCTGGACTGTGGCGAAGTTCCACAACCAGGTCGACTCATGGGCTTCGTTTCATGGGAAACGCTCACCGCACTGGTGATGAGGTGAAAAATTGTTGTGTTTTCATGTCTTTTTGGGGTGGGGGGGGGACATGTTATGTGATGATAGTTGATGAATATTGATTACAAGTGATGACAACTCATGATAATTGATCGCAGTTGATGATGTATAGTTGATGATGCTTGATGTTTCATGACAGTTCACTTGATATGGGAAGCATATCGTGTTAGATATGCGATCCCAGATGGGCAAAGTTCTTCAGAGCGGCGTGAAGTATGTCGGGTTGGGCCAAGTCTTTGCCTGCAGAGAATAACGGCACTGTTCACCAACTTGTGACCCCGTTCCAGACTTGTTAGACATTTTTGGAACGACTATCCGGAAATTCTTGAAGCAGCTTCCATGGACCTTGCCCCAGAAGCCAGCTCCAGGACGTCAAGTGAAGCGCCAGCGCAGTGACAGTGCTGCCGTTGCTGGAGAGGTGGTGATGGTGCTGCAGCTGTTGCGGAAGCACAAGGAGTGTAAGAAGGCGAAGTTCGTTGGGTACGCTGAGGGTGGAGACGTGGAATCTGGAGATGCAGAAAGATCAAGGAGGTGTTTGGATTTGGACTTCTCCTTGAGGTACCACAAGGTCTAAGAGTCCAAGAGACACTGCAGCATCACGATGCCGGTGCTAACAGATGTCAACGGCATGTGGGCCACTTGCTATTGATACCTGGGGGCTGTAGCCCTTCCCTGAGGCCAGTAGCTGGCGAGAGGCCAACATCAGCTGCAGCAAAGAAGATGCGCAGAAGGTGCTCCAGAGCTTCAGGCTGGGCATGGCTGGGCGGCCATGGCCGAGCCTCAAAGGCAGTTGGATCAGTTGGTTGGGAGCAGTAAGTCTTCAGTGCAAAGGCTTCTTAGAATAAGCCATGAGAGCATTCGTCTCATGCATTCTTCACTGAAATTTAGGCGGAGGAACCTAAGATGGAAGCTGCACAACATGAACGAACTCTGAAACCCGGTCTTAGCTACATATGACATTGGGTATCCTTTTCATTTTTGGGGGGTTCCATGTGTTAAAAGTTAAAACTCTGCCATGCCCCAGTCCACCAGTCCACAAGGCAAGCCCTTGGTGCTGTGGAAGGCAGCCAGCGGAGAGCCAAATTTGAGGATGCCCGGCCTGGTTCTGGCGGTTGAATTTTTGTGGAACATGGGTCACTGTATGAGTCAAACTTGAGCACCGCCGATTTCATGGTTTCAGGAGGTGCGGCAATCTTGACATGAAACAAGGAATCGTAGAAGGAGCAAGATCCAAGACCCCCCGAAAAAACCAGCCGCAAAGGTTCCCGTTTTGAATCTTTTGGATCTTGGGTCTTCGAGTTTGATCGAGTTTGATCCCATCCATCCCATGCCCGATCCTAGGCGCTGGCGCGTGAAAACTCGGACTGCAAGTCCGCCAAGAAAGGAGGCCTTCTGGATCCCTTCGAGCGGGGGATGTGCCCGGCTGGAAAGGTCAGTGGAATTGGGGGCACATTTTGCAACCTCCTATGCGCCCCAATACTAGAATTTCAGGGCGAAGAATTGAATGCTGCAAACGATCCTTGTACTTATATATATATATATAGATAGATAGATAGATAGATAGATAGATTAGATTAGATTAGATTAGATAAGATTGGATAAGATAAGATAAGATAAGATAGGATTGGATTGGATTGGATTGGATTAGATTAGATTAGATAGATAGATAGATAGATAGACACACACACAGAGACAGATATATATATATATATCTATATACACATGCATACATCAATCCGTTGACACACGGGCCCTGTTCAAACTTGACCCGGTCCTTTACAAAAAGCGAGTTGGGCGTATTGCCACAAGCTTCTGGAGAGGATCAGGTCTTCCTTCCGGGTTTAAAATCATTGACATCATCAGGAGTCCCAAGATTCCTACGCTTTATTTGTTTCTCTATTCAACTGGATGTTACAGTACTCGTAGCTGCTGTCATTGGTGGGGGTATCCGCGGCAAAACCGAGGATGAACAAGACCTTTGAAAACGCGGCCTTCGCATTGAAACCTGGAGAGCTGTCGGAAGTGTTCTCCACGAAACAAGGGGAGCATTTGTTGCTTCGTCTCTGACATGGGAGATTGGCGTGTCCAGTAGCTGAAAATTGGATGCCCGTCCGGGTGATTCAACCCACAGGGGGGAAATGGTCAACCTTTTTGATCCTTTTTGGGGGGCCAACACTGATGAAAAAAAAACACCCAATCTCCAGAAAATGGTGTTGCGAAATCTGACTTGGGATGATGGTTCCAATGATGGACCTATGAACGTCCCATCGGGCCTGTGTATAGAATATAGACTTCGCAGCTGCGGTGCCCATTGGGAGACATGGAGATCAGAAGGCGATGGCGGAGAGCAAAAGAAATTTCAATCTGGTTGGTGGTTTCAAACATGGCTTTTATTTTCCAATAAAATCCATTTCATCTATGGGATGTCATCCTTCCCAGTGACTTTGACTCCATCATTTTTCAAGATGGTTATCGGTTATTGCACCACCAAGCAGCAAAGCTCAGCATTGCGCTGCGCTGCTTGGTCTCTGGCAACCTCCAAGACGAATCATGACGAATCCAGGCCGCCAGCACACTGCACGCCGCCAAAGATGCTGCACGAGAATGGTTCTCACGAGGGCTGCGGCTTGGTGCTGGATGGCCTCAGATCCCTCTGGCATTCCAACCGTTTGGCTAAGGGCATGAGATATTTATGTATTCACATGTATTCATGATTTGTCCGTTTATTTATGTGTAAGTAATGGGCGGTCTTTCATTGTTGCCTTTTTTTTTGAGTTTTTGGTTGACAGATGGTATTCGAAACGTAGTTTGGTGATTGAAGGGCATGCGCCTGACAAAAGCGTGCAGTCACTAGATACTCTATGATACTTTATGGGATATCCCAATGGCATCCAATGGCTATACAGCACTCGGGGACATCAACCATGGGATTTGGGAGTCCAAAGTGCTGCGCACCTAAGGAGAGGGAGCAATCAACATGGTCCTGCTGCGCGAGCCAAGCTGTGCAAACAGCTGGTCCGGAAGCCCAGCTGTTGAACACCAGGGGTGGGCCCCTGAGCCCGTGGTGATTTTGTCATTTCAAAGGTTCCCAGTCCAAGATGGTCCAAGATGTTCATGCAATAGAAGGGCCTCCTGAAAACCATAAGGCTCTATGCATTCATTTCTTTGGTTTGTCATACCAGTAGCTGCAAGTCTCCTGATGAAGGTGCATCTCGATGATCCTCTTTTATTATTCACCTTGTCATATTATCCGATTCTCCAGTGCCACTTCAGCTGTTCAGATCTTGTGGCCAACATGGGCCAACACTTGTCACACCAGATGCTAGAACTCATCGATTCACAAACCAACTGCCCAGAATGTACAGCTAGTGGGGGTATCCCACCCAATCATGGGGCTAAGTTATCTCGACTGATACTTGATAGCATTGTAGACCAATTATATGTACAGCTGGGCATGTCCAATAATCATTCTATAAATTGATCAACCCTCTTGTTTGACTAAACCGACTGAAACAATCCCCTGCCTCGAATATTCAGCACCCCGCAATTGAACCTCACTAGGCTTGCGTCTATTCATTTGGGGGGTCATTGAATCATTAGTAATTCGGTGACCAATTCGGTGGTATATTTTAACCTTATGGAACTCCCTTTTAATTTGATTCTATGGGATTGAACTTGAAACAACACATGTTTGGGAATTATATGAAATTACCCTCTGGTTATTTAACATGGAAAATAGCCCATTTATAGATGGTTTACCTTTTAAAATGGTGATTTTCCATGGCTATATTAAATAACCAGAGGGTATATGAAATGATCACATTTTGTAAACGGATGACTTGACCATGGTGATAAACCAACAGCCTCAACAAATTCATCACGGTAGGTGACCTATCTGTCCCAAGTATCTATCTATTCATCCATCTATATACATATCATATGCAGTTATCCAAATTATGTACACATTATATGTATCATTATATCATGTAAGACACACACACATGCACATACATACATATATATATAGATAATATGTCTATATTTTTCAAAATAGATATTTGTATTAACATGTCCCAACATTCGCCAGATGCTGCAACTCCTGGAGCGGGCCTCGCAACTCTGCAGCGGGGTCTCTGGAAGCCACGTGGAGGACGTCTTGGATCGAGGGCGGCCAACCGAGGAAGGCGCCGTTTGCGGCGGCCATAGGTGATGGCTGTTTAATGTGGCCCTATAACAATGGTTTAATAAACCCACCATGACTGGGAATGGTTTATATATATATACCAACATATACCAACTATAAAAATGATGATGACTGCGGGATGGTTTATGACATTGTTTTACCCACATGACCGTTTTTGAACAGTTTCCGAGGTTCGTTTAGGTTTTCTCTACCCACACAAGCGAGCACCGCCACTATTCAAGGCTGCCTCTACTCATGTGATGCGTGCACCTTAAGGGCTGTGCACATCCTTTCACACTAGGACTTGTGGTTAGTTTGGGGAATTATCCCAGTATAGTCTACTTACCACTATTCTTGACTTGGATTTTACGGTTCTATTTTTGTTGGGGGGCTGCCGGGGCTGCTTTTTGAGTGGGGAAAACAGGGGACACACCTCTAAACTAGGGCCTAGGGGATTAACATGTACTAACTTCCATCTAATTCCTAAACATGTACCCTCTGGTAATTTAACATAGCTATGGAAAATCACCATTTTCAATGGGTAAATCCACTACAAATGGTCATTTTCAATAGCTATGTTAAATTACCAGAGGGTAATTTCATATAATTCCCAAACATGGTGATTTTCCATAGTTATGTTAGTTTACCAGAGGGTAAACATGTACTAACTTCCATGATCATCCTAAAATTCTTTTGTGGGTGGGACTGGTTGCAGCTGCATGTGCGTCCGTTTTTTTTTTTTTTTAAATAGATATTGAGACAAGTATGAAGAATAAACCAGATGCTATGCATATAATTGATTTAGGCCATACAAACACACACACACACATACACACACACACACACATATATATATATATATACTATATGAATAATTATACTTGTAGCACGCGCACAAATATCACACACACACACACATATATATATATATACATACTATATACATATATATATATGTAATATATATCACACATATTTATATATTTATGCAGTAACATTTCGTATCCCCACCACCTTCTCGCCTCCTTCTCTGGCAGACGCGGACTCTGATGGACCGAAAAAAGAGCACCTGTGAATGCATACAATATGTTCACATGTATATACATATACAGTATTATATCTATATCTACATCTATATCTACATCTACATCTATATCTCTATATCTACATCTACATCTATATCTAAGTCAGATTGCAGCTATCCCCAGTGCTATGGGCTTCACCATGGCCCTTGGGAGGCCCTTTGGTCTGCTCCTTGATGGCCCGGGAACTGCGCGGTAGCCGCTACGAAGGGCTGCACCACGGTTGCCGTCTGGGCATGGTGATGCACAACGCACAACGTGAAGAGTGGGAGATTTAACCAGCAACCAGGTAACCATTGGTAATTTAACATAGCTATTGAAAATGGCAATTTATAGTGAGTTTTCCTATAAAAAATGGTGATTTCCATTAGTTATGTTAGTTTACCAGAGGGTAACCATTGGTAGATATATCTATAGTTATCTACAGTGAATGGACAGTTCATGGAATATGAATGGGATTATTATGGAATTATGGGATCATACCATCCCGTGTCATCAAACATGGCAATGAACATCCATTAGAAATAGAGGTTTTAATGGCACATTCATCTATCAATGTTTTTTTTTTCACTGCCAGGTTTGATTGCCGGGGGGTATTGAACTTGATGAAAATTGATATGATTACAGTGCCTCCATTGGAGGTATTTGAACATTTCATCAAAAATTGGTGAACATCGAACTCACCGAAACTTGAGACACATAGCACCCAACTCCAAGAGGTTTTATGACGTTTAGGGTGTAACAAGACAACGCGTTCACGATCCCTTGGCCCTTTTGGCCATCTTGACGGCTCCAGAATCTCAGATTCGGTGGAAAAATGATAGGTTTTAGATGACTTTAGATGACTACACGACCTCCTCCAATACTTGGATGACATTTCCATTCTTTCCTAAAAAATCGACATCTCAGGTGGATCTCCTGGAAGGGTCCAGCTGGACACTATTACCTGGGAGACGAGCAGGAAGGGCACAACCTCCCAACCACCGACAAGGCCGGCCATGGGGAGATCGCTTTTTTTCAAACCGTAAAAATGGTGACTTGGGGATGGAAAATCACAATTTTTAATGGGTAAACCCAGGTAAACCATCTATAAGTGGGCCATTATCCATGGCTATGTTAAATAACCAGAGGGTCGGTTTATGAAATTGATTGAAATTGAGCGTGCCACTTTGGATGCAAAAGAGAGAAAAAAAAAGTTCATCGAATCGTTCGTCATGGATTTTTCTATGACAATAATCACAATATCTCAGATTACTGGTGGTTTGGCTTGGATGAGTTGTTCTCCTCCATGGAGCTGCTAAAATCAGATCAGAGAGGGCTTATAAAACCTGGAAAATCGCCAGTTCGATGATCCCATATTCATCATATTCCAAATTTTTGGGACTTTTCCATCATTTTTCCATCATATATTTCCATCATATTTCCATCATATTTCCATCATATTTCCATCATATTTCCATCATCTTCATCAATGGATTGGTTTAAGAGGAAAATCTACAGGAAACCATCGATTTTCCCGTGAAATATGGGGCTTAAACCAGTAAATTTTCCCTTAAATCAATCCATTGACTTCAATCTTTCCATGGGAGATCTCCAGGATCCGATTTATTGGAGGTACCTACCATATATTATTTAGGATCCTGGAATTCCCATTGAATCGCCAGTTCGCAGAGATCCATCCCTGCGAGGACGGGGATCCCATTCATCCACGTGTCCATGCAGTGGTGAAGGTGGTTAGTGACCAGTTGGCACCTGGGCACGCGGTGAGTCACGGTTTTTGGGTCGGGTTGGGTCATAATGACACGTGGTCAATGGATGTCAATGGGATGTGACATGGTGAACTATTTGCTGAAAATAGCAGAATAGCATTTTCATTGGTATTACACTTACACATAGTTACACCATGTCCAAATGAAAGAACGGTGCATTGCAGCAAGATTGCATTAGAATCAATGTTGCCTGCATGAAACAATATAATTATGCATTGTAATTACAATGCTTTATCTTTATTTATCAAATGCAAAAATAACATGTGGATAAAAACGCTCACACATACGAAAAAGTACCTAACCCACGTGCAGCAACAGTATTACGTGAATTGAACACATAATTCCAGTTAGGATTTCACGGGATTCAATGTGGATAGAAAGGAGATAAAGTGGGATGCATCACCAAGAACATGTTTTGTTGGGTGTCTGACAATGGCGATGAAGAACAACTTGGCCGTTGAATGGACACATCATAACTCGGCATAGGTGAACATGATAGTAAACCAGTGGATGGTATACACTTAGTATAAACCCATCAAAAATGCCATAAACAAAACTCCCCAAGTCATCACCAATGGTTGGAATAGGGTGCCCCACTATCAGACAACTCGCCATTTGTAGATCCGCCGGGCGCCGGAAATGTGTACAGAGATCCTCCCCGAGACCCGATCACTGGGACAGAGAACCATCCGGTTGTATGTTGAACAAAAACATGTTTTTTTCGTGAAAACATCGCAGAGCACATGATTTTCCACAAAACCAGGGTTTTTTCCATGGTTCGAATATGTTAGAACTTCCCAGGTTGGCGCTGGATTTGTTACGCACCCCTGTCCTGGCACTGGCTTTACTGATCGGCCGCTGAGGTCATCAGCGGTTTCTTCCTGGATCCAGATGATGACACCATGAGCCCGGCCAAGGTGCCACCTGGGATGAACATCCGGAGTGTTGCTGAAGGGTTCAGCTTGGGAGCGGAGTGTTGCTGCATGAAACTTCAACTTGGGCAATTTCATCAAATAAGACCATGGATTGTTAAAGTTAATCCACGGTGCTTCGTGATCCAAATTCGAACTTTGAACAAGGTACCGGTATCCTGTTGTCATCCCAAAAAGTGACCGCTTCAGTCCATTGGTACCCCATTGGTACCCGCCATACCTGGCCATATTCCACCGCCTGGGTCGTGCAGGTGCCAATTGGGCCATTCCTCAGTGTTTATTTCGAGGGCATGTCCGTACGTGAGGCGGTCCAGTCCCAGTTGGGGCCTAGGTGTTGGAGGAATGAGACCACTTGGTTCTAGCCATGAATCAATGGCCATTTCAGGGACCTAAAATGGAGGTACTACTACCAGTGGGCCATATACAAGGCCTATGTAAGGGCTATGTAAGGGAACATCCCCATTGAATGAAGTGGTGCTGAAGTGTTGGTGCAGTGGATAGACGTTGATACCAGTAGCGCCACATCGATGGTCTCCCAAGGGAAAATGCGCGTGTTTCCCCACTTGATGTCAACTACTCTGAGGGCCAAGTATTCTCCAGGTGGGAGGACGCATGGTTTTTGGAGAGCCTGATCAGGTCCCTCCAGGAAAGTCATAGCTATGACCTGGTTTTTTCACCTGTTTTCACCTCTTTTCTTTGGAAAAAGGCACATCAAATATGGAGAAAAATGGTCCGGATCTTCTGCTTCCAGGTCGCTTCACCGATAGGTTGGATGACACTGGATTTTCTCAGCGGGGTTCACAATTTTGTGCAATCCCAGACTTATCAAATTGGAAAATTATTCAATGGGAGATCTTCAGGATCCGATTTATTGGAGGTACCTACCATATATAAGGCCTATGTAAGGCCCATGTAAGGGAATATCCCCACAAAATATTGCCTTATATAGTACAGTACCTCCATTTTAGGATCCTGGAATTCCCATTGAATTATGGAAAATCCATTGTCGATGGCATTTTCACCCACTGTTTTTTTTCCCTTTCCTCTGCCCGTAAATCAGGCGATGTGCACATTTTCCCTGGAACCAACTGGTTGAACCTCTCGATTTGGAACATCGACCAGTGGACCAATCGACTGATTTCTCTTCCACAAAGCCAGTGATTGCCCGGAACTGGATGAAGGGAATTCACAGTTGGGGAATTAACAGATATTACAGTATATTATAAAATATAGCAGTTGAACCTTGTAAATTTGGTCAGCACTCTATGTGTTCTCCAATTTTTCATAATTTCTCCCCATCAATTCATTGATCTTCATCCACTTTTCATCCAATTTTCATCCGGTTTTGCCCTATCAAACCCAGGTGTCTCTGGTCCCATCAGGCCTCCAACGCCTGGAAGAATGGCCCACCCAAGCGGCCGGCCACGCCCCGCCTGGCACCGGCACCGGTACCGGTGCCAGCCCCGGTGCCGGCAAAGCAAGGCGGGAGCGGCAATGGATGGCACTGGGGGTTGTTTCGGGTGATTTTTGACTCAAAAAATGGGACCAAAGAGCTTGCGGGTTGATATGGCTGGGCCACCTGATCGCCTTCAGCCTCGCTGAACTGACCCAGATGATCCAGATTGCGATGGAGAGAGACGAAGAGAGATTTTGGGGAATCCAACATTGAGGGAACATGTTGATTTGTTTTATCGTGTTGGGGATCCTTAAGTCCAATGGGTTTCCATGAGGGTTTAGTTGGAGATTTTCAGAACATTTGCATGATAGAACGGTGAACACTGATGAAGAAATGATGACATTTGTTCATGGTATGGCGATACGATACGGCAGACGTATGTACACATGGGTATGAATAACACACACACACATATATATATAGAACACATATTGACTCAAATATTGATCAACCCAGTTTCAATTGGATGTTTGAAATCCAGGGGATTGACTTTCCCAACGTCCCCGGCCGTCCCCAGCACGGCGCTCTGCCAGGTGTTCACATGGATCCCAAGCTCCAGGAACTTCAGGCCGGTCTCCCTCCCGGCTGGGAAGCCACTTGTCAGGCCGAGGCCCTGCCAGGGCTCCCGCAGTGGGGAGCAGTGGGGAGCGGTGGGGATGGCAACACGGGGTGAGGAAAAGGTGAGGAGGCCGCCAGCCTCTTGCGATTTTTTCAGGGTCAACTTGTCATGAATTTCTTTTCAAGTATTGGGTCACTTGCTGAAAGTTCTTTGGGTGTTTTTCCCAAATCACCTTCCCTGAAATTAGATGAGAACGTGATTTGATGGGGAATAGCATGTTTTGCCAACAGTTTGTTTTTTTTCCCCACGCCACTTCCATTGTAGCTTCGGTTTCTTGATTTGACTACCCAGTTGGGAGATGAAAGTTACATAGGTTATATTATAGCTGGCAGCTTCGATTTCTAGCGGTTCAGCTTCATCAGAACTCAGCCAGTATTGATCTGTTTGAAATAGGTGCACCAATGGTGGCTTATGGATGATGATGATGATGATGATGATGATCATTGTCATTGTTATACTATATTGCTAGTGGTATTGCTATTGTCATCGTTATTGTTGCTAGTATTATCATTATGATTATCAGGATTATTTCTAGGTAGTGTTTGTAGCGATTGGCGATGGCTTTGGGGACCTCACCAGATTTCTTTTTAACGCCTGTCGCTTTTCAAACGCCCAGGTGTCAAACCATGCCCTAGGTATCAAAAGGGAGGCTTCCCCACCTTTGACACAATGCGGCCTTTTAAAAACAGAGCACCCATGGATATGGACGCACAATGATGTGCAAGGATTTATATGAACACAATTGTATGTTGCGCGCATGAACAGGCGTATTTTAATCGAACACACGGCACCATTCCACAGCCTTCCATTCGGTTTGATTTGGAATCCAGGAAATGTCTGACAGGCTGAAAATCATAGGCTTTCACTCACAGGATTCCAAACCACCGAGTTTTGACGTGCTGACGTTGGGATCCTGTTCTTGGGATGAGAGCCCCTCCCTCTTTATCCCATGTTTCAAGCTGTCAAAGGGCTGAACGAGCCGGGTGGGAGATGATTTGCTCATTGGATACAGCCAGCCAGTTCGCATTTCGACTCGCTCGCTCGCTCCGCCCATCGCCACCATCTTTCCATGGCAGCGGGCAGCACAAGGACATGGAAGGATGCACAACGGGTCCGAGGGTATAACAGAGTTGAAGGGAAACGTGAAAACAAAAAAACAGGAAGGGCATCAGAGAAAATATTTAGAGGTTAGCCACGGGCAGGGAGAACAGTATCAAAGACAAATACCTTGTCTCAGGGATCAACGTTGATGTATTGTTGTAGTGGTTGTATGTAATGTAGGCGATCCTTACATGCCACCAAAAGGGTGAGACATCCTCGGAATGAGTTTGGTCTGTACAAAAAGGTCTGCACATGGGGTCGGCTGAACTAGCTCTGCGACCTGCATAGATAAGATGCTGATTACAGGAAAGTCATCTGCCGGCCCCGCAGTCTGATAGGCTTTTTTTTTTTGTTTTTTGTTTTTTCTCCTTTTCTTCTCTTTCCATTGAGTCCACGATGTGACGTGTCAAAAACCAACATGGAACTATCAAAAAACTCCTATCTCGCGCCGAGTCTCCGGGCCGCGGCCGGTCCAGTTTCCGGTGTCTGTAAAGTTTGTTTGACGTCGAAAGAGGTATTCAAACTAACTGATTGGGACAACACACTGGTGACAAACCAGACACAGTTAGCATCACTTTTTCATCTTTTCCTCATGATCATGGATTTCTCATGACTACTTGCCTCCATTGAGGAAAAAGATCACCGGGAGTGGATGGCCGCGGCCACGTGAGACTCCAGATCCTATGTGTAGTGACACTTATCCACCCTCTTCTCCTGGTGCCATATTTGCATCAGGAGGGTTGGCCGGGGGAGGGAAGGGAGGGGCCCCTGGTCCTGCCGGGCGAAGGCCGCGTGGTGAGCGATCGCGGGGGTTGGGCGGGGGGGGGGCTCCGTTGGGAGGTGCTGCTTGCTGATCCTGCTTGCCGCGCCCTTTGCCTTTGCCTTTCGCCTGTTTACCTTTGCCTTTGCCTTTGCCCTTAGCTGGGTTCCTAATCCGGTTGACAAAGATTCGCTCAGGACCTCCTGCTGCTTGACATTTCGGAGCCACTAACTGGAGTAGGACATACGATGCTTGCAAACCCGCCGCTCCGTTGCGGAGGCGGAGCATGTAGTGGTGCGGTTGTCCCTGCCGGAAGATTCCAACCACTGCTGGCGGTGTGAGATATTCTTCCAGGAGAAGGGAGATCGGGCGAGCCCCCCACAGTAAGGCCGCCGTGGCAGGGGCTGCATCTCCCAGGGCCGGCGTTAACCTTTCCGCAGTGGTTCGGACCACTTCCTGCGTAGCAGGTGATAAACGTGGCTGTGAGAAGGCATCGCCGCATATCTCTCTACAGGTTCCCAGGATAATTGGCAAGGCCTGAGACACGAACTGGTGGAGTTGGCGCGCAGCTTTGAGGCGGTCATAAATGACTGAAAGGCTCTGCCAATTATAGAGAATGATCTGAAGAGGCTGAATTAAGTAGGCTACGTCTTGATAAATCCTCTCGGTGAATTTTGGTGGCATGTCTTTGGGGATCTCTCCTTTTTTTTTTGATTGTTGTGATGATTTCTGTGAATCGGAACAGCTGCGGGTAGAGTTGTTTTTTTTTTTGGTGAGAAAATGACGTGAATGAAAGGAGGTGTAACAGGGTCGGCATAATGTGACTCGAAGAGCCCTGAATGCGCCAGAGGACGCTTCTTTGTTTGCGCCAGAGGACGCCGAGTCACGCCAAAGAACGTGCTCACCGTGCATGTACTATAAATTCGAGCGTTTTGGTTGTGTTTGATCCAATCCAGGATGTGTGTGTGTGTGTGTGAGTGTGCATGGGGGCCGCGTGTTGGGGGAATACTTGAACGTGATGACTATGTGAAAAAGGGTCGGCCGTCGGTAGCTCGGAGAGCTCACGATGCGCCAGAGGACGCTTTCCTTGTTGCGCCAAAGGACGCCGAGTCACGCCAGAGAGCGTGCTCACCTTTGTTGGAAAAGATATCGTTTTGGGGTATATACAAGTGGGGTTTATATGTTGCCTTCCCGTCTGTGTCTCTTTTCGTGGTGGTGTCTTTGGTTGATTGTGTCAAAAATTTGTTGACAATACCGGCATGTACGTTTCTCCTCGTCGGTTTTGCAGTATAATTCATGCGCAATGCGAGCAACCATGGAATCCCAGACTGTGTGACATTTGTTGCATGTGCGATTAGCTACATCCGATCCCCTACATTGGCGATTGTGTCTTTCCTGTGCGCTTGTCCTTTTACTAGGTCCCTGTACTGTGTTTGGCAGCTTCCATTGGCATCTGGGGCATGTCCACGCACTTTGGTCCTGGGATAAGTGTGCTTGTTTCTGTGTGCACGATCCTTCGTGACGAATCCTGGTTTCGATAGTTTCAAAACTTTCCCTGCAGTATTTACACTGTAAGTTTAAATCGGCCGTGCCGTTGCATTTGAGTTGATGTGTGTTGCGCGTCACTCTGTCTGGGAAAGATTGTCCACAGATCCTACATGGGTGATCATCGCCTCCTTCAGGCATCTGTTCAGTACACTGCATTTCGTGCCTAGCGCATTTGCGCGCGCTAATGAAGACCCTTCCACATTTGCGACAGGTTTCCGCGGTTGCCACTGTTAAGTCCCCTTGTCGAGGAGCTGCCCATCTTCTGCTGTGGGTGCCTAAGCGGTTTTGGCGGCCTAAGTTTGCGAGTTCGTCGGCCTTGTCATTGCCTGGAACTTGAGAGTGGCCTTTGACCCAACGGAATGTGATTACGCGTGTCTGGGAGACCTCCTTGTATAGGCTATGCGCGTTATTGGCCAGAGTGTGATTAGCGTGTGGTGTAGTGTGCCCTAGGACCAGGTTGGCGGCGTAGTGTGAGTCATATAGTATTTCAGCCGGTGTGTTGTCCGGACCTGGGGCTTCGTCTCGAAGCCAGGTTATCGCTTCGGCAATAGCCGTGAGTTCCCCTGTGTTGTTGCTAGATTGTTGTGCCCCCAGAAAGCGTTGATCCTCCGCGTCTAGGACGACTGGGCCGTAAATTTCGAACAAACAGGATGTATCCTGAACATCCTCGGCGTTGTAAACTGCGAAACCCCACCCTGCCGTGGCCGGTTGTTGTGGCTGGAAAGAGCCATCTGTATAAATTTTCCAGATGGGTGGGGGGGGTTCGATGTTGGGAATTTGTAGTGGCAACCAACCGTACTTATCCCGAATGTCGTGATCCCGAACCGCATATAGGATTCGGCATTCATGATTCAAACGAGCGTGCGCGTTTGGAAAGGTTTGACGGCATTCCCCACATTGAAACACGTTGAAGGTTGTCACGGCAGGGTCTGTGATGGCATGTGTATGTAGGTAATGGATGTGAAGATCTCGCAACCTGTCAAACCCTTGTCGGCAAACAGGACAAGTGTTGGGGGGGATTGAGCTGGCGGGGGGAGTCCAGACCGTGCGTGTGCGCCAACGACGGACCTGCGTATTGTCAGGGAGAGGGTGTCCCGGTCTCCAGTTGTTCAGGGCTCGCTTGGCATACGTTGTGAGGGTCCTGTGGGGGAAGGCCTTCTTAATCAATGCGTCCCATTTGGTTGGATCCCGATTTTGTGCCAGGCGAAAGAAATCGAGTTGATGAATATCTGCTGTTCGTAGAACTTCGCTAATCCAATATGTCTGTGTGTGAGCCTTTGTGGGGCTGCGTGTGTTGTGAATCCAGGTTCCAAATAGGGCCAGTTTGGGAAGCCGGTCTATCGGCATTCGGCAGATGTGTCCTAACCATTTCAGTGTGTGTGTCATTAAGACCTGCTGAATAGTGGGCCACACTGCGGCCCTGTGTAATTGCTCTGTGGTAATGTGAAGTTCGTGCATAGCTAGCTTGTCTAGCCCAAACACCCTTTGCAATGCGTAATTTTGGGCGCTTTGCAACATGCCGATTTGGCCCCTTGTCCAAGTTCTAGATCTGCCGAAGGTGGTTAACGTGGGGGCGACAACGCTTCTCATGACTCTAAGTCTAGCAATGAGTTTAATGCGACTAGTAGAACCGCGTCCTCTGTGTGTGCCTGTGCTCCAAGCTTTGGCGATTTCCCGCGCTCGACGTTTTGCTTGTTGACAACGATGGATGGTGTCTTTCCATTGTGCGCCCGTGCTAGAGAGGATACCTCCGACGTGTCGAACTGAGGGATGTTGTTGTGGGGGTGTTTTCCTTTGTTCGGGTGGGGTTCCTGGTTTGAGGATCAGGGTTTCAGTTTTGTCTCGATTGAGCTTTTCTCCCCAATCCTGAAATGTTTGTCCAAAAATACGGTCTGCGTGAGGTTGTTCCGCGGTCGTGGCAATTGTTGCCGTGTCATCTGCGAATTCTATGTCCCCGAAAACATGGGTTTTAGAGTTGGTGGTGGCCATATATGAGGCTCTTCTTCTCTTTATTTTACCGTCCACAAAAACTTTCCATTCTATGCCAGGTACTAGTCCTAAGTGATCCGCGTTCCGTTTTCTTCGGAGCCGATAGTCCGTGAGGACAGCTTGATGATAGACATTGAACAGCGGGGGTGAGGACGGGCATCCTTCCTTCAAACCCCTGTCGGCGGTGTAGTCGCGCGACGTGATACCTTCTACCCTAATATGGAACTGTGTGAAATCATGCAAACCCTGGCATAATTTAACGAAAGCCTCCGGCATCCCCCTGCGTTTAAGAAGTGTCCAAAGGGCTTGCCTGTTAATCCTGGGATAAGCTTTCTCGATATCGTATAATGTAAGGTGAACATGAGTGGGACCTCTGGAGCTGCATATTTCCTCGGTTAAACGTCTACTGATTTGTAGTACATCGTCCACCCCTCTGTTCCTCCTAAAGCCTTGTTGTTCCTCGTCCATGAATGATTCGGAAAAGCTTTGGATGCGACTAGCTACGACCCTTGCTATGATTTTGGCTCCAATGCTTAGGAGTGTTACTCCACGCCAGTTATGCTTACTACTTTTGGGATGTTTCTTTTTCCATAAAGGGATGACTGTGGCCGAGAGCCACTCTTCCGGCCAGCTATCTACTAATTCTTCTGGGTTTGCTTGCCCGGTTGTCTCCCAAATGTTTTGTGTGACCTTGACCACGATATCTTGAATGTGGGCGGGCGCCCATTTGACCATTTCTACCGAGACTCCGTCGTCCCCCGGGGCTTTGCCCACTTTCATCTTTTGTATTGCCCTCATGATTTCTGCTTTTTGGGGTGTTTCGGTCATCCATGTGGCGGTTTGGGGGTTTTGAGGAATACTTTGCCAGACGCGGTCTGCTACCATCTGTGCGCCGTTTTGGATTTGTTGGAAGTGGCGCCGCCAGGAGTCGGCTTCTGCGAAAGGATTGCTAGATACAGTTCTCATTCGGGTTTGTGTGTTGTTGGCTTTCCTGACCTGAAGTTTGTGCATGATACTGTAAAGTGCATGATGGTCACCGCGTTGTTCGGCGTCTTCGGCTTCCTGTCCTAACCCATCCCAATATTCACGCTCCCATTTGGTGAAGGCCCGCTTCTTAGTTCTCTTTACGCTTTGGAGCTGTCTTTGGGCGAGTTGTTTGTTGTGTTGAGCGGGGATGTGGTGTGGGTGTTGTTGGAGAGCCTGGGTGGCCTGTAGGAGGTGTGCTTTGGCCCTGGAGACTTGTTGGTTAAGGTTGTTAATTTCCGCCTGTCTCCCTAAAAACCAAGGTTTACCCCTTTTGTGCTCAGTGATCCCAAAAATCTGAGTGGCTGTGTCCTTGAGTAATTGTGCTAGGTCTGTCCAATTACTGGGCTGGTTGCCTGCGTCTAGCTGCTGCTGTATGGCCTCGCTGTATTGCTGCCTAAGAGTGATGGCTCCATTTGATTTGCCCCTGCCTTTGTGTGTGGCTGGCCGAGGTGGGAGGGTGGGTTGTTTCTGGTAGCCCTTAGGGGGTGCGATTTTGATGGTGATCTCGACTGGGGAGTGGTCAGTGTAGGGGGTCCAATCACGATGGAGAGCCTCCCAAGCTACCTCTGGGTGTATGGTGAGGACCCTATGGATGTTGCCCAAATGCTTCTTTGCAACCAGGAAGTAGTCCAGAAGGTGTCCTGTGTTGTATCGTGGGTGCCACCACGTGGTTTTGTTGTTCTGGGGTGTCCACGTGTTAGCTATGACTAATCCCTGATCCTGACAGAAATGGAGGAGTTGGTGGCCGCGGGAATTGCGTTTCGGGGGTCCGAAGGGGCCTAGGGCAGTGGTATTGGCATCCCTTATACCTACCTCTGCATTGAAATCTCCTCCGAGTAAGAGAATGTGGCGTGGTTTGACCTGATCAATTAGGTGCTCCAGGTCCTCTAGATACTCCTGTTGTTCTTCCACTGTTGTGTTTGTGCTAGGGGCGTACGTGGCGATTACCGAGAGTCCTAATTTCTGATAACAAGGTATCTGAATGAGCATGCTGCGGCACTGCGCCCCCTTGGTATCCGTGTTGACTACTATGCCATAATTCCTCCATGCCGCAGTCCATCTTTCGTTTAGCGCGATAGCGACCCGGCCTCTGCTGATAATGGTCCATTTCGGTTGGGATTGGGATTGAGTTTCCAGCGTTGCATTGGTGCCTAATTTGGTATCGCTAAGTGTGACAATTTCCCATTTGCGTAACTCCCATAAGTCTATTAGGGCGTCCAGTTTCTGATCTTGGTCTATGTTGCCTGCTCTGGCTCCCAGTTGTCTTGTGTTCCATGTTCCCATGTGACAAAGTCTTTTGTGTTGTCTGTTTCGCTTGAAGCGGTCTAGCCATTTACCATGGCCTATCCTCTTCCTTTTTCGTTCGCGTTTAACTTTCAGCCTACCGACCCTCGAGAGGATCGAGCGCATGAGACGATGTTGATCCCCACAGCTGATGGTTTTGGGTTGAGTTGTCTGCTCTATGCGGGCTTCTTCTATTGTGCTGTGCCCTTGGGCCTAGGTGCGGCGGTGTATTGCAAGAGTCCATATTGAAGAAGACCTGTGTAAAAAAAAAAAACGACGGGGGGGAGGGAGCAAGGGTGAGAGAGAATGAAAGAAACAGACCCCAAACGACAAGTACGAGACAGATACTGACCTCATTTAGGTTGTGCAATTCCTTTTCCTTCGTTTTGCATGTCCATGTGCGTCGAGAGGCGATGTATGGATAGACAACAGACCAGAAAGAACCCGCCCGGCGAGGCGAGATGTCGGAGCCCACCCGCCATCTCAAGATAACAAACCATAACCAAGGGAAGGGTGGAAACCGAACAAGTCCCCAAGACGGTTGTTCACCCCAACGCCCGAGGTTATTTTATGGTTTGTTACCTTGTTTGTGCTTCACCCTCTTGCCTTTGCAAGAGCGCCCCCGGAGGGGAGTGGTGTTTGCCTCGTCGGCTCCTAACATGGTCCAGGTGACCTGCTTGGTGTGATCCAAAGTGACATGTTAAGGAGCATGCTCGGGGTGTAGCGATACCATGGAGCTTAGAAGGCTGTTTGAAATACGTGCGTTGAGTGTACACTGACTTATTTAGTCTGGGGTGACGTCCAACTTTGATCTCTGGCTCTGGTATTTTATGATGGACAGGCTGTGATTCCGACGAGTTTCCAGGGGACACCCGCGTGGAGGTTTAGCACGTGTCCGGTCAACAACTGTCCGTGTTGTTGATCCTCGCTGTGTGTCCTGCTTGGGTTGGCAGGTACGTGACCGCAGCATATGACATGAGAGTGTTCAATGACGGCCCTGTTCATGCCTCTGTCTCTTTTTTTTTTTCTCTCATGCGCTCACTAAATCTCCGCTCTCAGTGCGATCCACAGTGACCCCGCATTTCGACTTGGTCAGGATACGATTCACCCAGTTTGAAAAGGGCTGCGATCCTTCCTGGGAACCAATGGAACCAGAGATTCCGAAACACCGGGTGCTTGGCACGTTTCACTGGCAATCCACGCCCACCAGCCTTAAAAAAGATCATTCATCATCACTATTTGAGCAAGGGCGGATCTGAACCTCCGCATTTTAGAGTGCTGGGTGCGGCAAAGACCCCACTGTTTCAGAATCCATGAGAAATTTGTAATTTTTCAATGCATTTTCAATACATTTCCCCTCAAAACAATGGTGTTCTATGGTGTTCTGTCAGATCCATTTTCTTGGAATCCCACCTCGAACTCACTCCCGTTGCCTTGAGGTCCGAGAAAGTCGGTCGAAGAGAGGCATGTACTTCTTTGCTCATCCTGCATCTGGACGATCGCAAATGGAGAGACCAAAGGCTTAGGATATAAAGTTCCAACTGGTGATGTCCAGAGAAACCTCAAGATATTGCACCGGGACAGGTGGGGAGCACTTTTTGGGACCTGTAAGCCACTGAAGGTGTTTCCAGATTGGGCTACACATGACTGCTATGGTTATTTCTGGACGCCACCAGTCAACACCTAGTCGGCACGGTGGCCGGGAAGATCGATACCCCAAGTGATCCAGCGGAAAGTGTCTTTGGCATTTCGGGGAAAAACATCACAGGTCTGCAGAAGACCCAGATTTCCAAAGCGTTTTCTATGCTTTGGACAGAGGTGGTGCTCTGTCTAGTTGTATGGTCAAACTGGTCAAACCTCAGCATGGCAGTATGGCATACTGGGCATACTGTTTGTTGGTCGTTGGAAACCTCAACTTTCCGATCAGCGAGCTGCTGGAGCCACAAACAGTGCAGAGTTTCCCGGCCCCACCGTGCGACAGAGTTTCCACAGCTTTCCCGCGCTCGTTGACCAAGAATCAGCTGACCAGCTGCTCAGACGTGAAACCATGGGAGCTACTTGGGGGATGCCGTTGGGCTTAGTTAACTTGAGCTCATTAAGTAAGGATAAAACCCCCAGAAAATTATGGCACATTATGGCTACCCCACAGTAGACAGCTGCCATGGCCACAGCTGCGACGGTGCGGAGCTGCTGGTGGAGTTTGCACATGAGTTGTGCATATTTCGGGTCAACATGTTTAGTATGAGCATATTTAGCAACCATCCTTGATCGGATACCCAACTTTGACCTATACGTGAAGCACAAGGAACATCCAACCCTGGCTGGTTTCCAAAGCCGCAGGTTTTCAATTGATCAGGTCAGGGGGCGCAGGTAGTCAAAACCCAGATAGCCTTATGGAGTTCTTGGATAAACCCCTGGTTCCGCGAGTTGTTCTGGACAAATCCACTCCATAGATGCCATAGACATCAGTTGGTTTGGGCGTTGCCACCAGCCTCCTGGAAGTGGGCGTGATCCCTCAAAGACCTGCGAGAAATGCGTCGGCTCGTTGGAAAATCAGGGGAATTTCGCTGGATGGGTTGACTGCGCAGCAAGTTTCAGGGGATTTCATGGATATTTCATGGATATTTCATGGATATTTAATGGATATTTAATGGATATTTAATGGATATTTAATGGATATTTAATGGATATTTAATGGATATTTAATGGATATTTAGCCAGATTTAGTGGGGATTTCATGGATATTTCGCTGATTTAAGCTCGAACCACCGGCGGAATCGGATGGATTTTTGCCAAGCAAAAACTGGCGGATTTGAAGGTAAACGGGTAAACCTTGGTGAGAGGTAGGTCTTGCCATTTTGACCGGGATAGAACACACCCACACACACACACATATAGTTATACAATTATAATTATATATAGTTATACAATAAGTTATAATAAGTCATATATATATATAAATATATATATATGTATGTATGTATGTATATAAGATCCTGAGCTGAACACATAATATTGCATCTAGAATATTGAAGGATTTCACCAATGGGGACTTACTTGAGCTACACCACTTTTTTCGAGGGATCGTGGTGGCCTCAAAGATGGAGGTTTGAACTCAGCCACAGTCGGAAGGTTTGCCGGAAACCATGGAGTTCAACCACAAGACATGACGATCTTAGCCAGCAAAAATCACCAAAAAATTGGGGATTCAAAGCAAACAGCGTCGATTTCAAACATCGCCAATCAACTTTAGGAATTCACCACAATCAGCGGTATTTTTTTTGCAGATCAGCACCTTCGACAAGAGCTACAGCCAGTTCGAGCGACTCTACATGATGATCGTCAAGCAGCTCATCGAGGCACCAGCTTCGTAGATGGATACCGGGTATGCCGCTAGATGTGGATTCCCATTTATAGATATTCCCATTTATAGATTCCCATATATATATATATATTCATAGATTCCCATTTATATATATTTATGGAGCCATCTAGAAATTGAAGATGCAGGTTGCATTGCCACATGGTGTGGCATTGCGGGCAGTCCTTCCATGGAGGAAACGAATCCAGCCCCCATGGCGGTCAGACCACCCTGGAGCCCATCCACAGTATGGCAGATACGTCCAGAAGCTCAGGAACACGTTGGAACACCTAGAGGCAAAGAGAGGCAAAGATAAGATAACAGGAAAAAACCAACTGGATTGCTCCTGGATGTTCTCAAGTTTTCTATAGTTTTCTTGTTTTCCAAGCAGTCCAAGCACATTTCCATGTTTCAATTCTCAGAGCTGGCCCCCGCAGCATGGCCTGGAGCGGTGCAATCTTTCACAATGATGGAGGCATTGTGGCCAGCATAGGTGCCTCCCAAAAAGGATGGACATGTTATGATATGTTCAGATTTACCTTCATATTTTAAGATCTATGTTGATGGTGATTCACTTTTCAAAGTCTATCTTTCTTGGGGTTTTCCCGGCGGAAAGGGACTTTTCCGCCCTGGAACACGGTGGCCTTCCAAGGTCTTGAGTGATTCCAAGGTGTGTCAGTTGCAGTTACCTTTGGCCATCTTTGGCCCCAAAATTTTGAAGCTTTCAAAAAAAATGGTAAACAATACTGATCTTAAACAGCTACTGATCAGTAAACAATAGGAGCAACACATGGGATCTTCTAGACTTCAACAGCTACTGATCTCCAAGATCTACTGCGTGGCTTCGCCATGCTGCGATGGCTTGTCGTGGCTTTGTGAAATATGGCATTTGCGCCATCTCCGTGGGGTGTGCTCAGGGGGGCTGTGCAGTCAGGATCAGTCAGTCATGCCACTGAACATCGATTTTTCCTATTTGATCTTCACAATTTCCTGATACATAGATTGACATACCTGAAAGCCGAAATTATGGAAAGAAGCATGCGACCGAACGAAGTTCTTAACACATGGTTAGAAACTGCTCTTCACAAGATTGGGTTGTTCAGAAGAAATTGAACATAATTTAACACAATTGAACATAATTTAAGGAGCATTAACATCACCACCAAAAATTGCGACACCAAGTTACTGACATTTCATCATGGCCTCAAGCCGAGGTCCTCAGTAGCCTATTGGCAGGGCTCTTCTGGAGATCCTTTTGGGAGCTGGGGCGCCAAGACTGGGCGGTGACGTTTGGGTTCAGTTCTAGCACCGGACTGGCATCAGATCTGATCAGTAACCCGACCCGTTTGGATCCATTCGGGTTTGTGATGAATTGCCATCGTTTTCCTACTAAAACAAAGCTTCAGGGCTATACATCCCATTTATCACCTTGCTGGTTATTTACAGGGTGGGGGGGGTTCATGCAGCAATATGATCATATGAATAGTATATAGGCAGTACATACTCGCAGGTAGCATATAAATATATGCATATATATATAAGATACACAAGATGTAGGTAGAATATATGTAACACATAGGTAGTATGCACGTAGAATGTAGGTAGCAGAATATTCCTCCAAAATGCTGCAAATAGCGTGCAGGTGGGAGGTGGCTCTGAAATGCTGCAAGTAGCATGCAAAGCAAGAGATGTGACAGGGGGTTGGGGGGATAATACCCATAATACCCAATATACACCAGTTATGGTCGAACAATGTTTGAAAAAAAACATGATTTAAGATATTTAAGGTTCAAAACTAACTATTCTTAGGGGTTCATCTTCCCGTTAGATCATATTAGATCATTACATCCCATGATGTCCATGGGACACTGGCGAACCCCTGATCCAGGTACCTCTCAAGTGAGTTTGATCAATCCCGCATCGCGGAATTGGAGGCGGCCTTGCAGCGGGAAACTCAGCAGTTCATCCCATAATTTCTTGGATGATCCAGGATCGCAGCCACAAAATGTGGCTTTCCCAGGCGCGAAGCCCTTGCAGCGAAAGCCGCTAGGGCTGAGGTGGCAGCGTTGCGCAAGGCGCTGTACCAGGCCACCGTGGAAAAGTCGCTTCGGTTGGGTGTTTTGGAGTCTCCAAATGCGGCCTCCCAGGTCTTTTGTTTTGGGTATCGGAGTCAGAATTCATGTTTGATGATATTTTTCAAGCATATTTTTGGGATGGTTTGGGATGGTTTGGGATGGTTTAAGGGGTTCAAGACATGCGAGGCACAAGCGTGCACCTAAAGGAGACGAAATGAACCGGAGGGTGTCTTTGCGAGAAGAACGCGTGGTTTTTCACACATCCCCTCCCGAAATGCCCACAAGAAGTGGCATGGTTTATAACTTGGCAAACCCGCTCATGAACAACTCCGTTTTTTGCGGAAATGGGTGGTATGCAAACCATTGAAACCACCCCCCAAGTAGTGTTTGTATTGGGTTGCCACATGTGTCACGTCGTTCCTTTCCGTGCTAGGGGGCCGCTGCTACACCATGCCCAGCTTGCCGAAATGATGTTGGCCCAGTTGGCAATGCAGAGGCGAAGTCGTGTTACAAGTTACCAATATATATATATATATATATATATTTATACACAATATATATAATATATATTTATACACAATATATATTATATATATTTGGGTAGTACACCCTGATGAATCAAGTGGGTTTATTATTCCAGGGTTGAAACTGCTATTTAATCCTATACGTCATCCCGGATGACGTCGGACGGTGATTTTCGATGTGATTTTCGACGTACACTTTTCAGTGACATTTTCAGCATATGGTTAGGACACAATTCATCCCTACTTCAAGACTTCACTGTGGGCGTCCCCATCTGACCTTGGCACTGGCTCAGCAACCAACATTTGTGGCTGGCAGGTGACAACTTGTAGGTGTGTGGCTCAAAATGTAGCTCGAGATGCTCAAGTCATCCTTTTTAAAAAGGGGACATGTTGGCTTGGAAATCAAGCGAAGCTGGGAATCAAATCACCTGAAAAATGATGAACCGCACACACACACACACATACATGATAATATATATTAATTTATATCTATATATTTATATATATATACATATGATAATATGACGTGTAATCATATGTAACACACTTAGCCTTGAGTTTCCACTGCACCCTATATGCCTCCCGCTTCGTGATGTTGCGTGTGCTGTCGCTGGATGGTGCCACGGTGGCCACTTTGGAGGGCCATGACTTCCGTGGTCGACAGGTCAGAGAGGCTGTCCAGGAGAGCCTTAGTCACTTGGAGAAGATTGTACCATTAGATCAATGGGAGATCTTCAGGATCCTAAAATGGAGGTACCTACCATATTTTGTGGCCTATGTATATAAGGCCTATTTCCATCATATTTCCATCATAGAATTGGATGATGGGAAAATTTACAGGAAAACCCTATATGCCTATATGCCTATATTTGATGGTAAAAACCATGGTTTCCTGTAGATTTTCCCTTAAACCAATCCATTGAGGTATGGGTAAAAATTAAAGACTTGGGGGCTGGGGGACCACCTTTGTTGAAATCTGTTTTTAGTATTACCATCTGGGTATTTAACAGTTCGCCATGGAAAATCACCATTTTTAGTAGGTAAACCATCTATAAATGGACCATCTATACCATGGCGAACTGTTAGTCATAACCAGAGGGTAACCATCCAATAATCGGGGTACCCAATTGTGTCCCATAGCCAGATAATCATCCAACATCCTGGTCTTTATCTTGGGGATGAGTAGGGTGTGCCTCGGAAATACTCAGGGAGATTCAGGGAGTCTTCCATTGGGCTCGGTTGCCATTTGGGGGGAGCCATTGTTGCGAGTTCAGAAGTAGGTCCATTTGCATCCTTGAATCATTTTTGCCCACACTTTCACCAGCTGGTTCTCCGGGAGATTTGAACAAATGCACCTTTTCACATCCTAGAACCTTAGAAGCACCTCGAAAGAGGAAGCAACTGATGCGGAGGAGTCAACTGAATCCCCATCAATAAACCACCTCCAAAATCACGTGGTTTCCCACTGAAAGCTGCCTCCAATCCAAGGCGAGTCCAGCCGGGCAGAGACCTTCGACTTAGTGCCGTGGCCCATTTGACCTGTCTTGGAGAGAAACACATCCGAATGAATCACTATGAATCACAAACTAAAAACCACCTAATTCCCATATAAAAAACATGTATCAATACATATATATATATGAATGTGATATTGATATACCCACCTTAGCTTGCTTATTACCCCAGCTCCTGGTCCCGGGCAAAAAATGGGGGATCTTTGCCGATGTGCAGCTCCTGGGAACAGCCATGACGACTCACTGCACATTCCCACGGGTCACGGTTAGGTTCCATGCGTTCCATGCGTTCCTGTGATATCGCTTGCTCCAGAATCAGATGCTTTTCCTCGTGCACAATGATTTTTTACAAATCAAATTATCACTGGATTGCTGGAGAAATCTTAACCTGGAGACGGTGTTTTCTCATGTTTTCTGCAAATATGAGGGTTCATGATCAAAACCCAAGGCTCAAGAGGTTAACTTCAAAAAAACCCACCAATCCTCCATCTCCAAATCCGCCAGGTTTGGAACACTTTGTTGGTTTCAATCATGGTTCAATATGGTTCAATTATTTAAAAAAATGTTTTTTTGAATGTTTTCCAATTTTTCAGCCTCAAACTCACCACCTGTCGCTGTGCAGTCGCCCGGTGCTTGGACGGCAGGTCTTTCGCGGCCGCCTGCTGCATGACGGTGACCGATTCTGCGGGGAGGGCTCCGAGGCGATGGTGAACATCGTCTGGCGGCGCCATCCGACACTCGGCGGTTCGAGAACCGTTGTGGGGGGTCCTTTTTTAGGGGGGGTTGAGCAGTTGAGCATCCCCAAAAAAACTATTTTTAAAGCACGAAACTCACTAAACATTGGATTTTAAGACACGATCATTGGGTTTCAAGCCCAAAAATTGGAGTTTAAGCCCAGCCCAGACAAATAACAACACAGATGTGGATATTCACCAGGGATATGTCCCGCTTTCTCCGCCCCTAATGTTTGGGTAGACCTCGGTCGAGTAGGTTGATGAGTATCTTGCAGTTTTGCTTTGGCATCCTGATGAAACTTTCCTATGAGTGTTTCATTTTTAAGGGGTAGCATGTCTAGGTTCAATCAGTTTTTTCTCCAGTGGCCACAGGAAGATTTTGACCGCCTCCAAAGACCAGATTGCGATCTTCGATACGCGGCCCCCGGGGCAGAAATTGCTGAGCAGCGGGCCATTTCTGCGGCTTGGGCTTCAGGGGTTGAGGCTGGGAATTCTACCAGAACATCCCTGGTTTGGTTGGTGGTTTCAATGGTCTAATTTGAGTTGGGATAGTGACCCCCAATGACTCATAATTGGCACATATTGTTCAGGGGGGAAAGACGAATCAGAGTTTGTAGCTTGATCACTTGCGACCGTCGCTGTAATCCAGTATGCACATGGGATATGTTCATATTTGTTCATATATTTTCAGTTCAAGCAACAGCCAAGCAACTGCCATCTGGGATTGAGGATGGTCATCCAAATAACTTGAAGATGGACATCTATAATCATCTACAAAAGTCTATATATGGCGGATTGGAAGGGATGGTGCTCGATGTTTTTCTGACCTTTCCACAGCAATTCTGACAGCAGGACGGTTTTTTTGTGTGTTGCCGGTGGCTGGCCATGATGCCCCTATTGCCAATAGCCTTTGGATGAAGTGTCAATTGGGTCAACTCTTCTAGTTTGGTGTTTTGAATCATTGTTTTTCATTTTACTCAATTTTCTATCCTGAATGCTGCAGAATGGTACGGTGATCCCACTATTCAGATTTGGCTATTTCATGCTATTTCTCTATTCTAAATACGGTTCCGTGTGGGATCTATTTTGTGATCCGAGCAGAGCAACTAGCTTAGAAGATGTCAGCTGAGGCAGCTCATAGGTGCAAGCGTCTCGCCCGATGGCAGCATGTGGCTGGTGTCCATGGCAGATGGAGCAGTGGAAATTTACGACGTTGAAACTGGGGAGAAGATCTGCAGGGTGCAAGGCGCGGTTGTGGCCATTTCGAAGATGTCAAGGCACCCATCCAGGATCAAAATCTCCCAGTTCTGCTGTCAGTTGCCAGTTGGAGATGCGACAAGGTGCTTAAATCCCATGTTGAGGCAGCCAGCGGCGTGCCCACAGCGTCATTTGGTCGCCGAACAGCCAACTGGTGCTGGTTCCCTGTGGCCCTACAGCTCTGATCTTCGATGCGAGGAGGGAGTGGAAAACCTACAGTCCAAATGATCCAAGGTCCCAAAGGTCTGCCCATGTCTGCCGGTTTTCGACGCTCCATGTCCATTTTTTTTGGGGAACAAAGCTGTTTGGGTGTTCCAGAAGATGTTCCTTTAAGCTATTCCATGGGAAAGTATGGGAAGGCACAATTGTTGCTGGACTAGTGTTTCTTCCGGCTCAAGTACCATCCCAACTTCTTCTTGATCTGCTTGATTGCATCTTATTTGTTGGCATAGCTTCATGTTTTGTAGCTCAATCCCCATTTGTCTTGCTTTGATCCCAAAGCTTTCTTGGCCGAAGCATTCTTGAGGGATCTGTATACATTTAAGGCAGCACACACGTATATACTATGCTAAATAGACATGCTAATACAAGTCGAGAAAGATCCATGATAATCCATGATAATCCCCTCATATCCCCTCCCCCCCATAGTAAATATCACCCCAGAAACCCATGGCCTAGTAAGAGCTTAGTCATGGGGGGATATTTGATATCAGACTGGAGCCAGGACTGGGGAGCGCTTAGGCACCTGCCATGGTGCCGCCAGCGATGTGCGCATGGGCAGCTTTTCACCGGACAGTTCCATGGTGCTGGTGGTTTCCCAGGCACAGATACGCGAGAAAAAATGCGGATTCCAAGAGTTGGGGACCTATATTGAACCGCCAGAAACAAGGTTTCTGAAGCTAAATGATGAACGGCTTCACACGGCTGGCCCCCGGAAAGCTAACAGAGGGCAATTTCCAGTAGTGTTCAGAGTTCGTTTTCAGGAGTGCATTTTCCAGTGTAGCTCTTGATCTCATGCAGGATGGCTTCGCGTCTTTATTCTCAGCACCATCTGGGGCGAGTTTGCGACAGATGAGTGAGGTTGGCAAATGGCAGCTGGGACACAAAAGGTGCTGATGCATCATGGAAGCCAGAAAAAATTGACTAATGGAGTCGAAAAACACAGCTGTAATCATGTGTAATCCATGATTATCATGATTCTCCCAACAGAGCTCCTCAGAAATTCCTGGGAGATCGGAAAGATCCACTTTCGGTGGTGATTTGCCCCACAGCCTGTGGCAGGCCTTAGGTGAATTTTCAACTGGCACCGGCACCTCGAAACAGGAATATCCTGGACTGAACAAGAGAGTTCACCCCGTTGATTCATGGGATATGTTTACAGGAAAGCTCTTGTTGTTTCATGTTGTTTCATGACTTTTTGCATGATATCTCCTCCACTTTGTTCTTGAGACCTGCAAAGGGAGGGGTTTCCCCATCCAAAACCCAGCCTGTGCGGACCGCGACGAAGGAATGGCTCTGTTCACTTCTTCTCGTCCGGCGATTCCATATTGACACTTAGCTGTAATGCCCGGCATGTGGGACCCAACTTTACACATAATAACTAACAAATGAAGATTCAAAGAAAGTATGATAGCACCCTCAAGCAATCACAGACAGGACTGGCAAAATCGCAATAAATCATCAGGGAATCCATATGGCAAAATATGGCAAAACGGATGTGAATGTTCAATGGATTGGTTTAAGGGAAAATCTTCACCGGAAACCATAGATTTTCCAATTTTCTATGGGGCAATCCTGTAAAATTTCCCTTACCCTCTGGTAATCTAACAGTTTGCCATTGACAATACCCCATTGATAGTTTATTTACCTATTCAAACTGGTGATTTTCTATAGCAAACTGTTAGTTCACCAGAGGGTAAATCAATAATCCATTGAAAAGTTCATGATTTGGACCCAAACCGACATAAATTCATCATAAACCCATTTAGTAAATCTCCATTTGGGGATTGGTTTACCAATCATAAAACCCAATCCCAATCCCCCAGGACCGTGCTGCGCGACGGCACCGCGCGCATCTTCGACGTGGCCTCCGGGCGCCCAATACGCACCTTCAAGGAGAATGGCTGGCTGAGCGATGCGGCGCTGGCCGTGGGGGATGGCAAAATGCTGTGGCACGGCCGGAATAGCACCATTTGGTGGGTATACCCTCTGGCAAACATACAAAAAACGAGGGAAAATATGGGAAAATCACCATTTTTGATGGGTAAATCAACTATATAAATGATTATAAATGACCATTTTCAATAGCTATGTTAGTTTACCAGTGGGTATATCATTTATTGACTATTAATGACTATTATTGAATTTGGCTGGTTCTCACCCACGCTTTGGAGGCGGTTCTTCCCGATTTTCCCCTCTAAGTTTTAATGTTTCGCACGCCAAAGAGGTGCGTGGGCGTGAAGGAAGCAGTAAAAAAATGAATACTTTCATTCTTTGTATGACACACACATACATATACATCTAAATACGAGCGCATGATATATATATATATAAATAAATAAATAATATTCATTATATATTATATGCTCATGCGCATATAAACTGGACAAGGATTTGGTGAAGGATAACAGATTTGTGATAGGAACAGTCAATTGGTCTTACTAGGGACTTACCGTGGGGATCTTTTGCGGCAAACATGACAAACAATGATTAAGCACCATCACTTGGGACTATTACAAAGCAAATATAGCCAGTCCTACAAATCCAATGGTTTCATCATCATTTTCCCTATTCAATCACCATTTTTTGGAACATACTCCCATTCGTCGAGACATCCATATATTCATATACGATTCATGTGTTTTATTTTGCATCCCTAAGAAGATTATGATGATGCGCATTCTAGCAGCTGAAGGGCCAACTGAAGTATGCACTTTATGCGATACCCAGAGCTAGTTTTTTCACTTCTTAAGATGAGTCTTGATTCCTTTACGTTCCAAATTGTACTGTAACTACCCTATATACATTCCAGATTAACTACAACTATAACCAGATATCTTCATGGTGGCAATTGGTCAGATGTATTCTTCCCCAGATTGAAAGGTGCTTTCAGCCATTGAGGTTGGTACTCAGCGATTGCACAGCACGGATCTATCAGATTTCGAAGGACAGGAAGGTCCTTACATCGATCTTCCTGGGCGATTTGGGGAGCTACATCTCTCCATATCCAGTGCCTGCGGCTCAAAGAAAGACTATGGAAGACCATGGCCACCAGGAGAAACCATGGAAGAACCATGCGTAAAGCGGGTTCCCGGTATGGACCTATGGTCATTGGGAGTTTCATACGGCACTTGGGGCAGGTGATGTTTTCGGTTCCGCCGAGGTGAGCTTCTCGCGCTGTGGTTCCAAGCTCTTGATGGCCCTGGACAGCTGCGATGTGAAGGTGGTCGATACCAGCAGCGGCCAGGTGATCTGCAGAATTCTGGATTTGCCAAGTGATTTTGATGTGCAATGGTACCCTCTGGTTATGTCAAAATAGCTATTGAAAATCACCATGTTCAATAGGTAAACAATCTATACATGGGCCATTTTCAATAGCTATGTTAAATTACCAGAGGGTAGTTTGCATAGCCGCTATGGCAATCAAACATATTCAAACATGGCCATGGAAACTTACCGATTTATAGTTGATGTGCCCATTAAAGTCTCTCCATTTATAGGGATTTTCAATTGCAATGAGTGATTACCGGAGGATTGCAATATAGAATTACTATATAGTGGCCAACATCAGGATTCCCAAGAATGGTGGAATGACCACAACCCATAGACAATGTTTTGACCATGGCATATATATATATATTGTCTTACCTTTTCCACTGGCTGGGGCGTTAGACATGAGGAATCTAGTGAGAGTATCAGAATATCAGATGATATGATAATATATGATATGTAGGTTTCCTAAAATAGGGACAGCCCCAAATCGTCCACTTTAGTATTTTTTTCGCCATCCATATCATCCCTTTTAATTTTTGGGGTGCCCCCCATCACTTAGGAAACTTCCAAATGATGATGAACCAGTAGATTGATAGATGATTTCCCATATGATTTCCATATATAAATACATATGAAATTTCCCATCACATTCCCATTTATGGACATGAATTTCCCATGATATTCCCATGATATTCCCATTATTCTCCCATTGTATTCCCATTATATCATGATATTTTCGTGGGCCAGCTTCCTCCAGTCCAAGGATGCCTCGGTGGAAAGCATCACATCACTTCCGCCAGCTTCTCACCAGCGACTTGGCCAAGACTGATGCCATGGGAGGAATGGGAGGTGAAGCTGGGCCACAAGGAGGGAACTAATTTGGTGGATCTTGATATATATATATAGAGAATATCTCATATGATAATATAATATAATACAACAACATATAATATAGTATAATATATTTTAGTACATGTATATATATATAAATATTAATGCATATATGAGTATATGCATTAATATGTATATATATATATAATCCTTTGATGTATTTCAGAATATTTCCGTGCCGCGGTTGCACCATTTTCGTTGGTGAGTTCCGGGTCGCTCCATTGTGATGGTGGCCAAGGATGGGACCCAAGTGCTGGTGAGTTACTACAACTCCATTCCCAAAATCTTCGATGCTAGCAGCGGTGCGTGCGTCATGGATCTTGAGGAGCATCCTGGTGTGGTTCTGATGGCCCAGTTCTCATGAGGCAAACTAGTTGGTGCCAGCTGCCTGGAATGTTGATTTATGGCTCATTTGGGGATCAAAACCTATCATATCTGTCATTATTACTATATTAGCAGCAGGATTATTTAATACATATTTATTAATATTATTTGATTTGTGTAAAATCATATCTTGGGGGGACTGAGCCGGGTGACCATCCTTTTTCAATATACCTATTTATCATCAGTTTTTGGGATGCCAGCTCAAGGGTAGGCGACTGCCTGCACAAACCATGAGCCGTGCCTTTGGCGCACGGCTAGTTTTATTGTGGTCGGCTGGCAGCTGCATGGGCTGCACTTCTCTTGGCCGTTCGTTGCTGAGGAGGGCTTGTACATAGATTATACAGGTGCTGCACAAATGTTTCCAGCACAAAGAGGTGGCCATGGTGCTACAGCATGCACTTGTGCGCCCCTGCGTCGATGATCTGCAAAAGGGCTGCCCCGCTTCCTTGCTTGAAGCCGTGATCCAAATTCGGTGCCACCCATGTCCCAGAGATTCCCAGAGTATGTTTGGCAGATCGGCAGGCAACATTGATGCCATCTCCGCCCCAACCCGGGCACTATGCACGTGTAGGTGCGATTTGGAGCCGGAGCCGGCAAAAAATAGGGTGGATGAAGATGTCTAACATTCTAATTCTAGCCAACAAAAATGGAGAGACCACTACAAATGGAATGTAATGGAATTACGAGCAGCAAAAATGGAGCGGGGACTCTATATTTCCTCTTCTGTTTCAGGGGATTTCCGACCTTGACACGTCTGACACGGTGCGATTTCCCATAGATGGGTGGCCAACTCCGGATGGTTCATCCCCCTCTTGACTCTTGGGATGATGATCATGATCCCCAAGTGGTCAGGGAAACTCCGTGATTTTTGATTGTACCATCTGGAAAACTAACATAACTATGGAAAATCGCCATTTTCAATGGGTAAATCCACTATAAATGGCCATTTTCAATAGCTATGTTAAATTACCAGAGGGTAACCTGGGGGTCCTGTAAAATTTGACTCAAACCGAGCCAATGAACTAACCAGAAACTGCATCCCCTGAGAACTGGCTGAAGTCAGGCCTGGCTGCGGTGGCTGTTCCTGGGCTTTTTTTAAAAGACCTTGGGGGGCACTTCACGGGTTGACCCCATGACCTTTTTGACTTGCCCCATAAAGCCGAACTTAAATTGATGGCTGAATAGATTTGACATCATTTATCCAGGCATAGGGAAAAGTAGATATGACATGATACGACCAACTGTTTGTTTGGGTCGTATTTTTTGGAGCCATCCCCAAGTAAGGCCAAACACGTTTAGCGACTGTGACTGGAAATGGCTTAGAAATGCTTAGAACGTCTTGATTCCATTTACCAAGGTTTCTGACATGAAAGTTGCCCAACCAAAAATAAGATGATACTCCAGTGCATCCCCAATACTTTTGGGACTCATGATGACTCATGATGACTCATGTTGATGCCCAGTTGGATTGAAGAAACTGTAGGTGCATTATTGGCTTATATTGGTGTCTATCTAGCAATCTATTCGATCCAATCACATCTAGAATCTACTAGACTCCAGACATGCTCATATTTACTTCTTCGCATGCCCGGTAAAACGAGGGTCACCCGTCATCAACACATGAAGCCCACAACAAATAGGGAAAAAAGGGAAGCGCTGAGGACAAAGTGCACCAGAACAAGTTTGGCATCTCCATCGCCAGCCAGCGATGCTATGCCGAACACCATGGCTATGACTTCGAGGTCATCGATCCAAAAGTGGCCCGGTTGGGTCATCTCTGAGGCCAAAAAATGGGGTCCGAGGCTGTGGTGGGCCATGGGACTCCCATGGGTTGCTGTGGTATCTCTTGGCCAATGGTGATCTCCTAAGGCCGCACGCATCCGCCCACCTGAGGACTATCCTCGTTGTAACAAGTTCAAGGACTTCTTCTTTCGGAAACATTGCTCCGTGGCCAGATTTCTGGAGAAGCAGCAGCAGGATTACATTCTGCTGCCTGGCCAAAATCATGGTCTGGTTGCTGGTGTCCAGTTTTTTGGATGATTCTTCACCTTCTACTATAGTAACTGAGAAAAATAATCACACTCCGTTGACTTTCATGGTGTGGTCCGTGCCGCGAAGCTCCTGCAGGTTCGTGTTCGATGGCGACAATCCAGTGGTTTGGCTGGAGAGAAGTCGGATCCTTAAGATATACCACGAGTATCCACAGGTAAAACGTCGAATCAAATGGCATGGGGCCCCAAACTTGCCCGTCATTTTAATATACTTCAAAGTGGACATTTCTTTTCTGAAAGGTTCAGTTTTCAGTTTTCAGGTGGTTCCTTTTAACGGAGTCCAACGAGTTTGGCTCTCTTGATCCCGGGCCATCAGTTGGTGTTCAGCATTCTGTACTTCATTGTATTCTATATTTCCCAATTCAGATTGCCCATGATTTTCGGGCACTGCAGCGACCAATCAGGCACAGGGCCATTTATTTGTGCTGGGTCAACCCAAAACATTTCGGATCTCTCTTTCTCGCTGTTTTTTTTGACATGATTCTGCATCATGTTGCAATTTTAAACTTCTCATTAGAGTACTTTAGAGATATTATATAGTAGGTCCCTGAAAATAGTCATTGGCATCCATCGAAGGTATGGGCTCTGGGGATGGGTCAAGATGGTCAGGTACCCTAAAATGCTGAAGCTGAACCTTCAGGCCTGGACCATTGGTTGCAGGAAGTTTCTGCGACGGATGTGGTTCTCTACGAACGGTGGATGAACAACGAGATCATGGTGTCGTGGTGGCAGCCGGGGTGCTGGAACCAGTTAGGGTCTGCGACCCAGGGCGGCCGTGCCTGAGGCTGGGAACTACGCAGTGAGAAATTCGCAGTTCGGCATTGAATTCCTGGATGGCTGGGCAGCGTTTGAAGAGGAGTTGCCCAAAGCTGGTGGCACGGTGGCAGGGATGGGAGCTGGTGGAAATCTCTGGCATTAAAGCTGAAAAAGGATGCAAAAAGGGGCGTGATATGACATCAATAACCTTGAGAACATTCTTATTTGGGATATTCTTGGGTGGAAATTGTTGGTGTCTTTTTACTTTCAACATCTTTCAACTATATAGACATATCTGGGACCATATTTTCGATCGAAACCTACTCAGTGCAGAAAAAGACATGAAACAAACACAGTTTTACAGTAAATACATATTAAACATGATGCATTCCATTTGTTGAATCATACTTTGGTTGGTCAATCGTTTGGCTCCAAGGATATCACTCCTCCGACAACGGAGCCATCCATTTGCACATCTTGAGAGCGCTGGGTCTTCGAAATGAGAAGCCCTGCACTCAACATTGGAGTTGCTTGGCTTAGAGTCTTAGAGCAGTAATCCTTTCCCCCGAATACTAAACACCACCCCAGAAACCATGGTTTAGTCGGTTTTTTTTCTGCATCCTTGTGGCCAGAAAGATATGGGGGATGTTTAGTAGGGGGATGGGATTAATGATGCCGTGTTGCCTGGAAGCCGTGAACCAACATTATCATCATTATTTATCCATTCCCCCCAGTAAAAAACAAAATCCATCCCTGAATCCCTGCCTTGAAAAGACCCACCTGACCCACCCTTGAAAAGGTCACCTTGGAAGCGACAAGAATTACATGGACGAGTATTATGCCTTCGTCAGCTGCACCAGGTGGGCCATGCTGTTGAAGGATGTTGAAGGATGTTGGTTCCTCATGGTTCCTCACTGTTTAAGGATGGTTAGCGATGTTTGGCCATGTGGGAGCCTTCAAATCCTGCAAGATCCAAAAAATGCCAAAATGCATGTGCCATTGGCGATGCCAACTGGGTGACCTCGGAATCGGAAGCTTCGAACCGAACTTGCCACTTGTATCAAACAAACATGTCTCCAGATGTATATCTGATTCTTCTGTAAGAACATTCTATGAAGAAGTGGAGGAAAAAATATCCAAGTTTGTTGGTTTTGTCATGTTTTACCGCATTTGTTTGAGCTGGTTGGCGAGGTTAGTGATGGGAGTGCCAAGACGATGGAAGGTAGCTGGCACCCACCGTTTCTTGACAGGAGTCTGAACCGGGTATAGTCAGTCATGTTACTTTTGTTTATTATCTTGGGAGCTTCGAACATTTCTTTGCCAGCTATCTTTTTAGGGGATGCTTTTACATGATTGCAACATTTTCCCAAGGCTTTGCAAGTAGAGTCAGACAGGGATATGGTACTTCAACCGCAGGTTTCACCTACTCTTTGGGGTTGGGTTCAGTTCGGGTCCACCGCCCACTCCGGGTTTCATGTTCGGGAAAGGAGTGTAAAAACACGCCAGTTGCATGATTTCCTGGGGAACAAAACCCACTCCACACTGTAACCGGGTAGTAGAACCCATACCATGAGGATTGAAGATTCTTCAGATCTAGTGGTGCGGATATAGAACTGCTATGCAAAACCCGATGGTCAGATGGGAACAGTGATACTGGATCTGTGATGAAATTGCACGAGTATTTATCTCATTTTATCCTCGTGTTGATGTACTCGTGCAGCCACTCCTACAACTGTGGGGGATCCATAGCTAGATCCACAAAGATCCATGAAGATCCAACTCCTACAACATCCTACAACTGTAATTTGGGGGACCTGGAAGATCCAGAAAAATGCCAAAGCTCGCCGCAGCTCGCCATGGTTTTTCCCCGAGGCATCACCATCCTGCCACGGGGCCATTCTTGGGCCATCGATGGTGGGGATGCTGATAGCAAGGTATCCCCCGTAGGTGCCATCTCCCATCACGGGCAGATGCTTGGCAGCAAGCTGGGCGTTGCTAGGCGTTGCTAGGCCAGGCCTCTTGGAGAGATTGGGATGGAGATTGGTGGGAATTTAGGGTCTTCTTTCAACAGGAAAGGTGAAAAAGTAGGTCATTATAATTATATAATTATTAGTATATTATAGTCTTATAGTGATGAACGGCGATTTGCCAATTCATTCACATAACTCACATAACTTAAATTTGAGTTCACACCTAGCAGCCATGCTGCACGGGATCGAAGGTATTGCCAACGGAAAGTCGGCACCTACCAGACTCCGGTAGTTTTCTAAGTGCAGAGCCAACATGGAGCATCAAACAGGGCCTCCAAAGCCTGAGGAAGACAGAAGTGAACTATCGACAGCCCCTGATCTGCAAATTGCTTGGTGGCCAGGTTGGTGGCCATCCATCCCTAGTGGGGAAAATCATCTCCGTTGCCTGCCGTTACCACCAACCAGTTTGGGTTGGAACAGTTGGAACCACCAACCTGTCAACGCTCACCCCTTGCGAGCCGACAGTAGGTACTTTCAAGATGACTTCATCAGCAGCAAGGGCGCGAAGTGCCAGTTGCGTGGCGAAGGATTTTTCTTGGACTTTTTTTTTGGATTTTTCAAGAAGCACCTTTCTTTTAATAAGGTCATTGAATGAATACCCTCTGGTAAACTAACATAACTATGGAAAGATCCACCATGTTTAATGGGAAAATTCACTATAAATGATCAATTTTCCATAGCTGTGTTAGTTTACCAAAGGGTATTGAATATGATTCCATGCCAGTCCATTGCAATATATCCTGTGCTCCATGCGTTGACGATGGTTGACCTGCCGAGGTCGATGATCCGCGGAGGTTTCTTCATTGACGCCGAGAGCTATGGAGAAGCCTTGCCACTTTGGCGGATGCCCATTGTGGTGCCAACGTAGTTGCTTAAGTTGGTGCAAAGAACTCCAAAGGCTAGGGCTTATGGTAGACATAGCATGAGATTGCTATAGTCAATGGAATAAAAATGGATTTGGTGTTGGATTCCACCAAGTTTCTGAAACGAAGCAGAATTTGTTGGTGCTTTGTTTAGCTGGAGGGTTCCATCTAGTAGCGATTGATCACCTTTTCGGTGCTAAGCCCCCTACTCCATCAACTAGGTTTAATTCCCGGGTTAACTCCATCATGGGTTAAGACCAAGTGGTTTTCATGAGAACTACGAGAATCATATGAGAACTGTTAACTGGGAACTAATCCCAATATACAATTCCCAATGTATCAAACATAATATGAAAAGATATATGCTATGTATATCTAATATACCGTATATACCCTGTAACACACACATATACATATATATGTATATATATATACAGATATGCATATTATACTGAATTATACTATTACTGTATATTCGAATGCACTTCAACCCATCCCTCCAGGTCTTTCGTTTTTTGGGTTCAGGTGGAAGAAGCTGAAAGACCGCACCGATGGAGCCCTACTGGACTGGACGCGGCAACATGCGCCGCCTTGGGACTTCATGTATTTGAACTGTTGCTTGGCGAGTTCCAGAAAAATTGGATGTTTTGGGACATGCAAAGCGGTGGTTTGGGTGAAATGGAAGTAGAGAAATTCATGAAATGGAAACTTGAGAACGTACAATTTCAAAGGAACTTGGGAAATCTTGATTCAATATGCGGAATTTATTGCATAGTTTTGACATGTTTAGACAGTCGTTAGGCCTTGACTTCCACGCATGAATCATGCAACTCACAATGGACCGATTGGCTCTTGGCACCAGGTCCTTCTCCTTTCACCAAAAACATCAGCTCTGGATCTCTTTCCCTTCAAGTTATCCAGAACTGTTCCCACTTGCCACAAGAATCCACACTATTCCCAGTTCCATCCCAGGTATGAAGACCCTCTCCTGTCGACCACTGGATGACGCGGAAGTGCTTCCGGTGCTGTTCCCACGGCGCCTCGACTCGTCAGCGGCAGATGTTGACACCCCGCCTTAGCCTTGAAACCTAGGCCCCAGCAGTCGAAGCTGCCCTATGTCAGAGTTCCCAAGGATGCGAAGTTTGAGGTGCTGCCGACAGGCTTTTGTGGGGTTGATGCACTTGCTACAGTACAAGGGCTGCTTGAAGTTGGTGCCAGATGCGCAAAGGATGATATGTATGTGTGATGGTACACATATAACTGCAATATAATATATATATATATATATTATATATATACACGCACCCACACACACATATATATATATATACATACAAATACATATGTATGTATATACATACATAGCATGCATGTGTGTCTGTGGCTATAACATGTGGCTAAATCATGGCTTTTTGTGGCTACCCCAATTGCAAGGACTTGGTCATGCAGGGACATACACAGTAGCATGACCACCCCAGGTGTGCGCTGGCGAGTGGGAGACGCTTTGGCTGTTCATCATCCAGTGGGGCGGTGCTGGAAGATCGGGGATGGGGACCCCAAAATGAAGCGCCATGAATCAATGGCCATGTCAGGAACCCGAAAATGGAGGTACTGTACCATGTAAAGCCATATAAAGCCATATTTTGTGGGTAGATTCCCATTGATATGTTAGAATTCCCTAATGCTCAATGCTTTCCCTGTGTTCTCAACGGTTGTGGACGTGGATCAGGAGCTGCGACTGCGTGGGCTACGTCTACTTTGGCACCAAAACACGTCGGAGTCCTGTGGTTCGAGCACCCTGGATCCATGCGTCCATGGGATCGATGGGTGGAGGAAATTAGGACCCAAACATTCGGAAATTGGTGGCCGGTAGCCAGCTTTCCATCAATTGTCATCAAAGCAATCCCTAAAAAGGAATGAAGTGGACTTTCAAAGCCGGATTTCCAGTTGGATTCCTGGATACTATCTGGTTATTCAACAGTTTGCCATGGAAAATCCACCCATTTCTAAGAACGGTAAACCATCTATTTCCATGCGCCATCTACTGTATACCATGGCAAACTCTTAGTCATAACCAGAGGGTCTGTTTTTGGCCTTCCAGGCTTCCCAGGCGGGCTGTTGCTGAGGTGCCAGCCAGTGAAGGAAAGATTGAATGCAGACGCTTGGCATCGCTGGTGGCAAATTACTTTTCTATCTTTTTGGGGTTTATCACGTATGAAAGAGTTGATCGCATTTAGAGATTTTTGCCACCGCAACTGTACGCAAGAGTGTGTATGTCGAGTGATGTGGGGAGAACCCCTCGAGCCGAGAGACCCCAATTTTTGGTCATTGATCTGGGTCGCGTTTTGCTTGCAGGTTGTGGATACCGTGAGTTTGGATTTTTTAATCTTTTGTGCAATTGGTCGATTTTTAACGACATGGATGTCCAAGTGCTGTCCGCACAATTCACCGTTTTTTGATCTTGATCCGCCCCGATGGTTCCCCGACTCAGAAGCAGACAACTTCGAGGGCGACCCGGCCGTTGGAGACGTCAAGAAGTGTCAGTGCGCCAAAGAATAGCGCAGAAAAAATGCTGCAACTATGGCCCGGAGCAGCGGAAACAGCAGCATTTTCAGATCTCGAACAAAGAGTGAGGGGGGTTGTAATGTGAGGGGTTCCCTGGGGTTGAGCATTAACATCCACTGGCCCAGCACAGCTCCAGTTTGCGATTTTTTATGATTCTGCTGCTCCCTCCTTCATCATGGGAAATTTAAGGAGCCATATGAGCTGCATGTTGCCATCTTTTCACGCGGGGACTGCGGAAGGTCCAGTGCCTTAATGAACGCCTCCGGGGATCCATTCAGAGAGGTGCTTGAGCATTGCTCAGTTGGGAGCAGTGGCATGGGGATTCAAGCCAGTGGCAGCCAGATGGTATAACAATACTGTAACTACACAAGTTGTTAATGGGATGACTTATATAATTCATTTCTGTATCAATATGAAAACCGCATCAACAAACTAAGTAGATAGAAATAACGGGGGTTTTGGGAACTGCTCATTGGCTCAAGTGTATCGTTGTTTCGGAGAAAAGGTCTAAGACAGCTGAGAGTATCCAACATGGACAGAAACTCCCAGACACGATGTTGAACAGGATTCAACTCCAAGAGCAGGATGTCCGCGTTTCATATGGAAGCAACATGATTGCGGATATTATGGGTATTTTGCAGATAAACGCCTGTCTGTGGTAGGAGGCATGTGATGCCACCCATTGCCACCCAATAAAAGGTAGAGAGAGAGAGAGACAGACAGTGAATAGCCATGCATATATGTATACGGTATACGGATTTGTCTTGAAAAGGGGCACCTCTCAGACCATGTCAAAGTCATTTCCAGGATTTTCTCCAAATTCAAAGCGCCCCAAAAAATGCAGACAGGTGCAGGCGGCTGCTCTCTGTCAGCGCTTGGGGCTGCTGAAGCAAACGGTCCAGTGCCGCAAGGGCAAGGGTTCATGACCAGCTGAGGGGAAAAATGGGGACACTGGGCCGTAATACGTGCACACAAACATATGAGAATAAGTATTTGACATATCCATTCAGATCATTTAGAAGTGCTCATGATGTTCATGTGTCATTGATTTCTGCGCTGAGCTATTTTGATCTCTGGTAATTTAACGTAGCTATTGAACATGACCATAGAAATAGTGGATTTTCCCATTAAAAATGGTGGATCTTTCCAGTTCGATGCCGCACTGGGTCCGACATCCTGGACCCTCTAAATGGTCCATGAACTAGCAACATAGCAGTGGATTTTTCCCACAACCAAATGGTAGATTCCTGGTAGATATTGATAGTAACATGATATTTACTATAGATAACATGATATTTACTATAGAATACTATAGATATTTGTATAGCACACATTCTTTTTTGGCAGTTTATGAGCCACTTCCGTCACTTCCTAGGTGGACTTTGGGGGCAGCAACCAGGTGCTGAACTTTGATCCTGGGCTGCTGGGCAAGGCCCAACGAGCCCCTCGATCAAACATGGCGATTGTGTGGCACTCTCTGGAACTAGCCATGGAGGTGTTCCAGCCATGTTCGATCACCAAGGTCATTGCCTGGTTTCAATGCCTTTGTTGCTATTTTTGTAGATCTTTTTCCAACAAGTCCTAGGCGCCCGCATTGGAAACACGTTTCCAATTATCCAATTGGATATGGGCTTGTCTCAAGAGCTTGTGTACTCCGATAAATCCTATGGTTTATCTTCAGTTTCCCCATCAAACTGGCCCCATGCCACTGAGGTGCTTCACATGGAAACTTACGCGGAGGCGCCCCAATTTTGCCTCCTCCAAAGCAAGATGTAGATATCTGGGTCAATGGATTGGTTTAAGGGAACATCTACAGGAAACTCACGGGTTTTAAGGGAACATCTACATCTCATCTAACTGTTAGATTCCCAGAGGGTAAGGGAAAATTTATAGGAAAACCCCATAGAAAAATGGGGAAAACATGGTTTCCTGTAAGTTTTCCCTCAAGCCAATCCAACGATTGGAATTTTGCACCTTTGCCTTTGAAAACCAGCTAGAAGGCCAGAAAATTGCTTTGGAAGATGATTTTCCTGGGGCATTTCCACTAGTTTCCGGCCATGAAATTTCGGCAGGTGAGAGATATGGCGCGTGTCCTTCTGAAGAACTTCGAAGCACTTTGCAAGGCTCTAGGGCTCTAGGGACTGGCGAAGCAGAAGTGCCACAGGCATCATGATCACAATCAGAATGACGACCACGTTAACGACATGTTTTAATCATAAATGATCAGAAGGATCATAGTGATCAGAAGGATCATAGTGATCAGAAGGATCAAAATCATCATAATGATCATGAATCCCAAAATGAAAATGTATGTCAAAATCTATATATATGATCATCCCAATAGATTTTCAAAATCAAAATCATAGATTTTCCATAGATGATGTCAATGATGTCATTACCATGATCATGGCACAAGTCCTCGACTCACCAGGTGCTGCTGCACCTGAATGACGACCAGGTGAAGATGGAATTGAAGGAAAACGCGCCAAACCCCAGCGCCAGTTGAAGAAATTGGTGAGCAGCGGATGTCCCGCTAGCTTTGTGATTCTTCAAATGTTCTTGGCTAAGTTGGCTATTTGTGATATGTATATAATTATATTCATAAGTAGTGCTATCGTGTACATATGTTACATTTATATAATTCCATACATCATCTACCCATGTGTATGCATGTGTGCATAATGCAATATTTGTCTCTCTTCGCACACGCTCATATAAGTATAGACAGGTAGAATACAGGATTGGAATTCTTTCTCATCCACTGTACGGTAGAAGAAACTAGGACTATGGGTTTGGGAACTGGTTATTCTTTATACATCTTTATACTGGATTCCATGATGGGTAGCGGCGTTCTCCGTAATGTCAACCGTTATGATGGGAAAGAACAAGTTATTTGACATGATGTTAATCTAGAACATGTCGTCAATCAACTCGACCACAAGCACAGCGTGTCGCACTCAGACAGAGTTGACTGGTGCGATTCTGAGATTGGAGCAGGCCAGAATCATGATTGCAGAATGTAGGTCAGCAAAACTGTTGATAAGAACAAACGCGGCAATATACAGCAATTCGAGGGAAAAAAAACACTTTCAGCGAGACAGTCGATGCCTTGACCATATGAAACTATTATTTGGGGACAGATGGGCAAGGTACGAAAATAGCTTGCCGGCCACAGTCCTTGTTGCAATGAAGCCATGGTCAGGTCTGGGCCGATTGCCAGTTCATTCTGCACCAGGCTTGGGAGACCTGAGACTGGGCAGAACTTGCTCCGAGTCGGCCCCAGGTAGATGCAGGACCCCAAACGGATGTTGAAGGGACTCTCTTTTTCAAACATATTGCGAGCAATACTGTGAGCACAATATGCCCATGCATTTAGATCCATCTAAGTGCTGCTTTCCGACCTCGTCTCTTGACTCATTGGCCTGACCTAGTGAGATCCGGAGGCATTTGACAAAGCTGAACATCTTGGGCTCAAGAATGAATCAGAATGAACAGTGCCACCCTTGGGCCTGCGAAACAGATTCCATGGCGATTTGGCCCTGGCTGGGCCTTTGGCTTCTAACTCGTGAGGTCTTTGGACTGGACCAGGCGAAGGGAGTGGCTGGAGCATCTGGCAGCTATCGGCTAAAATATGATAAAACCGTTACAGATCTTACAGGGTTTGCCGGTGCAGCATGAATGCTGGCAGATTTTGAGCTGCACCTGGGTGAATATTGCAGACACACCTATACAGTACAAGACTAGCATCACTGGGCATCACTGGGCATCAGTGGGTTCTCAGTGATGGCCAGGTGCACCTCTCAGTCAACCCTAGTGGCGATGCCAAGAAATTGATACGGACGGAAGCGGATGACAGCGGCCTTGAGCTCTGCAGCGGCCAGCAGATCTGCAATGGACGCTTGGATGCGTAGGAACAGCCTGGCTGCGTACTTGTAGATTTATCAGATAGGAGGGGTTAGCATTTTTAAATTCGACTGGTCACTTCTTTTTGGGGGACCGTCTATCAACCGGGCTGTTATTGATCAATCATCATCAATCATCAGTATTTTGCAGAAACTCTTGGACATTGCTTGGTCGCAGAACTGAAGCCGTGCGGAGTTTCCAGAAGGCCCTAAATTATGAGTGAATCTATGCGAATCCAACCTATTTTGCCAAGGCGAACTGAGCATAAGTAATCCAGCATTTTGATGCATTTTGTGAAAACATGTTCCTTGGTTTGTCTGTGTGTTCCTCATATGGCTCGTGCGAATCAGAGATTGGTAGGGTGAGCTGCCAAGCATCGCCACATACAAGAATTAAAGTCATGTCATACCGAGTCATACCCAACAAGTTATTGGTTTGATTTACTACTAGGTTCTCTAGGTTTTAGCATTGATACTGTAACTATTTCTTGGGAGATCTTGGGAGAGTTTGTTGTGTTTGAGTTTCTTTTGATTTTCACGGATAGCGTCTACCAGCAGTACTGGAGAGAAGCCGTTTTTCAGGTGCAAATGCGCTCAGCTGCAGCGCGGCCAACAATGGGGACTGTGCCACCAAGTACTGTTGCACGCCAGGGAAGGCATGCTATCAATGTGGTGGCAACAGCTATGAGTGTAGCAATGAGAAGCTTGGCCTCCGAGCCAGGATGAAGACGGCATAGGCCGAGCTTTAAAGCAGGCAACATGATGGAGCTGCAAAAATGGGTGGCTTGGGGAACAAAACATGTCAAAGCACCAGGGTTTGCATCACCAATCAACTGCAGTTTCCTCACTTGAGCGGTGAAGTCCACCTTTCCAACAATGCAAAGGTAGGGTATTTCTTGTGACATTGCATGGCAAGTCTTCATTTGTGCAAACAGTGGCATGATTTTTTTCGCACCTTATATGCATGTCAAGCAGCTAGAGTCAAAGTGATTTGGGCCCCCTCATCTTGTTCGAGGGCTCAGCCGTCTCAGGAGAGTTTGCAAAAACCCCGACGGACACGCTCAGATTCGCACCAAGTGAGGCGTCCAGTGCGCAGTGTCTCACCGGCCACCGGCAAGCCATTCTCAGCCGTGGAAAAAACATCTGGTTAGGGGCTCGGATGCTGGGCTGGCAGCCTGGCGGGTGCACATTCTCGATACCATTTTAAATCCATATACCAATACCTTGCGGAAACAACAAAGTCCATACCACTGGATTGGCGATGGAGAGATAGAAATACCCTGGATTCCTTTATTATCCTTTATTATCCTTTATTAGATTATCAATTATCAATGATTATCAGATTATTCTGCCGATTCTGCCACCACTATCTGTCATGAATTTGATGCCACCAGTTGCCCCCAACTCGTCGCAGGGCTGCTTGGATTTTATCGAAATCTTGGAGCGCGAAGTCTTGCCACAACTCAGTCCACAGTGCCAACGGCCTTGTCTTGGACGGGCCATGGCTACGGTTTGAAAATGATCTCCGTTGGTTGGGGGAATGGCTTCAAAAATCTTCAAAATCTTCAAAGGCTTGGCTTTCTTATGGTTTCTCACGGTTTCTGATCTGTTGATAATATGACACATCGTAAAATATGGGCATCACAGTGGGTGCCAGGTTGAAGTGGCTCATCCATGTAGCTCTCGAAACGGAATCTCCAGCAGGCGTGGGGTGTGGGGGATCTCCCTCTGGTTTCGCTGGGAAATCCATTCTAAATGGGCATTGAAGTGGGATTTTCCAGCAAGTTTGAAGGCTTTTGATCCATCCCCCACGTTTTTTTTTTCGAGGTGGTTGGCAAATACTGCAGGATATGGTGGTGAATTGTTTCCTCAATGTTCTGGTGATGATCCCACTTTCCAGGGGGTTTTATAAAATCACCAGCCAATTTTGATCCTGTGACTTGATGCTTCAGGTTGCTGCAGATCTCAGAGATCTCGAAAGATATGGCATGTTCATGTATTTTACAACTTTTGGCACGTCCTCCGGTCATCAGAAGAGATCAAGCATCGAAGTCAGATCAAGTTCTGAACTTGAACAGCGCTTGGAAATGGGAGACTGAGAGTATCTGAGAGTATCTGAGTACAAAATCTTGCAGGACAGTTTAGTTTTATGCTGACTCTGACCTTATTCCACAGTGTCTTCCCAGCAATTGAGGGGTTTAGTTTCTGCCATGTTGCATTAAGATGCATTAACCACATCACGCAGTTCCAGACATAAACGGGGCCGCAACCCCTCTTGGGCTGGCCAGCCATAGGATGCCATGGCCCAATTTTTGTTGACCTGCATTAATTAACGGTATAGATCGCTATGCTTGGGTTCTATGATGGTACTCCTTATCATTGTTTGTCTCCGGGCCGATCTTGGGTCGCAGGGAAAGCAAGCACGAATGCGGACCACACGGAGCAACTCTGATGGGAAATGATAAGGGATGGGTCCAGATGATGATGAAGTGCCGGATGTGCGGATGAGGCCTTTGTTTTTAATATGTTTTTAATGAACTCTGGTAAAACGAAAGAGGACTCACAAAAAAAGATATGAGAAGGGGGGCCTCGAACCTTCCATTTGAGAACCGTCTACAATCGCCAGTAGACAATATGTCTGGATATGATACTGACGTATCCAACAATATCAGGACCTTTGTGGCTTCAAGGGTTTAATAATGTTTAATATGTCTTCACATATCCAAGCAACGAGGGCATCTATATACCTGCAACAGTAGTCTGCGCGCCTCAAAGTTGATTTACCCTTTTTGATTTAGCGGAACTTGCCTGTGGCAATATTCATGTGCGCCCATCAATCATATCCCGATGAAACAAACTTGCAGTTGGCGAGGGGGCGGGGAGACTGGCAGCAACAGGAGCTTCAAAATGCGAGGGTGCGGAGCTCTGGGTTAGGGCCGAGGAAGGGATCTGGAAGGTGTGGAATCCATATTGGTGCGGACTTTTTTTTGGGGGGGGGGGACCATTATAGACTATGGACACCCCTGTTCCACGGCTTCGGATTGAAAGGAACGGGTGTTTGGTTTTATTCTTTTGAGATCCTTCTTGCCAAAGGGTAAAATTGTCCTGTTTCTTTGCTTCTAAGAGGTTTCTTGGTTTAGAAGATCCCCAGGGAGGTAGACTTGGGCCCAGTGAAAGGGTCATTGCCAAGGTGGCCCTGTACCAGACCGTGCCGATGATGGTTTACGTGGACGGGGCTGCTTTTGCTGGGCTGCTTTTGCTGGGTTCCAGTATGTTCCGGTTGGCCTGCAGACCATGTTACCACGTCCCCGAGATTCTCCAGAATATTTTCTGCTGCTCCCAGCTGCAGAATCTGCAGGATGAGCTGTGGAAGGATTCCAATCCAGACGGTCCCAGCTGGCTTCTTAGACTCGATGGGGTTCAAGCTGGCCGCATCCACCTGGCTTGGGAGCCGGCAAATGATCATCATTTGCTAATGGCTTGACGTTGGTTGCAAATGCAAACAGTTGACTGTGGGCAAAGCATGGGTTTTCTCCATGAGAATTGTTATTCACCACCCTGAAGGTTCATCCTTTATCATCCATTTTCAGCTGGGTTTGTCTGAAAATTGGGCATACCGGCATATCGTTTTTTGATAGGGAAAATGCTGATGAACCAATGAATCTAGGGTTACACTATTTTCAGGTAAACCCATATCATATGCTTTCTATCATTCTCCCTGGGCGAAGCAGACCACTCTGACCACTCTTTCAGGATCAAGATCCCAGCGCAGCCCATTTTGGCTCATTCCGCACAAAGCTGCACGAGTTGTTCATGTTGTTGTTCATGTCATGTTGCTACTGAATGCTATTGATATACACTGTATATATCGTATATGACTATAATATATATATATATATATATACACATATGAATAGATGTATTTGGCTTCAGGATGGAGATATACCTCTTGGACAAAGGATGCCTTTGGAATGACCTCCATGATTGGGGGATTGAACAAACCCTTTGGTCCATTGAGTGCCCCTGCAAAGTTACGCTGCGAACCCACCAGCACTGGCATTCTTCTTCTATTACGGAATATTCAATTTTGACCTAAGTATACCTAAGTCTATAATAGTGTAATAAACATCGAAGAACATTATCATGTAATTATATGTAATTATACCATATTAGACATAAATCGCAATGATTCAGCACAAGATCTGGGCGTTGCTGGGTACGAAGCGTCGAAGCCTTCAGTTCCCAGCAGGGCTTCCAGCTGCCATGGTGCCCGGTAAAGGCAGATGGCCGTGTCGCCCGTGTCGCCGCGGCAGCTCCGGAAGAGGACGGGGCGATGTGGGGCTCCGATCCAGGGGTGGAAAAGGCTGGAAAAGGCTGGTTGAATTGGGAGTTTTCATGTTCAAGGCAATGGTTGATGGATGTTGATATGTTGATATTACGTATATTTATTAACTTATATAGTTCTCAAAAAAATGAGGGGATTCTGCAGTATATCTGGGATGCGTTTGTATGGGCACAATCTTTGTTGAAATGAAGCGCTTGAGAACTGCGCAGATGAACGTTCACAATACAATACTTTTACTTTCTATATGTGGATCTTAGGAACACGTTGGATCATAGATCATCATACCGCTATAGGGTTGGAACACATTTTCCGCGGAGGATTCTCCGAAGCATCTACGACGACTCCAAGTGCTCTATCATTTGCAAAGCGGGCCGCTAGTGGGTTGCCCTGTTGCCTTTGGACCCTTACAGCGCCATGCGGGTCATTGAATGATGTGACACGATGTTAAATGGGGTGCCACCTGCCACAACAAGATGAAGTATGAGCAACGAACTAGGCTAGACTGCAGTCCATTTACTGTACTTCTTTGATGGATGATCATTTTCATTTTGGATCGCTATGACATTGATCCCCCGTTTCTCCAGTCTGGACCATGGCATTTTCTTGTCTAAGTACATCATTGAAGGCAGCTGGCAAAGTCAATTGTATATAGCGAGTCACAATGGACAGCCCGATCCATACCCCGATCCATACCAAAACGCAGATGATCCAGACCGATCCATATGTCCGGATCACCGCGGGTCGATTCATACCCAAATTTTGACGCAACCATGCGCAACTCCATAAAAATGGTATATACATATATATATATATGCACACACACACACACATATATATATATAATATGTATGAGATGATCGCCATCTTTATACGCATTGTTTCCTGGTGCACCACCCAGCATAACCCAGCATTTTCGCATCATCCAGGGTCGGTATTCTCCAGTGGATCGCTAGAGAAATGCCTAGATCTGTAGAAACCATGAACAGTACCAGCATGATCAGATTACCTCTCCAAGTTATGGATGTACAAATTAGACCTTGGAAAAAAACACAATGTATTAATTATACATAAATGCGCATGTATACACACACACAGATATCTCTCTCTCTCTATATATATATATCTATATCTAAATATAATATAATATAATATAATATAATATACACGTATGTATAAAATATAAATTTTAATATATATATATATACATATGTACATAAATAATGCTATAGGTTCTTACATGATGAAAAAACACTGCTTCTAATCTTCCCACGGCCCCAAGGCCCTTGCGTCTGTCCCAAGTCTTCCAGTTGGATCGTCCCCAGCACGTCACCGCTGCAGTGGCGGCGCTGGGCCGCCGAAGCCGCTGGGACGATGCAGTGCTGGTGGCCACCTCCGGTGGCCATTCGAGGCACCACACCGATAGGGGCACCGATAGGGGCACCTGGGGGATAGGGGTACCTCGAAATCATCCATTTATAGATGATATATATATATATATATAGATAGATGGATTTTCCGAAATGGGCACTTCCATTTCCTGTAAGATTATATGTTTAAGCATCAAACATGGTGATTTCACATGCTTTAAGGATATTTAATGATATTCAAGGAAGTGTTGGAGCCATTTGAATCCAGAACCTTAGGACACAAAAATGGGCTTCCACTTCAGGATGGTCCTTTGATGTGGGAAATTTCACCCTGCCGGTGGCATCTACACTGTCAGCGATGGTGATGACGGTGACGAAAATACCACAGCGATTCTACAGTTCTACAATGTTCTACAGACACCTGATGATCCTCATGTTCAGGAAAATCTGGAGCTGACATGAGTTGACAGGAGTTGACAGTACCCTGAGCTGAGCCGAGGCTGCCCCCAAGCATCGCCACCTACAACGCTGCAGCCGCCGCCGCCGCGGCGGCTGGTGCTTGGCGCAGCGCGCTCCAACTCCTGCAGGGCGCTGCGCAGCAGTCCTTGCAGCAGTCGCCGGTGACGCTGGGCACGGCCTTGAACGCGCGTAGCTTGGAGAAATTCATGGGTCATCTTGTGATTTATGTGTATTTATGTGTACAATGATGTACTTAATCATTTGAAGATGTAGTTTCAATACCTATGACAATTTACAACAGACTTTCACAATCCTACAATATAGCTTTATAGCCATATGATGCCATATGTAAGTAAATAGATAAACAAGCGTATAAACAATTGACGTCAATTACCACTGTACTGTATATATATATATATACAAATACGCATTCAAATGCATGCATACATACATACATACATACATACCTACCTACCTACCTACATACCTACATACCTACATACCTACATACCTACCTACCTACCTACATACCTACCTACATACATACCTACATACCTACATACCTACATACCTACATACCTACATACCTACATACCTACCTACATACCTACATACCTACCTACACACCTACCTACCTACCTACCTACCTACCTACCTACCTATATATTTACCTACCTACCTATGTATGTATGTATGTACGTATGTATGTACGTATGTACGTATGCATATTTATATTATTAGTATATATAAATATATATATATATATTTAGTCATAACTATATTTGTGACTATATACGTACATAACTGTATATACATATATCTTTTTATTTATTCAACGATATATGCATAGTATACTATATATATATATATAACCACATGCATATGAATATACATATACATGTAATTGTGCAACTATAACGACACATATGTAGATATATGTATCTATATGTTTTAATGTCACCTTCTGCATAATTCTTGGTCAGTATACATATTTGACCTTTGGCGGGGGGTTGGCCCAGGCGCAGGTGGCACCTGGCCACAGGTGTTGTGGCAATTGGACGCCATGGAGCACGACGCTTTGGAGCCCACCATCCGCCACAGCAACGAGGCAATGGAGGCCATGAGGTGCGGCGCGACCTGGAGCTGGGCACTGAGCATCTTGGAACGGGCCATGGCGAAACATCTGGCGCCCAGTGAGTTCACCAGCAGTTTGCTGCTGAATCAGTTGAGACAGAAACTTGGAACTTGGCCATGGTCAAGGTTCGAATGTCGTAGCCATGTTTTCCAATGTGTTCCACCTCTTGGGTGAGTTCTCCGTTGGCCCAGGACTTGGACGTTGGCAGTTCAGGTCTTTGGCGACTTGGAACGTCAAGGGTTGCAGCATGACACGGTGAGTGTCAACAGCGTCTTGCAGGCGGCCAGTCAAGAGAGGCGATACTCCCGGAGTCTGGTACAGCAGCTGAGGCTTGGCAGATTTCCATAGAAAAAAACCAAGGGTGAGACCAGCAACCAGGATCAACCAGGATGGATGGTTTCCAAACGTTACTCCCAGACTCCCAGGGGATGCTTCATTCAGACACTTTGAGAATTCTATTTTTCTATATATAATTGATTTGTTGCGGTCTCCTTGACACTGAAACCAATGGGTTTGGGGGTTCCCATTTTTTGACTTGACACATCACATGCCTGTATTTCTTGTTCGCGCAGTTGCAGGGTTGTTGGATGATACGGCATGGATGGATATTGAAGGGCTAGAGCCCAGATGTCGTGCCCAATGGAGACTGCCTGAGAGGATTTCCCCATCTGAGTAAGACGTGTGAAACCAGTACTATCAGCACATATCAGTACTATCAGTACTATCAGTACTGTAAGGTGGTGAATTCAATCCTTGCAAGATGTGCCATCGCGTGCCATCATGTGCCATCTCAAGGAAGCAGAACCAAGAGCTGGTGGATTCAGCCACCTGCAGTTTGGCCGCGACAGTGGCAGATTCTGAGGAGGTCTTGGAGCTGTTGGAGATGATCAAGGTGCGATGGAGTCATTGAGCTCTGCGGATCATTTGAGACTTGAGCTGTTCTCAAATAGATGACATAGACCAGATAGATCCATGATAGTCTGGCCCACTGGCAAAACATCCCCGTGAATCTTTTGGGCACCCCCAGGCACCATCTCATTTGAGTTACATATCCGGGCATTGCAACGGATACCGTTGACAGACAGAAATGAGTGACATGATGTGAAATGACACGCCACGCGCCAGGCGTCAAGGCAGCAGCCGGATGTGGGTGCCTACACCTCCCTGCTGTCAGCACTGGACCGTGATGGGCGTTGGGAGGTGGCACTTGCCTTTGGAGACACCGTGATGTCGGACGGGGTGGAGGTGCAGTGGCGCACCAGTTGTGCCATGGACTTCCCCATGAAAGGGGATGGTCATCAACCCATAGGGATTCTGGGATTCATCCATGGTCCTTCTGGTCGATCTCAAACCTGATCTGAGTGTAGGTTTGTATTTGGGTTTGTTGATCTTGAGGTTTCCGTGGTTCACCTCCCAGTTTTTGGTTATTTGCAAGTCCTTTTTTTTCGGTGGAGCAGCTACAGGTGGCCGGTTCTATGGCAGCCGCTCTGGTGAGTGCCTGCAACACTGGCCGGCGTTGGGCACAGGCTCCCCAATGTCTAGTCCATTTTTTTAGCGGTCCCCTCGGTCTGAATTTCTGCACTGCTAATTAATGTTGGATATTGGTTCATAGCCCTATTTTCGTTGATTCTTCATACCGCATATAAAACATTTGATCCGAACATATATCAATTCCATTCATGTTGATATTTTGTCATAGTTATCCCAGTGTTGTGCACACCTTTTTAGAATATATAGATACATCACATTCTACCCTTTGTCCATTCTTGGTCCACTAATATGAATATATAACTTGACAGGAGGCGACCGAGAGAGAGAGAGAGAGAACCTCATAACATTTTTTTTTGGTAATATTGCACATTTAACGTGCATTCGCATCGCATATGCATTTGGTTATGGGTCAAAACCCTGGCATAGCTGGTATAGCTGGATGGTTATTCTCCCAGTCATATGGCTGGCTGGTGGTTTGGAACATGAATCTTATTTTCCCCATTTTCGTTGGGATATATGGGATGATGATCCAATCTGACGAACTCCATCATTTTTCAGGGGGGTGGCTCAACCACCAACCAGATTCATAGAATTGGATTATGGGAAAATTTACAGGAAAGCCCTATATTTGATGGTAAAAACCATGGTTTCCTGTAATTTTCCCCTTAAACCAATCCAGTGACAGATGGTAATTTCATAGGAAACTCAACCCATCCCCATATCTCTAACCAGGCCATGGACTCTGTCGGCCTGCTGCGTCGATGTTTGCTGCAGCTGGATCTGGTGCTGGCGTCAGCGCAAATTAGTGGGCTGGCAGGTGGGGAAAAGCCATCCAAATACTGGGTGTAGCAGGATTTATATAGCAAACATGGTGGGTTCATGGTGTAGGTCTGTATCATGAGTGGAATTCACCAACAGGGACGATGGGGATGTCAGATGATTTCACGACCATTTGGGTATGTACTAATTTCAACGTTTGACCACCATGAAGCGGTTGCAATTGAAAGTGAATCGGTCCAGTTTTTCTTTTGGGGGGGGGGCGGATGAATTTGAACTGAAGCACCATCATTAACAAACAAGGATAGGGATATGACCACTGCCAATACCAATCAATATCAACTGTTGGTGATTTCAGAGGAGGATGCAATTTTCTATGCAATGGAATGGGGTGGCGTTTTTTTTTGGGCTCCCTTTTGTATCATTCAACAATGATTCAACTTTCCCAAATGAACATGGATAAACAATGAGAACCATGGACTACCTCCTTGAACAAACCTTGGCTCCTTGGGACTCCTTGGGGCATCTGAAAGAGCCAGGCAGCAGCTGGTATCGCGCATGGCAAGGCTTCCGCCAGTTGGTCCCCGCAACGTTGCAGCCTGACATCTTGACGCATGGCGCAGTACCATGGCGGAACGGGGGATGAGGTGATTGGACCATGTGAAACCCCGAATCAAAGCCAATTACCCTCTGATTATTTAATAATTTCAACATAGCCATGGTATAGATGACCCATTTATAGATGGTTTACCTATATATTAAAATGGTGATTTTCCATGGCTATGTTAGTCATAACCAGATGGTAATGGTGACTAATGGAATTTTGCTGGTGATTAATTAGTGGCGATTATTTGTAGTGTCTGGGGGCTGTAGCTCCACCAGCTGAGGTTGCCACTGCGGCAGAGAAGGGTCAGCAATGGGACATGGCTTTGGATACGATGAGATGGCATGGAGTGAGCCCTGGTGCCAAATACTTCACAGTTTCCAGAAGTCGGAAAAAACCTGTTATTCACGTTGGTTCTTTTTTTCAGACTTCTTTTACTTCTATATTTCTATATCATATCATATATATATATACACATAAAATTATATTTATAATTATATATATACTTATGTGTATATATATATATATGTATTTAAATTATATATATATAATATAATAGAGCGGGAATCTCATTGTGGAGCCCCAGGCAAGAACACCATATCAGTTCAAGTCGATATCGACGATCACCGCGCCAGTCACCACAGCCGTGTTGATAGGAAACTCGACCTCGTCTCGTTGAACTCAGTGGATTCTCAGCTGAATGGCTCCCTCACTGAGGTTACCATAGGTTACGAACCACAGTTACTATAGGTTACTATAGGTTACTATAGGTTACGAACCATCCTCACTACTGAAGGATGGATCCCACAAATATCCCACACTACTGATGTCATGTGTAATTTCCTGTGTCTCTGATAGTGCACCTGCTCTAACGCCCAGGTGAGCGGTTGCGAGAAGGGCCAGAGATGGCAACGGGCCCAGGACTTGGTTTCCATCTGCATGGCGCAGCTCATGGTGGTGGCAGATGCGATCAGCTGCATGGAAGAAAGATCGTGGGGATTGGGGATCTGTTACACCCATTACTTAACACACTTCATTAACTAATGTCAACCCTGGATTAATAAACCCCTAGGTTGTTTAATTTGGGGGATACCATTGAAGTATCAGATTATGACTATTGGGGGGAATACCCCCCTAATTCATCAACCATGGTTTTATTCATCCAGGGTTGACATTACCCCAACTTGGGGGAGTTTCCAGAACATTTGGAGGATATTGGAGGATATTGGAGGATTCTGCGGATGAATTCTTTTGGTGTCTTAGTGATTGTCAGCTATGTAATCATGTTTCGTCCCCGCGCTACCCATCTGGCAATGTAAAATTGCCACATTCAACCGGGAAACGGGTTGTTACATTTTCCGGTAAAAGATTGTGATGTATAGACTATATATATATATATATAGATGAGTTTCTCATGATATAATTCAGATCTTTCAGCGCCTCACCAAGAGTATTGCATATGATGATCATATCCCATATGCTCCATGTATGGTATATTTACCTACATTTGGGTCATTTATGGGGTAAATGTTGGTAAATATTCCAGCACCATGGAGCATATGGGATATGATGCAATGTCAACCCCGGGAAACCCATGGAAACCCGACCGCGATCCTCGCCCGGGCCGAGATACCCAGGTTTCAACTCCGCGATCCTCGCGTGTACGACCTCACGACGGTGGCTCCATGGCTTCAGCTTGATGAAGCTGGCGGCCCAAAGACGCGTCACACCACAGGCGCGCTCCAAGCGCGGGGTTCACCACAGCGGTGGCCACCATTGGAAATCCATTGGAAATCCTGGAAGATTCGGAAGATCTTGCTGGAAATTTACCCATCCAAAATGGGGCAAACATCTTCGGAAGATCAGTAGCTGTAATTGCGAGATTTGCTGGAGATATTGCCGGGATATTTTCAGTGATGATCTGGTTGTTGGTTGCTTATTGCCAGAGAAAGCCAGGATACTGATCCACAACGACTCTTTACCATCCAATATTTTGGGGTCACCGAAATAGGTGGGCTGGTTGAATTCTGAATCCCTTAGATATTTTTAGCACTAAAAAAAGGGGCGTCCTATTGGGGATGGTTCAATGTTTAAAAAGCCAAAAATACTCCAGGATGGTTGTGGTTTGACAGTTTTCAGATTGAACTCCACTTGAAAAGTACTTTGACTTGACCGAACATGTTGTTTGGAGTAGCCCTTCGAACATGCACCTCTCTTAGCTTACGGCCAACTCCCAGCAGGTGGCGAGTTTCGGTGCCTTGTTGATGGAATGTCTCCTGGCATCTTGGGCCGGTCTGTATCTACCCTCTGGTAAACTAACATAGCTATGGAAAATCCCCATTTTTCATGGAAAAATCCACTATAAATGGCAATTTTCAATAGCTATGTTAAATTACCAGAGGGTATGCTTATTTAAACTTATCTATAAGCTATGTTTATTCGTGTGATCATCCCAACTGGCTTCTTCAGGGCTTAAACATGCCATTTTGCCAAGGGTGGATGAGACATTTTGCCAAGACTGTAACCGACAGCTCAAACATGGCTTCCCGGGAAATCCCCGAAGTAAATGGTGGTTTAGTTCGCTGGGAAAATCGTCTACAAATAGAGGATTTTCTAGCACACCATTAAATATCCCATGACTAACCATTATTAACCATTATTAACAACTATTAGCCCATTATTAACCCAGTAATCCCATGTTTCTATGGCAAGGAGTTGCTGTTCTTCAGGAGGTCAGGACTGGGAGGTCGATCAGTGTCCCTTGCCCGAGGTGAAGACGCCAGTCCAGAGATTCTGTCCTGTCAGCAAGACCTTCTGAAAGGTTCGTTGGAGGCAGCAGGCCTCGACCTCTACGGCGAAACAAGTCGAGTATCCATTTGCGGTTTGCGGGAGCTGGAGCTGTCAACGAAAATCGGGCAAATGCCCCAACTAACTGGAGGTTTGAATGATTGAATCATGTATCAATGCTGAGAGTCGAATTCTCGACCCATATCTCCATGTTTGGATGCCCAAATCGGAAGTCATACGAGTCATACCTCATCTCCTGTGTCCTGTCGTCTTGTTGTCCTTGCAGATGACGTACCTTGGCTGCCTTTGGCTCGTGCCAACTCCAAGGTCGAAAAGTGGTTTTATGGAGCTTTGCTGTCCGCAGGCACTGGAAAGAGAGACGCAAGGGAATGGGACCCTATGCTATGAGAGCACTTGCTAGTACTAGATGGATCGCAAGTGAAGTAATATCAATCCATTGCTGACCCAGGATTCATCAACATTCACAGGCCCCAGGTTAATATTTAAATTGTTAACTAAACACTTCTATTATCTATTTTTAACTACAATTCACGTATATATATATATAGTATAATATCAACATGCATAATATTTAAAATATATAAGTATATTTATACACATATTTAAATAAATAATGTGAATGATGCTTTTCACATCTTTCATACTCAACGGGTTGCCGACTCTCTCTGACTGCGGCAACCCGCCGCCAGGACGATCGACACCACACCCTGCGGCGAGATTTCGGGAAGTTCGACGAGAAGCGTTTCAATGAGCCCCAAATGGCCTGCTTGTCAGTGGCCATCCCAATATGTCATGTATGATTATGTAACATAATATATATATACATATGTGTGTGTGCATATATATTTATAGATACACATCTGGAATTATATATGGGATAAGGATGGATAAGGATGAGGGTACGATGGACCCTGGGAGTAGTTAACAAGCTGACTTTAAATAGTGGATAAAAAAACTAGTTGCAAACCACTTAACTAGTCCGCCCGTCTAAGTGGGTGCGTATGTCGTGACATTGCCCTAACTTTAAGAGAAAGAAAAACCATACCACATTCAAGCCCTGAGTTGGGGCTATTTCAAGTAGGAAAATCGTTGGAAATGTAACATTTTTTTGGGGGGATTCCATGCTAGTTCGAACTCGGGTGTGCCCAGTTTGTACTGAGTTCCTCTATGTGCATATTCTATCGCATTGTACAGTATATACATGTATAATCATATCCCTCCGGGGCGGACGTTCGCCCAAAGTTTCATTGGGGGTTTAGTTACTTTGTGATTTGTTCAGGATATATTTCAGATTGTTTTAGGGTTTGCTTAGGGTTGGTTTAGATTTTCTTTAGGGTTTGTTTACTTAATTTTCGTCCTATTATTTAGGGTTGTTTTAGGCTTTGCTCACGGTTGTTTTAGGCTCTATTTAGGGTTATTTAGTGTTGATTTAGGGTTGGTTTAGGGTTTGTTTAGGGTTTATTTAGGGTTTATTTAGGGTTGGGTTATATATATATATATATATATAATATGCTTAATTCTATATATAACTTGAATATAGACATACAAACATATATAATTATATATATATATTGACATGTGACATATGACAGACATCACAAGGCACGATGACCAACTTCGATCGAGCTTAACAAAAAGCCAGGTTTCGGAGTTTCCTTATCGCCGAGAATGAGAAGAATCGCAGTGGCCCGTTTTCGAACGTTCGAACGTCGGGGGCGGCCTGGAGGTTTGGAGGTTTCCACGTCATGGATGGGAAAAACAATGGGGTACCTGGCCATTTGATGTGGAAACAAAGATATCAAAAATGAGATATTGAGATATCAGATTTTGCGAAGTGGAAGGCATGGCATGGCCCAAATTCGATGACTCCAGGACTCAACCCAAACGATCCTCCGAAAAAAGCTGGCGCAGTCAATCCAAGTTATAAACGATACAAATAAGTATGGTAATAGAATGTGATTCTTGCGTATTGTATATATATATATAGGTATGTGTGTACATATCCATATTGCAATTGCATAGTTATATATATATATATTTATAATTATGTATATTATATATATATATATATGTAGAGTCATCAATTTTTTTCAGTCATGTCAACCCCGGATGAAAAAAAAGCCGGTGATATTAAATTAGGGGCGTACTCCCCAAATAGTAAGCATGTGATACTTAAATGGCAACCCCCCGAATTCAACAGCCGTTTGGGGTTTGTTACTCCAGGGTTTGTTACTCCAGGTGGCGGCAGCCGTCAAACCGATTTCTTCCGTTTGGCCAGGGGGTCTCAGCCAGGGAGCCGCCATATGTTGGGCATTTCTCTTGGAATTTAGCCCTCGCAGATGCCTTATACCCTCTGGTAAACTAACATAGCTATGGAAAATCACCATTTTTAATGGGAAAATCCACTATTAATGGTCATTTTCAATAGCTACGTTAAATTACCAGAGGGTACATGGTAGTTACCTCCAATAAATGGGTACCTGATTTCTGGCCATTTATCTTATGGTCAAGCCTTGTCATGCCTTAACTGCAAATTGTTAACCATTTGATGGCTGAGTTTTACAGGGTGAACAAGTGAAATGGGTTTAGGTACAGGAATCTTTGCCCCATAAGTAGCTTTCCATGTCCCCAAGGATTTCTCCATTCTTCATGGTTAATTCAAAAACTGCCAGCCCAAGGGCCCAAATCTGAAGAACATCAAATTTCCATGTTTTCTAGCGTCTTCCAGCCTTGTCCATTTTTTGATCTTTTTGATCTTTTTTGGGTCCCTAGGAATCTTGAAATCATATTAGAATTATTAGATAAAGCTTTCGTATGCTTTCGTATCGGCAGCATGCTACATATGACCCATAGGATCCATGTATGCTATATATGCTAACATTGGGGGTATATTGATGGTAAATGTTACCATATATAGCATACATGGATCCTATGGGTGATGATGTTTTCCATGGCCGTTCCCTGCAAAAAACTCCCGGCCGGATCCCAGGTGTATCGGCAGCTGAAGGCCGTTTCCGCCTTTCCCATCCAGGAGACCGGGACAGGTTCCGGACAGGTTCCGGACCGATAAAATCGTCGGAAGTGCCAGTTGAACATCGTTTTGAACATCTGAAAATCAGGTTCCCCAAAATCCAGTGATGTAGAACCTACCCTCTGGTATACTGACAGTTTGCTATTGAAAATTGCCATTTATAGTGGATTTACCCATTAAAAATGGTGATTTTCCATAGCTATGTTAGTATACCAGAGGGTATCTTTTCCATTCTCTTCCCAATTCTATGCTTGAGATGGTCATAGTTTGAAGGGTTTAGGGGGCCCACGGGCCAGGAGAACTTGTCGGCTGCCATCCTGGCCGCTTCGAACGCTCAGGTGACATGTCTTCCAGGTATGAATCAAAAGTCCCCGGCAGCCGCATGTTTTATCATTTTTTGGATGCTCAACCCAAAACATTCCATTCATGGGGGTGCCTTTTACTTGATTCATCCTCGCTGAATCAAGTGAGCAGTGTTCAAGACCCTTGGTGGTTGATTGGTTGATGAATAGGCTATACTACCCAATAAATTGATATAAATTGGGGATAATCATAATTCATTATGGGAAATTCTATCAACCAACACTCCTGTCTACCCTAGTGGAGCGGTTGTTTTTCACTCGCTCTTAGCTGAACTCTTCGAGAAGGTGATGGAGAGAGAGAACCAAAGGAACGACAGGGTTTTGAATACTTCTCAAGTGAACACTTTTCCATACTTTTTCGGCACTGTGGTTTACATACATGCAAGTGGGGTTGATGGTTTCATATTCTTGTTTTCCATCCTTTGATATCTTTGACGATCAAAATTGACCCAAGAAATTGAGGATGGATGGCTCAACCAGCAGCCAGAGGTGGTTTTGATTGCCTGACTTGGATATGCATCAGAGTTAGCGTATGGCTGATAACCATGGTAATGATAAATGGAATAAACCTGGGGATGTGTCATTTTGGAACTGTAAATCCCATGTGTCCTGTTCACAAATGGGATAAACACCAGTTTACTTAGTTTACTTGTGGATCAGGGCCACAACTACGAGGCTGCAATGCCCTGATCGCTGGTCCTGGGTAACGCAAGGCAGCCTTGAAACAGAGCAACCTCTCTGATCGGGACCTGGCCGACGCACTGCGCGAGCAAGAGCTATTGGAGGTGCCAATGGCAACGGAAGTCAGATCCCTCTAGGGGCTGGGAATGTGGTGTTGAATGTTTATATATATATAATGATATATAAACCATAAACATGCCATAAAACATAGTTTTTTAAACATATATAATGATATGTTGGCCATTTTGTAGAGCTATCTCAGGATAACTGGTGCTGTGGGTGAGTTGGCGGGGAAGCCCCATAGTCATCATAGTCAGTGATGCAATTCCCTTCAGCAGCACGCTGACTTTTTAAAGTGCCAAAGCACGAGCCCAAAGCACCAGATACTTGTAAGATTTGACATTTGTAAGCATTGGTCGGTAAATAGAGCTGCACGGATGCTAGTATGAATGATTAGAGGCTAATCCATCTTTTTCAGGAAATCATCTTTCGAACCGAACCTTTTTTTTCCGGGGCCCCGTGTTAGCTTTCAGTTCATCATTTGCCATATTATACTTATTACTTATTACATATTAGATATAAGATGATAGACCGTAGGCCAACAAGATGTGAGAAGGGAGATTCAGATCGTAAGATCAAAGGTTGGTGCTTAAAAACTTACGGTTGGTGGTTTGGAATGCTGGTAATGCTGGAGCCTTACCAGCGTCCATGTCTGCAGGGCGGAGCACGATGGTTGTGCTTGATGCTCAAAGTTCAGGCCCCCGGTGGGTCCCACCATGTCCCGTCTGGAGAATTTGGAACCACCGAAAATGGTTGATCGAGAATCAAGACCCAATGATTGCAAGAAAAACCATGGGTAATCAAAGTCGATTTTTCTTATAATAGTTCTTTGTGAGCTAGCATTCAGATCGATATATAAATAAATAAATAAATAAATAAATAAATAAATAAATATATATATATACACATAATATACATAATTATATATATATATATATTACATGATTGAGTTGTATTTCGTGGTATTTTAGCAGTTGCGACCTTCCTCCAACCATCCAAATCTGCAATATTTTTGAGAGAGGCTGGAGCCGCCAGCTACCACCCAGGTGCTAAAAACGATCCCAGCCCGCACGGCCCCATCGTCCCTGCCATGATTCGCAGGCTGTGGCACCCCACCTCTTCCCTTCCAGAAAGCCCGGGCCAATGCCCCAGCTATGTCCATTGTGGAGAGATTGTTGAGGCTGACCGGTTTGGATCAATCTTAAAGGCACCAAGAACGGGTATAATGATTAATGGGTAAATGACCGAGGTCCCAAGGTCCCAAGGTTTTGACCAACCGATTCACCATCTTCTATTTGCCGTGCTCGCCAGTGATTCATCTTGATGGCAGCAGAATTTCCACCCTCTTCTTCAATGGCACTCTAGTGGGTCATGCTTCAGGAACTTGCCAGCAACAAATAACTATATAAGATGTTTGGTAGTTTGGTTCATTTTTTTTATCCACCTATATAATTTTAGCTTTATATATGATCATATATATAGATTATATAGATCGTATAGATTATATAGCCATTGAACATGCTGATTTCCGGTTCCAGTGTATCCAGACCCAGGTCGGAGAATCAGATTCAGAAAGAAAGAGGCTCCAGGTGCGGTCGCCTCCACCTGCACCTCAGTGATGGACTTTTGCCTGCGCAGATGTATCGATAGACATATGTATTATATATATTTATATATTATATATTGTACATATACACACATTATATATATATATATACATATAGATAGATTTGTAGATATAGACCGAGATAGAGATATAGAGATATCCGTCTTATATATATATATATTACATATGTAGATATTATTGGTGTTCACATTTCGTGTGGAGGGGATTTCCCCTGGTATCGTTCAGGCTGATGAGCCGTGGCCGTCGCGCCTCTGTAGCCAAGCAGTCGTCTTCCGGAAGGCGGATGAACTCAAGAAATCTCCGCAATATTGGGAAGAGACGGGAACATCAGGTTTTAGACCATTTTTTGCACCATTTTTCGGATGCCCTATTTTCAGATACACCATTGATACACCCATATGGCGTCTAAAAATTGGGAAACTGCGTCTAGATCTGAAAAGGCCCTGGATTTCGGACAGGTTTAGATATGGACATCCCCACAGTTACACTAACACAAAGCTAGATATGTGGGTTTTTGACGGCATCCCCAGATAGATCCGCTTTTAGTCTAAGCTGACACTCAAAAAGTACCATGTTTAGCCGGTGGATCTTTGCGCCAGGTAGCGGATCGACTAGCGGAGGGTAACCATACAGGATCTTCACGATAGAACAGTCGTTTGCACCCTACATCTACACCCCAAAATCACCTAAGCTGTAGCTTGAAATCCTGAAATATCCTGAATATGTCATAGTTAGATGGACCCGAATGGCCGAATGGCATTGGATCCCACCGCGAGCCTGTGTGATTATTGAGGGCCTTCTCGAAGCCATTGTATAGTATAGTTATGGCCTGGCAAAAAAAAACGTGTTTGCGACCAAAAGAAAAACACCCCCTCCTTTTCAGGAGTTCCTCAACCAACCCTTCATGCTGACATATGCTGACATAAAATTGACATAAGATTGCCACAGTTCTGGGTCCATTGCTGATCAAAACCTTTGAGCCATTGCCATGTATAGCCATGTACATGGTGCAGCTCTCAGGCGCAGCTCTATCTCAGGTTTAGACCTGGTGCGCGGGCCTGGAGTATCTGGAGTCGGTTTTTCCAGTCGAGTTGGATGACGTCAGTACCATGGTTCCCACCTGATCTGGTGCCTCCTGAGGTGGTGGAATCCAAAGAATGAGCATCGCCTTCGACGACATGGCGATGTCTACCTGTTGGGATCGGGTAGAAAAGTGCCAGTCTTTGAGACACGGAGCTTCTCCATGCTTCTCCCCTCCGCAGCTGCTTCGAAATCAGGATCTTCCGACCCAGTGTTATGAATCATGATGTAGAACTGCTGGCAAGACGAATGCGGGAGGCCGCTGGCACTCTCGAGTCATTGGGCCTTCTCTAAGCCACTACCCAACTGCTGCACAGAGCGAGACGAACACATACGCAAAAGAGGGATACTGAGGGGATGTAAGCTACGACATAAGTTATGGTGAAGGCTATGTGCCGCCAGCCTGCAACAAGAGTTGACTGGAAAGGGCTTAGAGTCACTGGCTTGTTGCCCCTCGCTGCCATGAGCTTCATATGAGAGGCGGCACTTGCGGCAGCGGCCAATGAACCGTGCCTCATTGCAATGAGCAGCAAACCATGTGCAGTGGGCTCTATCGGGGTTATCATTCGGCCAACCCCATTGGACCAGGGACCCAGAATCCTCAGAATCCAGCCAATCCTGATCTTGAACGTACGATGGTGCCAGTGTGGCACTGAGCCAAAATAGCTGATAGATGCTAGTAGTATCTCTTAGCGCCATACGGACAGCTGGAAGAGCATTTCTTGGTCCGAACATCCCAAACTGGATTTCAGTACGTCTATTCCCTGTACGTCCAATACCTCATCCTGGAAACGAGATCATTCACCACCGCAGGTCTGAAGCAGGTGGCAAACAGCTTGCAAAATCCAGCCAGACCGGAGCTGGTTCCCAGTGGTGTGCTGGCCATGACGCGGGGTGGGAAGGACCTCTGACTAATGGCTTCAAATAGGATTTAAATGGATTTAAGATGGGCTTAATTAGTTCAACTCATCCGGGATTGCGAATGCATCGGAAAGATTTAGGACATTTGGAGTCCAAGTTCACCTGATTTGTCATGATTTGTTTGTGCCTATGTGCACATGTGCACACACACACACGGTCTTGATCTATATGATTATATAATATTATATAATTATATACATGTGTGTAGTTATATGATGTTATATGTTATTTTCTGGTATTTTTCCTCGTGTTGGCTGAACCCTTACGCTTGAGCTCCATAAAAAAGAATGAGCAGCCGATTCGAGGGTTCCAATGGCCCCAGGGGATCCGAATGACCTTTTTTGAATGGCTCAGGCAGACACCAGAAATGTCCTGCCTCCAGGTAGTGAGAACCCCCCAAACCCAGGATACGAGAAGCGCTGCGGGCTTTTGCATTCGGAGTGGGCCTACGAGCCCTGGCATAAGACGTTGAGTTGAGGATAGGGCGCCCAGACATAGCCATGGTACTGTACTTTTGTGTTTGGCAGAATCTGGGGGACCACGCTGGATAAAATAGGAAGAGTATGGAAGAGTACTAGCCTGGATTAGCCTGGTGGTTCTGAGAAACTATCTAAAGTGATGGACACTGATGGATTGAAGAGTTGAGAAGCCCATGCTCCAGGCTTTGAGTCCAGGTCTGCACACCGAACAGTGCCTTCTGACTATGCCAGGAACACTTGCGATGGATGATCCAGAAGGACTCCCTTGGCCAAGATATTTTTTTGTTAGGCCCGGGCCCGGGTACATGGACCACCTGAGACTTGCAGAGCTTACTACTGGTAGGTAGTTTTGGCTTTTGGCTCATATTGAGTACCACTTGATCTCACCGACTATGCCCAAATCAACCCAAATCTCTGTCTCTAGCTAAAGCTCTGCATTTTTTCGAACCCGATTTATAGATTATGGGTCAGATTATAAGGCATATTGAGGCATCATGACTCAAGCTGCCCCCATGGCTACCGCCCCAATGACAAAACTGGCAGGTTCCCACTCGCCGCTCCGACGCTGGCTGGCCTTTCGCTTCTGCGAGGTATTAGGCGGTCCGCGGGCCCCAAAACGACCAGAAGATCCAACCGATACGATACAGAATATGAACATCCAAAAGGATAGAACATGATAGAACAATAGAGAACTCATCTATCCTGCTTTTGTCTGCTTTTTGTGTATTTTAGCAAGAGTTGGCTTTTCTATCTTTTTGAGGGTTGCTGTATACTAAAGCAGGATTTCTGGCGGCTTTATGCTTAGCTTCCAATTTCCAGATTGGCTTTGAAAGTAACCAAGTGGCTAAAGCAGTCCAGCATTCTAGTGGTCCGGATTATGCGTAGAAGGCATATTTGCACCCTGGCAATCTTACTTGAGAATTTACCAATTTATAAAAATAGTTCATGCCACCTATCCACCATTTCATCCTCACGTTTGAGTACTTGTACCAGGGGGTAGATGTGATCAACTTTGACCTGCATAGGTCGCGAATGCGAATTTCTGGCTTTGACGCCTGATACCTCTGAGGTGCGGGGCCGAAGGCTTCTTGAAGGGGGCCGTGGCTTTGCATCTGACTAACATCTACACCATAAACCTATCTCCAGATGAGCCGTCAACTACGATGCGCCCAACTTGTCATGTGGATGTGTCTTCATCCATTTTTTCTCAGCACAAGATGTTAGAGCAGGATTTTCGACCAATTATCCACAAAAAGAAAGGACTCAAGTAGGAACTTACTCAACTTTCATCATTTTTCTGCCAAGAAAAAGAGGTTCAATCATGTTCAACCTTATTTTTTTACATGTTTTTTCTGGGGGATGGCATTCTCTCCCCCAGTTTTCAAAAGATCCCATCCCCTCATCCCCATGGCAGGTGGATCTCAAGTCCCGGCGTGAGCTCCGCGCCGTGGACGGCCTGCAGGGGGCCTTGGAGGTGGTGTGGTTCGACCAGGCGGTGGTGCGTGCAGCGCTCTTCGGTCGGGTGCTGGTCTTGGAGGGCCTGGAGAAGGTCGGGTGAAGTTTCGGGGGGGGGAACAGCGCCATAGCTCTGGGGATAGGGGGAGATATTTGTGAAATTTGGGGATATGACCAACTACATAATTATCAGAAACAATAGTTGGGGATATGACTTGATATGACCAAGTATTTTTGAAACTTAAATGGGTTTGGAATGGTTTGGATGGAAATTGGGCACTTGTAGCAGCAAATTTGATGGTTGAAGCATGGTATTTCCCATTGAAATGGCTAGTTGATGGGTGTATACCTCATTTTCAGACAGGCCCATTCCCATAAATGGGTGTGGGATTGACAAAATCCCCAATTGGTAGCTTTATGGCGTTGGGTGAACTTTTTCACCAAGGCAGTTTTTTAGGAATGACCTGCCCTCCAACTAGCGTACACCCGACCAAATTGGGGGCTTGGAAGGCTATTTGTTTTCTTTACAGCCGGGCTGTGCTCAGGGTCTATGTTACTTCGGGGGAACGGTCAGTGGCAAAAAAACGCGTAAGCTAAGGGATTTAAGCGACATGGGGGGTTCGTCAACCAACAATGAGGGATTCAACTCACGAAGTAATGATAGGTAATGGCAGTGTGAGCCCGGTTTGAAGATGTTTGAAGCATGTAACTTTGGACTATAGACAATAACTATGGTTTATGGTACTTATAACTATAGTTAATGGGGTTTATAAACCAACTTATAACTGGGGGGCCCCACATTGTACTTGTTTCATGGTGTTTCTCGTTTTTGATGATCAATATCCTCATGCGCGTCGCTGGAGATTATGGCACACCTTAACCGCAGCCAAACCGCTCAGGCGGAGCGGAACGTGCTACCCGTTCTGAACAATCTGCTAGAGAATCGGGAGATGCAGCTGGTCAACTGCCATTTGTTCAGAAACTTTTTCCCCAAATGCAGTATATATATATATTCTTTTTTAAACGTTGATGGCGACCTTTCGATATGAGGCAAGGATGTGGTGTATTCCTATCATAGTTTTATTTTGACTTCAAAACATCCCTGCAAAACAGGACAATCCCTGCACAACCACCAGAAAAACAGAGACTTTGAAGGCGGAACCTCCTGAAAAAACCAGCATAAGTCGTGGGGGCAACTCATCCATGGTATAGCAAGGCCCCCAAGAGATAGAAAAGTAATTCTGCACTATCTTAGTGGGATATGAATATGATGTGTTTTTCATTGTTTTTCTGTCTTTTTGGGGATTACTATAGATCCTATAGATATAAACAGTTATAAACAGTTATAAACAGTTATAAACATATCTAAACATATCTAAACATATCATATATCTCCAAATTCAATGATCCCGGCCATCCCTATGTCAGGAAGATGGGCGATTCTTGGTCGCCCCGCAGCGCTATGATCGTCTAGTGAAGGAGGGGAAAGATGCTGGGCAGCTGAACTTGGTGAGAGTCCACGAAGATTTTCGAGCCACTTGACTTGATACCCTCTGGTAAACTAACATAGCTATGGAAAATCACCATTTTTAATGGGAAAATCCACTATAACTGGCCATTTTCAATAGCTATGTTAAATTACCAGAGGGTAGACCAAATCGCAAGGTTCAATGGATTGGTTTTGTTGGGAACATCTTCACCGGAAACCATCGATACTCCATAGGTTTTCCCATTAAATATTAGGAGTCACTGGATTTGTTTTCCCTTATATAAGCCAATCCATTGAAAAGTTATAAAACTTCATGATTTGGTCAGCCTAAACCTTCATAAACCTACCATTCAAGGGTCCATTTGGGGATTTGTTTACCAATGACGATTTACCGTAATACTCTGCAATACTGGCAAGAGTTTATAATTGGGCATACAACATCAACTATGATTCAAGGGGCATATTTGATTGAAAAAACGTCTGATTCATGAATCACTGCAGCAAGACTACATCCGAATACCGAACTGTACTGGTATGGGGGTGCTGTCACTTGAGAGAACTTGCCCCTTTCAACCAATGGAGAACTGGACCATATCCTTCGGATGACCGTGAACGTCTCCTGAGAGGTGACATACCAGGTCTTGGTGCGTCACCAGTTGCCCTTGAATTCAGGTAGTTCAGTTCACCACCTGGGTAGCCATGGGTCCCCTCTGGTAAACTGACATAACTATGGAAAATCACAATTTTTAATGGGTAAATCAACTATTTCTATGACCATTTTCAAATTCGCAAACCGTTAGTTTACCAGAGGGTATATCCCATTATCCCATATTATCCACATTTTATCCCCATCTCACCACAGTTCACCCACTACCTGGGCCCCCATGGGTCCCTTGGGTCAACCCCAAACCCAGCCCCCACCGCCTCAGGTGGTGGCTCTGGGGGTGCCTTCTCCGCCCTTCCCCGGCAATCCGCTGGACCCGCCACTGCGCTCGCGCTTCCAAGCCCGCCACGTGGCGCGGGCGCCGGCCGTCCCTTGGCCCCAGGTGTTTTTTTTTGGTGCTTGGAAAGGCATGTTTTTTTTTTTGGGGGGTGTTGTTGACATATAGAAACCCAGATTTGTGTATTTTCTAGCTTGGAAACCTATTTTTTTTGGAAACCCAGATTTATATAGATTTATAGCAACCCCCGAGAATGATAGAAAGGTTGGACACCTGGAAAAGCGGAAGCAGGATCTTTACCATCATGGAAACATTTTTCGATCTTTTTTTTCTCCTCTCGGGGGGGCCATAGGATCTGATCATATATTCATACTGATCATATATTCATATGATATCGCCATGTATCGCCATTCATTGAATTTTTGGCAAATGAATTTTAGCGATCAGAATTGCAGCCATTTTTGCAGGTTTGATATTCATTTCCAGGGTTCATACATGTTATAGCTATGCTATGCGTTGTACATCAAAGTCGTTTTGACATTCACATGCAAAAATGGATTCTTCTATGATTTGGCACTGGGTTCAAGGACTCTATCCTTTGGAAGGTGTGATATCATGTGCAACTAGCCAGCTTGCCCAACATTAGCCTATCCAACATTGAATACCACCACACACACACATATATATATACACATACAGTAAGTATATATATATATATATATATCATATAGGACCCCCATTCAATGCAGAGATCCAGTAATCCAGTACACTAAACCAGGGTTTCTGGGTATCAATGCTTTAGTAGTCAACTTCCAAACTCATCAACTGGGTATCAATGTTAAATTCTGGGTCCCCACGCCCAGGATCTGTTGTTACAGCGCTTACACAGCGAAGCACCGAAGGACAGGGAACAACAGCCTGACATATTCACTGGATTGTTTGAAGGGAAAACCTACGGGAAACCATAGTATTTCCCCCGTTTTCCCCACCATCAAATATAAGGGTGCCCTGGAAAATGCCCCTTTAACCAATAGATAGATAGATAGATAGGATAGGATAGCATAAGATAGAATAGGATAGGATAGGATAGAATAGGGATAGATTAGATAGATTAGATAGATTAGATAGATTAGATATATTAGATAGATTAGATAGATTAGATAGATTAGATAGATTAGATAGATTGGATAGATTAGATAGATAGATAGATAGATGGATAGATAGATAGATAGATTAGATTAGATTAGATTAGATTAGATCAGATAGATAGATAAATAGATAGATAGATAGACAGACAGACAGATAGATAGATAGATAGATAGATAGACAGGCAGATAGATAGATAGATAGATTAGATTAGATTAGATTTAGATTAGATTAGATTAGATCACATCAGAGAAGATCGATTAGATTAGATTAGATTAGATCACATAAGATAAGATAGATTAGATTAGATAGATAGATAGATAGATAGATAGATTGATTGATAGATTAGATAGATTAGATAGATAAGATAGATAGATAGATAGATAGATAGATAGATAGATAGATAGATAGATAGATAGATAGATAGATAGACAGATAGATAGACAGATAGATAGATAGATAGATAGATAGATTAGATAGATAGATAGATAGATTAGATAGATAGATTAGATAGATAGATTAGATAGATAGATTAGATAGATAGATTAGATAGATAGATAAGATAAGATAAGATAAGATAAGATAAGATAGATAGATATATAGACAGGCAGATAGATAGATAGATAGATAGATAGATAGATAGATAGATAGATAGATAGATAGATAGATAGATAGATAGATAGATAGATGTGACTTGGCTCGCTATGCCCCTCGATCAAAACTCCAATGAGGCGAGCTTTGAGGTTGGTCATACGCGCATCACGCTCTGCTTGGGGCACTTTGCGGGCCGCAGATGGCTCCAGATTGGTGATCTGCTCTTTCAGGATTGCTAACAACTGGGTCTGGCTTTCAAAAAGCAAGCGCTTCAGAGAGGAAACTCCACCTATTGTGGCACTCGGATCCAACTGTCTAACCCAAGCTTGAAAATCTTCTGGAACTATTCTGCCCCCTACCCCTACGCCGCGCAGTCGCAGGAAGCCTTCATCGCATCGGAAGGAGAACGAGAGGACCTTCTGCGCAAGGTTGCCACCTTGGGGCAGTAAACGCACCTCGCGTACGACTGTCCCAAGAAGCACAGCGCTGCTGACGTGCTCTGCGCAGTGCGCCGCATTGTGAAGGAGGCGGGACTAAATTTCGATTTTGACTCGGATGCAGCACCGTTTTGAGCACCAGGAGCACAAGCGGCGTGATCTGGGACCTTCTGACAGAACACTTGCCGAAGAAGGATTCCAAGGCGTGGGATACGCAGGAACTCGGGAAGAGCTCGAGGCTGGCGTCCTTCGGCCGCGTCCTGTTAGCAGAGCACGACGTAGTTCTTGGTGCCGACGCCGGGGAATATGCAAAGCATATTCTTCTGGCGATCGAAGCTCTCAATGAGAACGGAACGCCCTTGCCCTGGCGGCTGGATGGGGACACATGTTCCCTTCTTGAGATCTTGGGGCTTCTACACCACAAGAAGTACGTCGGCCTGTCAACAGAGGACGCGGAGCCGCCAAGGAAAAAGGCTTCCAGGCGCAGGGCAACCACAGCCCTGCCGAGCGTAGTGCGAAGCTCGCTCTTTTGAGGCCTGGAGCCTGCGGCGCTTAATTCGCAACTTAATTAAGCGGCTTAGGCTAAACCCCGAATGTCTGTTCATTATTTTTGTGATCCAAAGCAGATAGATAGATAAATAGATAGATAGATAGACAGACAGACAGATAGATAGATGGATGGATGGATAGATAGACAGACAGATAGATAGATAGATAGATAGATAGATTCGAATAGATTAGATTAGATGAGAATAGATAGATTAGATAGATTAGATCGATTAGATAGATTAGATAGATTAGATCGATCAGCTAGATTAGACAGATAAGATAGATTAGATGGATTAGATGGATTAGATAGATTAGATAGATAGATGGATGGATGGATGGATAGATAGATTGTGGATAGATAGATAATGATAGATAGATAGATTAGATTAGATTAGATTAGATTAGATTAGATAGATTAGATAGCTTAGATAAATCAGATAGGTTAGATAGATTAGATAATTCATATAGATCAGATAGATTAGATAGATTAGATAGATTATATAGATAGATAGGTCGATTAGATTAGACTAGATTAGGTTATATTAGATTAGATATAGATCAGATAGATGAGATAGATGTGATAGATTAGATAGATTAGATAGATTAGATAATTCATATAGATCAGATAGATTAGATAGATTAGATAGATTAGATAGACTAGATAGATTAGATTAGATTCGATTCGATTAGATTAGATTAGATAGATAGGATAGATTAGATAGAAAGATAGATAGACAGATAGACAGACAGACAGATAGACTGTTTGATTGAGAGATACAAAAATATGAGATAACATCATAATTTCTATATATATAAGGATGTACCTACTTGACCGGCACAGAGGCGTTGCTTGTTGCCAGGCTCCAGCAGAGGTGCTACAACAGCTGCTGAAGTTCTATGAGACGCTCTGGGAACTAATGCAGGCGCAGGGGAGCCACCTGGCCAGCGATGGAACATATGTGATCAAACACTCATACGCACACACACATCTTTCCATGTATGTATTTTTACATCTATCATCTATGCGTCTAATCTGATCTAATCTGATCTGATCTGATCTTATGTTATCTGACCTTATCTTATCTTGTCTTATCTCTCTCTCTCTATGTAGAGGCACGCACGCACACGCACGCACACGCACGCACACGCACGCACACGCACGCACACGCCTGCACACGCACGCACACGCACACGCACGAGCGCACAGACACAGACACAGACACAGACACACACACACACATATATATATATATATTTAAATACACGTTAATTAGTAGTATGGTATAGGCTATTCATGACCTCATCACATATCATGAGGGGTCAGTTGAATGGATTGAACAGATGGGACGACGACCTGATCTGGTCGCTGGAGCCACCATGGTGATCGACGCTGTTTGGATCCCAACGTGACTAAACCATTTGGCACAAATCACGCATATATGGGCATATCTAGTTTCTCCACTTGCTTAAAAAATGTTTCAACATATTTCAAGATGTTTAAAGATGTTTAAACTATATTTATTTAGCTAGAAGTTCTGTAGTTTTTCCCAGCCAAGGCACTTCTGGAATGGAAGTGCGAAGCATGGCCTTTTCTGCCCCTTGTTATCCCTCTGAAGAGTCGGTTCCTCGTTCAGAAATTCCACAAAGAAATGCCACCAATAAAGTGGACATAGCTGGATGGGATGACCATGAAAGCAGGAATGGGGGTACCCTCATAGCTGGATGGTTTATAATGGAACATCCGAGCATCAAATGGATGATTTGGGGGTAGCCCTATGGCTTGGAAACCTCCACATGTGTCATAAATTTTGCTTCCAAATTTTGACTCATCAAATGTGTGTAGCAAAATTATGCCGGGCACGCTTTGTTCCATGTTGACAAACAGTGTACTCATACACTTGTGACTTGTGTGAGCTCACTATTGGTCCCTTTTTGGGATCCAACCCAAATGTTGATTTATACTTGATATATTCTAATTATTCCACTATAGGGAAACAGCATGAAGCTCATTTTCCATAGTTCAACATGGGTTCACTCGCTTTTGGAAAATCATCATACTCTTCCAAGCCAAGTCGCGCGATGCTTCAGGTGATCTCGGCTGCAAAGCTTCTGAATCAGCTCCCGCAGCTTCCACTGCATGCAGTGATCCAACGGATTTTTCCATTCCAGGTGGGAGAAATGGGACCTGCATGGGGGATGGGGTCATAGGGATATGGGGCTAGGGTAGCAGCATGGCGATTTGTTGGGTTTGGGGTACCCAATTTGAGACACACCAACATAGCTTCAAAGCCATTGAAAACTCACATGGAATCACCAAAATTGGCTGTGCAAGATGCTCGTCCCATGTAGGGAATGGCAAATGTGGGTTCCATTGTATAGTTCAGCGCTATGAACTATTGCTGTATGATATGGCGGGATATATCCCACCCCGCGACTGTGCACGGCTGATGTATAATAGGGATTTCGAGGAAAACAATTTGCTTGCTAACCGATCATTTTCCACTTTGACTATTGAAAACCGGAAATTTTGTCGGGAACAGCCCAGTCAAGTACAATCATCTGCCATGAACATATTGCATGATATCGATAGCATTCTACAACATGATTTAATGCTGCGACAGTACTGCATTCTACAAACTTCGTTTGAAAGCAGGATGCCCCAAATCCAATGGTATCATTTTCCCAAGTTGGGTTGATTTTTGAGGTGGTAAACTAACATAGCTATGAAACATCAGAAAAAAACATGGGTGGATCAGCTATACGTATATAAATGACAACTTTCAGAAGCAAACTGTCTCCGGATCCGGTGGGCCCTAGATGGAGAGTGGCCTGCTGAATAGCGCCATGGCCAAGTTGGTGACGACCATCCTGCCAACAGAAGGGGAGGACAGAGGTAGGGGCAGCCTCTGGTAATTTCCAAAGCAAACCCAACAAAGATAAATAATAGATAAATAATAGATATGTAAACTCATTCAAAATAAGATGATAGAAACACATCAGGTTTCCATTTTTTTGGGGGTATTATAAGCTCTGTTTTTTGGGAAAACACATGTGCATGAGAAATTGACAGGGTGTCATTTAGCGGGGAAATCGTCACCTGCGGGGTGATTCGATCAGGGGAACATGTTTCCAAATTTTAAGGGATCTAACATCACCTTCTGGACGCTTATGATGCTAAAGAGCTTCCATCCCCTAGCCTCCGAACTAACATAGTTACATAGTTTGTTTGGATAGACAGGATAGATATGGATAGATTTTTGGAACATCAACCAGTACTGTAGATCATTTTGTTGAGTGAATCCTATGAATCTCAATGGCTGCGGTTTTTTTTGGAGGAGAAGATGGATATCATGGGAGTGGTCCCAGCGCTGCTCAGTGATGTCGGCTCTTGATGTTGGTTGCGAGGTTGCTACCTCTGTGGGGACGAAACTAAAAGGAGGGGGGATGGATCCTAAGTGGGAACGGATCAGTTCCATTAAATTTGTCATGATATATGGGTATATTATGGTATATTCTATCATATTATTGGATCCTATATTGTATGTATATATATATATATACACATATCTCATTTTCCATTGGGTCCGATCCTAAGAAGTGGAAAAAGGATCAGGTCCATTAAACAATTGGTTGGAGTGGATCCCAGATCAGATCACGAATCCATGGTTGATTGGAGAATCACAAGTCCCATTCCCCGGTGGTAAGGTCACCAGGCAACGTTCGCGTGCAGCTTCGCTGCGGCGAAGCTCTGACTGAAGTGCGATGCCAGGGTGGTTGGACTGCAGGGCACTGCAGGGCAAATCTGGCCCTGGAAAAATGGAAAATCCATGGATTTGTAGAAGAGCCAGCTGAAAGATCAGAGATTTTCCAGTGGTCAAGTTTGATAAAATTATGTGTATCTACCAGAGAGCCAGGGAAGATCTGGGAAGAATGTGTTTTGCTGCTGTTTTTAGAGGCCCCATCGCTGTTTTCTGACCAAGTGACAAACATGTGCCACGTCTCGAGGGGCGCGTGGTGATCTCGAGGTGGTGATGGTGAGTGCTCAGTGGATTCCAGGCTTCCAGCTTTTCAAATGCAGCTGCTTTCAGAGTCCTGGCGCAATGGCCATGCTGGCGGTTTTCCAGCCCCGTTCATCTAACAGACGCTTTGTGAAATGGAACATGGATGAAAATGGATGAACATGTCCAATTCATAGATGATTTACGTCTTAGAAATGGATAACCATGGTCGTTTTCCATAGCTGCGATTGATTTGCGCCCCCTTAGGAACCCGGGCTTGCCATGATAAGATTGATGATTAATGAGTTAACAGGTTGATGGTTTCAAGTATCTTTGGGTATGGGTCGAACTTCTGACATTTTCCAAATTTCATGGCTCACGATTGATGGCTCACGATTGATGGTTTCTTAAGTTTCTTGGGGTGGCCATGGGCCCTGGTGGATCCCCAGCTTTGGGGATCAGGAGATGGTGGCTGCTGCATCCACCGGCCAAGATCTCTGCATCATTGGTCCCAGGGGTGAAGGAAAGACCTTCCTGGCGCAGCACTTGGCGCGTTGCTTGGGATATTCGCAGATCCACACCCTGTGTCCTGCCTGGATTCTGGAAGTGAAGTGCGGCATCCCTTCTCCCATACCCTCTGGTAAACGTTTACATAACTATGGAAAATCACCATTTTGAATAGGTAAATCAACTATTTCTATGGCCATTTTCAATAGCTATGTTAAATTACCAGAGGGTATGTTAAACCCCCACGAAAAGCCCTGGTGTAGTCTTGGATCAATTCGTTTCACGGTCCCGTGTTTGGAGAATTCGAGGGGACTAGGGGGATCAAGCCAGATCCTGGGTTAGCCAACCTGCGACTGGAGACACAACAACTACTGCGGCAAGTGGGGAAAACATGGGAAAGCTCTGCTTTCCAGAGGAGGAAACGCATGGTAAATTCTTCACTGCTAGCTCAGCTGCCTACAAGGCAACAGGTCTCAAGTTGAATTGAAGTGCCAGAAGTTGTAGCAGTTTCTGACACTTTCAACATCTTTCAACACTTCTGAAATTTAATCTTTTCAATCTGAAGATTATATAATAAATTGCCAAATTGCCAGCTTCCTGGACTTCTGAAGTTACACTTAGAGTTTGTTTTTTCCTAAACATCTCTTAAAGAGGACATGGATCGTAAACCGTGGAAAAATCTCCGAAACGCAGATCCGTTCTGCAGCGAGGTTCTTGCACGAGGAGATGACCGCTCGAGATCTCTTCCAACGGCAGCTCCGCAGCAGGGCTACGACAGACTCCGACAGACCATAAAGGGCTGCTGATTTGACATCGTTTACATCAATGTAGTCCATTGACCCTCTAGGAACCTATACCAAGTAGCTGCAAAAGTTGATTGTTGAGTGGCTAAACTTTGTTGAACCATGTCGATTCTCAATGGCTCTATGTGACTCTATATGACTCTATAGGACTCTGTATGACTCTACCTGTTCTGTCATTGGGTAATTATTAATTATTACAAGATATTACAAGTATACACTACTTTAAAAGCATACTTCTGCAATACTTTGAGTTTGTCATTAGATCCACCTCTATCTTTTTGTAACGGCTTCATTGGTTCAGCCACTCTGCCTATTCCTTGGGCTGAGGCGAACTACCAACGAGAAGGGCGAGAGCATCTGGGAGCCTTCACCACTACTGCGGGCCATGGAGTCCCTCGGCCAGATGGGAAAATGTGAGGAATCCAATGATTCTAAGCTGTAAATACATACGCAAAGATATCTAGGATATAAAATCGATATATAGACACACACACGCACATATATATATATATACATATGATATACATATGCATGCCATTGCATGCCCATGTAACTGCATATAGATCTCTAATGCACATTTACAGATACACTGGAATTACATGGAAAATCTGTGGCGATCTGTGTTTCGAACATAATATGGCTTAAACAGGAATTCTGTCCCGGTTTCTTTTATTTTTTGGAGTGGGCGCCTGGCTACCGGGAAGATGTAGGCAATTTTGGGGAGGCTTCTAAGCACATCCCAGTGGGAAATAATGTGCTATGAACTCAGACTCCATTCCATCGATGCATGGCATGGTATTTACCTACTGTACCCCCCGTACATGACTAGTTGATGTTTCGGAGTGGCTTGAATGTAGGTCAGCACATAGCCATCAATGGATTTGATTCTGGTCTTGGAACGTTTTGAGTCTTGAGCAAACCTTCAGGGTAGGGCTGCATTCCATGCACCCTTGGGGTAGCAAATTCCCAACTCTGATAGGGAATGATTCTGCTGGACATTTTTACAGCCCAGGCATGGAGGCCTTTGCGTGCTGGATGGCCTACAGCAGCTGCGACCCATGACACTTTCGGCTTTGGCGCCGCTGATCCAGGTAGCCCATAGTGATAGCCCAGGGTTGTTTGAAGGGAACATCTTCACCGGAAACCATGGTTGAATCACCATGAAATATTGATTTTTCTTAGAAAATCACTTGGCTAAATCAATCCCTTACCCCATTCACATTATACATTGAGATACATTGAGCATCCGCCAGAAACTATATGGACCATAGAGATGTTTAGAAGGGGAACTATTATGACATCACTAATATTTGGGATCGGACTATTTGGTTCCATTCCGAGCTTGGGTTCCCTCTTTATGGCTGATTTCTATAGATTTTCCCGTGGGTCAATTCCCCGCTGGGAATCCACTGAGACGATGGCTCCTGGTTTTGGGCGTGAAAAAGCGAGTTCTTCTATGTTCAAACATTTGTTGATACCATGATTTACCCTCTGGTAAACTAACATAGCTATGGAAAATCACTATGTTTAATGGGTAAATCCACTATAAATGGCAATTTTCAATAGCTATGTTAGTTTACCAGAGGGTATATAGATAGTTGAGGGTAACCGCAGAAAGGGGAAGTAATAGGTAGCTGAGCGATTCCCAGATTTGGCTTTAAAGAGAGATACGTTTCGAGCAAACCGCCACAGTGCTCCTCTGACCAGCATGTGGCCACCCCATTTTTTGGATGCTTTTCGGGGGCTTGAATCACCTTTTGCTGTTTCAAGAAGGGCTGACGGGCTGAATTTGATTTGGGAAGGAAATTGAATGCACCCTATACTTTACCAGTGAGTGACAATGAAGCCTAGGAACCGTCTCTTCATCTGAGGCCATCCTCAGTGAAATTTCATAGGTCCATCCTGGCACCATGGGTGCCCCATCCTCTGCAGGATCGCGAAGTGACACTCTACGACGGGGTTCGCTTCATCTCAGCCTGGCGTTGGCAGCACCTTCAGGGTGCCGCGTCCATGGCCATGGCGGAGCTGCGACGGAGGGGCACGCGGATGACGCATCCCAGCTTCCGGATGGTGGCGCTGGCCACACCTGCCAGGGCGTGGCTGGGTTCAAGGGGGGTTGGGAGTACCGGAGAATGGCATTTGGATCTGGAGCCATGGGACCCGGGTGACCTGGGACTCCGCGATTTTTAAACCTTTCTATGACAAACCACTTGGAGCATTGACGCTGCAAGATTGCCAAACCTAATGCAAGTTCTTTCTGTGTCACGGGATGTTTTTCCAATCTTTTCCGTTCACTTGTGACAATCCAGACATGTGAATAATTCCTAAAGATGACCTCTTCATACCTCTGTGTACGACCATCCCGCTTTTGAGCCATCAGTAGCCCTCTTTACCTGGCCCCAGGAAAGGGTGGTTGACCAACGAAGTCTTGCAACTGTTTCACTTCTTCGTGCTGCCCCGGAATGTTGACCTGCGGCTGGACGGAACTCAGAGATCTGGTTCACTTTTGGTGGGGAGATGGTCCTGGGCGTTCTGGGATGTTCTGGGGTGATGTTTGTGTTTATAGGTTTACGTGTAGTGTGGATAGGCAATCAAGAGATAGACCCATAATGATTAATAAGATTGATAATTTCATTAAATATAATTGAGTTCACAAATCTTTGTCTGTCTGTCTGTCTGTCTGTCCGTCCGTCCGTCCGTCCGTCCGTCCGTCCGTCCGTCCGTCTGTCTGTCTGTCTGTCTGTCTGTCTCTCTCTCTCTCTCTGTCTCTCTTTCTCTCTCTCCCCCTTTGTAACATCTTTGTAAATATGTATGCGCATGTAGGGATGGACAAAGCCACGATTTTTTTTTTAAAAATTGTGTGTGTGAAACATCTCAATAGGTGTAAAGCTTGTACCTTGATTTTTCCCGAGAGCGTCTGAGCGCAGGGTTCTTCCAATAGTGGGGGTCTGTAAAACATCTTCTCATCTTCACATCTCATCTTCACATCCTCTCATCTTCACATCTGCTCATCTTCACATCCTCTCATCTTCACATCCTCTCATCTTCACATCTGCTCATCTTCACACCTTCCCATCTTCACATCTGCTCATCTTCACACCTTCCCATCTTCACACCTTCTCATCTTCACATCTGCTCATCTTCACATCTGCTCATCTTCACAGCACATCTTCACATCATCTCATCATCTGCTCATCTTCACATCTGCTCATCTTCTCATCTGCTCATCTTCACATCTGTTCATCTTCACATCTGCTCATCTTCACATCTTCTTATCTTCATCTTCACCTGCTCATCTTCACATCTGCTCATCTTCACATCTTCTTATCTTCACACCTGCTCACCTTCTCTCTCATGCCTTCTTTTTATCTTTCTCTCTTAAGGCCGAGGGTGGTGCCGGCGGCGAGTCACGAAACGTCAACCCTTTCGCACGAAATGAGGGTCGATCGGCAAAAACTGAGGAAAAATTTGCGATTTGACTTGTCCCGGAGCAACCCTTTCGCACGAAATGAGGGTCGATCGGCAAAAACTGAGGTAAAATTGCGATTTTACTGTCCCGGAGCAACCCTTTCGCACGAAATGAGGGTCGATCGGCAAAAACTGAGGTAAAATTGCGATTTGACTTGTCCCGGAGCAACCCTTTCGCACGAAATGAGGGTCGATCGGCAAAAACTGGGGTAAAATTGCGATTTTACTTGCCCCGGAGCAACCCTTTCGCACGAAATGAGGGTCGATCGGCAAAAACTGAGGTAAAATTGTGATTTTACTTGTGCTACGGCAACCCTTTCGCACGAAATGAAGGTCGATCGGCAAAAACTGAGGCAAAATTGCGATTTTACTTGTGCTACGGCAACCCTTTCGCACGAAATGAAGGTCGATCGGCAAAAACTGAGGTAAAATTGCGATTTTACTTGCCCCGGAGCAACCCTTTCGCACCAAATGAGGGTCGATCGGCAAAGTGTAAAAGCGTCTGTGTGTAAAAGCGTCTGTGTGTAAAAGCGTCTGTGTGTAAAAGCGTCTGTGTGTGTAAAAGTGGCTGTGTGTAAAAAAGCGTCTGTGTCAAAGCGTCTGTGTGTCAAAGCGTCTGTGTGTAAAAGTGTTTGTGTGTAAAAGTGTTTGTGTAAAAGCGTTTGTGTGTAAAAGCCTCTGTGTGTAAATGTGTTTGTGTGTCAAAGCGTCTGTGTGTAAAAAAGCGTCTGTGTGTAAAAAGCGTCTGTGTGTAAAAGCGTCTGTGTGTAAATGTGTTTGTGTGTCAAAGCGTCTGTGTGTAAAAAGTGTCTGTGTGTAAAAAGCGTCTGTGTGTAAAAGTGTCTGTGTGTAAAGGCGTCTGTGTGTAAAAGGGTCTGTGGGTAAAAGCGTCTGTGTGTAAAAGCGTTTGTGTGTAAAAGCGTCTGTGTGTAAAAGTGTTTGTATGTAAAAGCTTCTGTGTGTAAAAGCGTCTGTGTGTAAAAGTGTTTGTATGTAAAAGCTTAGAGGTGTTTAAAAGCTTCTGTCTGTAAATGCTTCTGTGTGTAAAAGCTTCTGTGGGTAAAAGCTTTGTGTGTAAAAGCGTCTGTGTAAAAGCGTCTGCGTGTAAAAGTGTTTGCGATGCAAACTATTGTCTTACACTTCTCACTATTTTGTCTTGATACTCCTCTTCTCGATTGCCTATAACACAGCTTTCATATACCGTTTCTAAAATTGCATCTCCATACTAACAAGAGAAGACCCTGCTCCTCTACGCTCTCGGGCCATCCGTCGTCTAGTTCTTAGTTGCAGGGGTGCTGCAGGGAATGTCATAGTTCTGCAGCCAACGAAGACGGCTATGACATTATGTGATATCGATCCGGGGACGCTGGACGACGTACCTGCTTCAATTTTCAGGTCGAAATTCTGTGATGGGCAGTGGCTAACCCAAGAGCCACCTCGCCGTTTTCCAAAAAACATTTCACAGAGGTTTCAATCTCTTTTCCCATTCTTGCACAGTTGGCGCAATCTGAGACTGCGGCGGTAAATAAACTTCATGTCCAATTTGTTTTCCGATATCTGAAATCGACTTTCACTGGGGCTATGGCAACCTACACTGGCTATGGCGATGGTAACTCCGACAACTTATTTGGCATCTATTTGGAACTCGAAAGCGAAGGGTCAGCTCCCAACTCCAAGTTCTTCCCTGGTCAGGATTTAATGGAGTGTGTTTTGCACGTCCGATGCATTTCACATCACAATTCTCTAAGACAAGTCTGAGCAAGTGTGTGGTGAGTATGATATATTCTTATTTTTTGTGTTTTTGCTATTATTCCTAGTAACATTATTATTATCATGTACTATTATTTTTGATTCTTGTTATCTGCGCCACCCTATTCATGTGTATATCTTCATATGCTTTCCTAAGTTTTCATTTGGGTCCCCCCAACTCATCCATTTTTGGGTTTCGGACACCCTCTGGTAAACTAACATAGCAATTGAACATCACCATTTTTAATGGGAAAATCCAATATAAATGGCCATTTTCAATAGCTTTTTGTATGTTTACCAGAGGGTATTCCAACAACCAGCCAGCTCTTGGGCCCAATGACCTCCAGGCAGCCGGTGCTGTGGCGCTCGGTCCCTCTCTGCCCGAAGGACTTGGTCCAGCGGCTGCTGCAGCTGCGAAATGAGCTGCTGGAGGCGTCCTTGGACGCACGGTCGCCGCTATGGACAGGCCATAGAGATGGGAAGATGAATGGGAAGATGATGGGATAAACATATGATTTTATATGTTTTTTTTTGATGATTTTATATCATCCCAAGATGAATGGGGGATTATGTGTGATGATTTTGTATGGTTTTTAAAATTCTACGTTCGGTTTTATAGAGACAATCATGGAAAAATCATGGGCTATTCATGGATTTACCCTGGGAAATCCTTCTGGCTTGGCCATGAAGATTCTGAACGGAGGATTTTCCAGCAAACCATATTTGATACCTGTTTGATGGCACCGGAGGGTTATGCGAAAGGCCCCCGTCCCTCAGTTAACGAAGTAAATCCTCATAAAGCATCCCAGTAGCCAACCATTGGTCACTTGAAATCATCCCTGTCATAGTCGGGCATGCCCACGAATTAAAAAACAAACAAATTTGGATGGTTTATGTGATTGGGTGCTGTAGTTCATCATTCTTTGTTGGTAAAAAAAATTCCCTTCGAGACGTTCGAAATATCCACCAGAAATCGAACTGTTATGGTTTTAGAGTCCCTTCTTGTACCATTGGGTCAGAGTAACGAGAAAATGGAGGCATATAAACAAATATAGATATATATAGATATAGATATAGATATAGATATAGATATAGATATAGATTACACCCAAATTTGAACATTATAACATGGAACCCCCAAAGTTGAGTCTGGAAGATGATTTTCCGATTGGACAATTCACTTTTGGGTTCCACGTTGAATTTGGGGAATTTCGGATTCTTGGACAAATCACCAGTCAACCGTTAGTATGGGGTAAACACTAAATACCAAATATCATCAAACAGACACACACATTATATAAACATATATTGTAGAAATAAATGCATGAATAATAAATGAATAGATAGATACTTGTACATTGATGAATGAATCAATCAGTGAATACGCGATACATAAATAGATACATTGATTATGTTTTTTTTTGGGGGGGTGCAGAGGCAAACAGATGGAATTGGCCATGTTGAGTCATTCTTTCTCCGATGTGTAAGATCCAGGCCCTTCACCGTGACGTTTTCATTTTATCCCATACTTTGAGGCTACAGCGAGCCCTTGACATGGAAGGTTCAAACACTTTAGCATTTGATGATCCAATATTTTCCAGAATCGCTCGTTCAAATTATCTTGCATTCCAAACTGCACATGTTTGAAATGGGGCGAGCCACCAATCAGTCACCAGCCCATTGATTTTTGTCTCAAGAAGTGAGATGTACTGGCGAGGGTGGGATGTGGGATGTCAAGAGATCCTTTCATACGAGCTGCAGCATCTTATGCGATGCCACTGAGATCCACTGAGTAATTGGGATTTACTGATTCACTTCACCGGTCTCCAGCAGATCCAGGATGATCCAGTGTCTGAGGTCAAAATCCCCTGGACACTCAGGGCGCCATCCATCCCATCGTGACGCTCTCCTTGCGCTCCCTGCTGCGAGCAGCTAGAGTGGCGACCGGCAACACGACGCAGGAGAAGCGCCACTTCAGCCAAGCGCAGCAACATCACCAACTTAAGCTGGAAAACATCATTGAGACCACAACCAGCTCGATCCCATCCCCTGAATATATACTGTCCTAAATGGAAGCCTAAAATCAACAAAAATTCAGTGGAGTGTTTTTTTCGCCGACCCAACCCACCAGGTGGTGGGTTTGTGCCACATTCCGCGGGAAGGATGTGGCGGACTACTTGCAGAGTGCCCTAATGATGGACTTTATGCCGCCAAACGAAAGCGGCGCGCTGGTGAAGATTCTGCAGTCTGCAGGCTTCAGTCTCAGGTGGGGAAGATGGCGGAGAAGTTGTGCGGATTCAAAAACACATCGCATCCATGTGTACTTACACCCTATGGTTCTAAAGTTGTTGTTCTTTACGCATCTGCATCAAAACCATCTGAAACGATCTGAAACCATCTGAAACCCCACCACTTCTGCCAACTTTCCCTAGCTTTCCCTAACTTCCCCCCATCTCGCCGCCTCGTAGGTCCCGTCTCGTTCGCCTGCGCGAAGCCGCCGGGATGGCCATCGTGCCAGCGGCGCCGGGCGAGATGCTGCGCATCGGCGCGGTGCAGCTGAAGGTGCTGGCGCCCAAGGAGAGCGCCTTGATCCCAGCGCCTTGGCGCACCAAAAGACAGTGGGAGAGGATGGCATTGGGAGAAGTGATGTCTTTTTTGGGTGGGAATCTTTGGGGTGAGATGAAGTAGAAGGTGAGATGATTCAGGTTTCGATTACAGTATATATATATATATACACATATGTGTGTGTGTGTGAGTATGATATGTTTCTCCTCCAAACACTTTTTCATTGATGATTAGTACATAGTACTGTGTGACTGTATGAGCAATGATGATTGACGGTAAGAATAAGGATGACCTTTACGATGAGGATGCTGCCTTATATACTGTCAGCATCTGTCAGCATTTTCTAGCGAGAATGCTGTGATTGCATGTGATTGCATGTGATTGCATGTGATTGCATGTGATTGCATATATATGTGATTGCAGCACAGGACGGTCGTATGTCTGTGAGTCAGCGTGTCTCCGCCTCAATTCAAAGGTATTATATGGTATTATAATGTATTATATAATTTACTCCTGCACGTTGTTGATGGAATGTTATCAAAATTCACCTCTGGCAAGTGAGGAAACGGAGTTCTTCGACAATCCGCGACTTCGATGAATGAATGGGTTTGTTTTGTGGCGACAAAGTCGCCATTCTAGTAGCTGGTGGCTGGGAATGGCTGAGAATGGCTGGGAAGCTATTGCGTGACTTTTGCTTACATAGACTCCATGCGAAACGTGATATACGGTATATGTATATACATGATTTCAAGTGCCCCAAGTCAGGGTCAAATGAATGGGTATCCTACCTTTCCCTTACCATTGGGCCATCCCTTACCTCCATGAATGAAATTCCATGGCAGCCATGGCCATGGCACCAAGGCAGCAGACCTTGTCCCTTCACGACATGCTGCGGGACATGGCTGCCCAGGAGCACTTGCTGCTCATGGGCAACCAGGGCGTAGGCTGCTCAGTTGAACTTATGACTTATGACTGGGTAGACTTAGAAGATTCTTGCAGCCATACACTGGGTGTGCTTCAAATTATTATCTTGTCAGGTTTTATTTTTGTCATTTTCGTTGCCATTTTGTTTGCCATTGTTTTTTCAGATGTCATGTTTTTGTTGTCGTCTTCTTGTTTTTTGGGTATGTGTTTCGCTCAATTTGGTAGTTATTTCTCAAAAAAAGGTGTTTTTTTCATGTTTCTCCCCCCCAACGTAGGAAACATGATGAAACATGGTGAAATATCGATGTTCTTCCTCAGGATGATTCATCAAATTTCTCACTTTTCCTTCATTTTCGACAATTTGTAGGGTAACATAGCTCCCCAAATAACAAAAAAAAGAGAAACACATGGCCAAAAAAAAACGACAACCAACATGACAACACAAATGACACAAAAAAGACAAAAATGACAATCCAAATGACTCTGAAAACAACATTTACAATCCAAATGACAACAACATTGACAAACACAATGACAAACTAATTATGTTGGCATTTCCACTGTATGCCTGCCCAAGTTTCTTCTAAGGGTACAACTGGGGAGGCGCCACTTTGTACGATTATGGTCCTATATCCGCTTACCACTGGAACTTCGCTCCACCCCCAGAGATTCCAAGCCCAGCATAACCTCAGAAATGGGGCACCGGGCACTTAGACATTACGTTCTGCGCCATTTCTGTTGGGTTTTTTGGGGGAGTTGTTCTGACTCATGGCATCCCAAAGCAGTTAGTAGATGGACATAGATGGACTGCGGGGATCCTTTGAGGCAAGAACAAGTTGATTGACCGTTTGCTCATGCTGCTGCACCGTGAGCGTAACTTGGCATCTGAGCCATTCTTACGTTTGCGCCTTAAGCAGATGATTCTATTGATGTTGGTTCAAAGAAAGGGGACGGAAGGTACCTCCCATTTTCCAGATTATATATATATTATTATAATATTATACTTTTTTCATCTTTGTTCATTCTTTAGGTGATCAAGGATTGTTAGCTCGCGACCTCCCATTTTCCGGAGCTCATCATGAATCCCCTGCTAGGAAGCCACTAGGAATGCTAATCATGATATCATTGGATTGGTTTGGAGAACATTTGCAGAAGACCCCTATATTTGTTGGTCAGAAAATCATTGCTAACCAATTAACATACTGTAGAATTAATCATTAACTTACCTATTTCACTACGACTATATTTTTGCATGACTCATCATTCCTCTCATTAATAATCACGACTATGTGATGAATTACTAATCATCAGAACTATTTGGTCATCATAGCAACGAGTATCACATTCTTATAATCACCATGAATAATCACTACACAAATAAGTACATAAATAAATACATATATATATATATAGTTATATGATATTATATAATTATAATTGTATACATAATTATATGCAATCATATACCTACTTATATATATATATATATACATAGATAGATCATCACATCTATTCTTTATGCAACCGTGGTATTGGACCAGGTGAATACATCCAGCTCCATCGGGATACCACGGTGGGGTCACTGACTTTGGTTCCCACCCTGCGCAACGGCGTGGTGTCCTTCGACGATTCGCCACTGGTGAGCTGGGCGCAGATGGGTCGCTAAAGCTGAGAGTTGAGCCAGAAAAATAGGGAAATTCATGGAAATTGCTCGGGAAAGTTGGGTTTTAAGTTTTAAGCCACAGATAGGGAGAGAGAGATTCTATCAAATGATGGTTAATGGATTGGTTTGTCGGAAAAAGTCTGCGGGAAACAGTGGTTTGTACTACCAACATTTTTGAGGTGTGCTGCTGATTTTTCCTAATTCCCGTAAACCAGTCCTTACGAATGAATGAAGTACAGGCGTATGCGCAAACTTGGAGCTCCTCAAACTTATTTCATTTTGGAACCGCATTTCCAGGTCATGGTTTCAGCAAATTCGGTTCAGGAGTTGCTCCCAATCATCACATGTTCCCCCTTTATCCCTCAGGTCGGCTTTCTGAACCATTGGGTAAATTACCCCGACGCCACAACCACATCATACAACATCTCAAATGATGCTGAGCCAATGCTTAGTAAGGGTAACTTTCCAAGAATGGCCCAACATTGAAATGTGCCAGACACAGGAAGATTGAAGGCCTGATATTTCAGCTTGGTGAATTCTGTAGATCGATGCACCTACCACCACCCAGCCTGTCCAGCCAAGGTGAAAGCCATGCTGCACGGCCGGGTGCTGGTGATCGATGAGTTTGACAAAGCGCCAACGGAGGTGGTTTTGACCTTGAAGGGCCTGTTGCAGCTCGACGAAACGATGACACTGGCAGCGCCAACCGAGCGGCAAATGTCCCGAGTTGTTTTTGGAGTTTGGAACATCCCCTTGAAGTATCTGTTGGAGACTATATCATAATTAAATATTCATATTCAATAGTTGGGTGATATGAACCATTAGGATCCGTTAGGACATTTATAAATTATAAATGTAATTCTTCCGAAAACAGCATGTTCATGCGATTTCAACTCTCAGGTTGTTTTGTTGCTGTAGCAATCTGTAGCCTCTGAGGCAGGATGGGGAGATCCTCTTAGTGGATGGACGTCGTTTTGTGAAGTGTGTCGCTGCATCCATGGATGCATCACCGATTCACCCGAACTTTCAGGTGGGCGCGGGGCTGCATGTGCAACACGTCACACACATGTATGTACATATACGTTGTATATATATATATATACTGTGCATATATATATATAATGCATATATATATAATATATATATATATGTGCACTCTCTATATATATATTATTAATATTGTAATCTAATTGTATGTATGTATATATATATATACACCATAAAAGTACTCAAACATATTTTTCAACCATGCAAATCACTTAGACCGTGAAGTTCCGCATAGGTGGTGGCTTTGGCCAACCGACCGGGCTACCCTTTCCTGGGCAACGACTTCTTTCGAGAGATGGGCGACTGCTTCTCAGCGGATCAACTTCGGGTCAGCCCACCATTTTGCCACAATTTTGCTATTTTTTTTTTAAAAGTTTTTTTTTGGCCAAAACACTTGGTGAAAGGTATATATATATATATATGTATATAGATCAATGCAAGAATGCAATATCCAGCTTTGAATTTCCTTTTCTTTTGCACGGTATCTGAGGGTTGGTGAAGTATCTGCTTATAGCTGGCTAAAGCACCAAGTATCTTCCAGTCTTCACTCAGGCTTTGCCTGCCATGCGATCCAAAATCCCGATGAAGAGTCTGAAGTGGCGATGCTGCAGTGGCTTAGCTGCCCGTATCCCAGGGCATTCGTCAGTGGCAGTGCTTGAACTATCAGGAAATTGAAACACATCGCTGGGCTCCGAGGTGGCTGATTCAACCCTGAACAAAACCATACAAAACCTCGCAGTCAGTTAATCATCCTAAGTTTGGGCTATAGTCCCCACAAGAATTTCAGAATGGGGATATGGATGCACACAAGCAATAATAATGTGGGTACAATAATGCTTCTACTATAAGCCCTAGGAGAGTTCAACATAGCACTGGGCCTTGCTCCTGATCCATGGTTTCCTGTAGCTGTTTCCCTTCAACTAAGAAGGTGACAATGTTGTTGGACCCCTCAATGTCAGTATATTCCCTGCAGTGACCAGACAGTTGCAGGTCAGCCATGCCGGCGAAAAACGCTGAAGTTGGCTTTTCGGGATGCAAAGGGTTGGATTTTTGCTCGGGTATATACTTCAAAACTCATGTGTTTCCTTTGCTATTTTTGTCGAAGATATACGGATGGCAAGTTTTGACTTCGACCAACTCTATCCTAGAAGTGGATGAAGGGACAGTTTGATACTTGGTTGCAAGGACGCCCTGTCCTATACTTGCTCGTTCTTAAAGGAATGGTTTCCAATATAGTGTTCCTTTCAAAGACAGACACACGCACACACACACACACAACATCACAAAACAGCACACAACGATTTCCCAAGACCCCCATTTTCGTTGGTTAAACCATTTCCAGGCATGTTATAACTTATATCCACACTGGTAAAACCCGCTGTTAGTCTTCAACTACTGTATATTCAATCATCTCATGATCTTTGTTGCTGAATTTCTCAAAAAAAACATGGATTTTCATGGGTAAAACCTGCAATTTTTGGTGTTTCACCGAGCCTTTTTTTGTTGGTCCAGGTCCTACGCCCCGGACGTATCTCTGGAGCTTTTGCACTTGCTCTCCTCGTCCTTCACGGAATTGCGCGCCTTAGTGGAGGCTGGAGGGTCTATTCGTGGATGGGGCTGGGGGGTGCAGTTGCAAGTGAAACAAATAGTAGATACTCGTATATGCAATAATATGTGTATACAATTGTATATATATATATAACCATAGTAACTTATTATAGTAATCACAGTATATCATAGTTTTACAGTTCTGGTGATATTCTCATAATATAGGGGTTATGGTTATATCACAACTTATGGGAGTTATTGTGCCAAAATGATGTTCATGTTCATTCACCCCAAGCCCCAGGGATCTTGAAGCACATGAAATGGTATGTGCAGAAACAAATGCATGCGGATGACGGTCTTCGACGATGGGTTTCCTGTGAAAGTTCCCTCGGACAAATGACAAAGTCAAAGAATGGTTGAGACTGATAAGTTTTAGATTCGTCAGATGATGAACACGTAGCCATTGTTGTGGGTTTGGCATGTTTTGGCGGGTTTTCCCCAACATCTCCAGCCTGATTTGGAAGCGAGGCTGGAAAGTTGTCCTATCCCTACTCCACGCGCGAGTTGGTGAACCTGGTGCGTCACCTGCAGCAGTTTCCTGAAGACAGCTTAGCCGAGGTGATGGACTCTCAACTATGCTAAAGATGGTGCTCAAAAAGATGGCTTGGGAACAGAGTTGAACTGCTGGAAAGAAACATTTTAAGTCATTTTAAAGCCATGGGGGAAACCTTGAGCCCACTGGTGGAAAAAGTTTGCTGTTTTTTTCCCTCTCCCGTTCCTGAGCACCACCTGTTTGTTGATGGGGATTTGCCGTCCGACAGCCCACTTTTCATTATGGCTCATATGCCAAAAGCACCCAAAAGCGACTCACAATTTCCCAACCAGGTTTCCAGACAATTTTGAGTTTGCAGAATTTCTGTTTGATTGATGGTGCTTCCCCAGAGAGCCACACATCACAGTTTCATTTAGAACCTGGTAGGAAGTGCACCAGACTTCACTAGGTGATGCACGATTTTGGATTTTATGTTCATCTAAATTCCAAGCCTTCTTCTGGACTTGGCCTTATCATGGCCCTCGAGCCCCCCAAACACCCTCAAATTTCCACTGGTTTGGGAACTTCAACTACCGATTCCATCGGCCTCACAGCGAGGAAAACGTCTTCGCCTTCGATGTCTACGACCCCGAGCTTCGGCGTTTAGTCCTGGAGGTCTTCCAACGCCATGGCCTTGCCCTGGACCCGGTGAACCCGGTGGACCCGGCGCGTGGCCGTGGTCTACGACCCCGGCAGCTGCTGCAGCTGCTGGCTCCCAGGATTTGCGGGCAGCTGCGACGGGGTGAAGGCGAAGATGGGGATGGGGATGGGATGGGATGGCCGGGATGGCTGGTGATTTTAGGTGCTTCGGCAGTGCTTCAGACTGGTTCGAAACTGCGGGGCTTGGAATATGTTGGAATGATCCCACTTGGCGAAGTATTGGGATGGAAATCACAAACCAGTCGACCAGATTGCGCGACCTGGGGCGCCCATGGGAGTTTACATGAGTTTACATGTGTTGAAAACCCCAAAAAAGAAATACACCATGTGTGAAGGTTGGACTATGTTGGACTCCATTGGCAACCTCTTAGAGTTTGATTCAACTGTTGGGCAGTGCAAACAAAGTATTGATGCAAAACAAATAGCGATGTACACTCTTCTCCTGACGACTTGGCAGCGAAATTGAGGGCACCCAGAAAATGCATAGTTTCTGATAGTTTCAGATCTTCAACATGGCCAGTCCATGATTGATGTCCAATCTCCCTACGTCGATTGTTTAAATCTGCACCTTTTTCCGTGTTTTGATGCTTAGATTCCAATAGGTTCGCATAGTGTTGATGAACTTTGCATATTTTTCTACAATTTTGGTCATTGATTTCCAACATGCCCCACGATCGAATTCGACAAATAATAGATCCAATATTCCATTCGTTTTGTTGTCTTTAATTAAAGGTGAACTTCCTGATCAATTTTCGCCTGGTTTGATGAGTTTGATGGGAGAATTCCTCATCCTCCACAAAATCACCCTCCCAGGAGCTCCAGAGCCAGTGACCGTGAAAAGCTGCAGCCTGCAGCGGCAGTGGCGCCGAAGATGGCGTGGCGTTGCGGATCAGCCAGGTGGGAAATACCGGCAATGACTAGCAGTTTCCTATGGAAATCATCAAGTCTTCAAAAAAAACACGGGACACACACACACACATGTGTATTATATTAAGGGCTGCCGCCCCTGCCGCCGACCCCGGAAGCAAGTATGGTGGATTAGCTACATTTGGTTACTTGTTGAAGCAGGGAAATCTTGGTACCAACCTAAGAAATATATCAATTGCACCCTGCGAGTCGTAGATTCCGGGGTGCAATTTTTGAAGAAGCTGGGCCCCTTGGTATAGGGATTTTGCTGGTTCAACTGCTGCTGCTGGTGGCTGCTGATGGCTGCTGCTGCTGCTGCTGCTACTGCTGCTGCTCTTGCTGCCCACCTTCTAAAGCAAGAAACCAACAATCAGACACCTTTTTCGAGACACAGCCGAAACGGCAAAACACCACCTAATTTCGTGCCGAAAATGACGCAAAATCAATCGCAAGAACAGGTTCCCGGGGGCCGAAACGTCCCTTCTGAAATCCTACTAGAAACCCTCTCTTATCCTGCTATCCTGCTAGAAATCTAATCCAGTCCAATCCAATTTTGACTGCTGCGGCTGCTGCTGCTGCTGGTGGCTGCTGATGCAATAAACCAACAGGCACACATCTTTTTCGAGACACAGCCGAAACGGCAAAACACCACCTAATTTCGTGCCGAAAATGACGCAAAATCAATCGCAATAACAGGTTCCCGGGGGCCGAAACGTCCCTTCTGAAATCCTACTAGAAATCCTCTCGTATCCTCTTTTATATCCTCTCTTATCTTGCTCGAAATCTAATCCAATTGAATCCAATTTTGCTTTTTCGAGACACAGCCGAAACGGCAAAACACCACCTAATTTCGTGCCGAAAATGACGCAAAATCAATCGCAATAACAGGTTCCCGGGGGCCGAAACGTCCCTTCTGAAATCCTACTAGAAATCCTCTCGTATCCTCTTTTATATCCTCTCTTATCTTGCTCGAAATCTAATCCAATTGAATCCAATTTTGACTGCTGCTGCTGCTGGTGGCTGCTGATGGCTGCTGCTGCTGCTGCCGCTACTGCTGCTGCTCTTGCTGCCCACCTTCTAAAGCAAGATGGCTGCTGCTGCTGCTGCCGCTACTGCTGCTGTTGCCGAAAATGACGCAAAATCAATCGCAATAACAGGTTCCCGGGGGCCGAAACGTCCCTTCTGCAATCCTACTAGAAATCCTCTCGTATCCTCTTTTATATCCTCTCTTATCTTGCTCGAAATCTAATCCAATTGAATCCAATTTTGCTTTTTCGAGACACAGCCGAAACGGCAAAACACCACCTAATTTCGTACCGAAAATGACGCAAAATCAATCGCAAGAACAGGTTCCCGGGGGCCGAAACGTCCCTTCTGAAATCCTACTAGAAATCCTCTCGTATCCTCTTTTATATCCTCTCTTATCTTGCTCGAAATCTAATCCAATTGAATCCAATTTTGACTGCTGCTGCTGCTGGTGGCTGCTGATGGCTGCTGCTGCTGCCGCTACTGCTGCTGCTCTTGCTGCCCACCTTCTAAAGCAAGATGGCTGCTGCTGCTGCTGCCGCTACTGCTGCTGTTGCTGGTGCTGCCCACCTTCTAAAGCAAGAAACTAACAATCAGACACCTTTTTCGAGACACAGCCGAAACGGCAAAACACCACCTAATTTCGTGCCGAAAATGACGCAAAATCAATCGCAATAACAGGTTCCCGGGGGCCGAAACGTCCCTTCTGAAATCCTACTAGAAATCTTCTCGTATCCTCTCTTATATCCTCTCTTTTCTTGCTCGAAATCTAATCCAATTGAATCCAATTTTGAGTGCTGCTGCTGCTGCTGGTGGCTGCTGATGGCTGCTGCTGCTGCTGCCGCTACTGCTGCTGTTGCTGGTGCTGCGCACCTTCTAAAGCAAGAAGCCAACAATCAGACACCTTTTTCGAGACACAGCCGAAACGGCAAAACACCACCTAATTTCGTGCCGAAAATGACGCAAAATCAATCGCAATAACAGGTTCCCGGGGGCCGAAACGTCCCTTCTGAAATCCTACTAGAAATCGTCTCGTATCCTCTCTCATATCCTGTCTTATCTTGCTCGAAATCTAAGCTCGAAATCTAATCCAATTGAATCCAATTTTGACTGCTGCTGCTGCTGGTGGCTGCTGATGGCTGCTGCTGCTGCTGCCGCTACTGCTGCTGTTGCTGGTGCTGCCCACCTTCTAAAGCAAGAAACCAACAATCAGACACCTTTTTCGAGATACAGCCGAAACGGCAAAACACCACCTAATTTCGTGCCGAAAATGACGCAAAATCAATCGCAATAACAGGTTCCCGGGGGCCGAAACGTCCCTTCTGAAATCCTCTCGTATCCTCTCTTATATCCTCTCTTATCTTGCTCGAAATCTAATCCAATTGAATCCAATTTTGACTGCTGCTGCTGCTGGTGGCTGCTGATGGCTGCTGCTGCTGCTGCTGCTGCTGCCGCTACTGCTGCTGCTGCCGCTACTGCTGCTGCTCTTGCTGCCCACCTTCTAAGGCAAGAAACCAACAATCAGACACCTTTTTCGAGACACAGCCGAAACGGCAAAACACCACCTAATTTCGTGCCGAAAATGACGCAAAATCAATCGCAAGAACAGATTCCCGGGGGCCGAAACGTCCCTTCTGAAATCCTACTAGAAACCCTCTCTTATCCTGCTATCCTGCTAGAAATCTAATCCAGTCCAATCCAATTTTGACTGCTGCGGCTGCTGCTGCTGCTGGTGGCTGCTGATGCAATAAACCAACAGGCACACATCTTTTTCGAGACACAGCCGAAACGGCAAAACACCACCTAATTTCGTGCCGAAAATGACGCAAAATCAATCGCAATAACAGGTTCCCGGGGGCCGAAACGTCCCTTCTGAAATCCTACTAGAAATCCTCTCGTATCCTCTTTTATATCCTCTCTTATCCAATTGAATCCAATTTTGACTGCTGCTGCTGCTGCTGCTGGTGGCTGCTGATGGCTGCTGCTGCTGCTGCCGCTACTGCTGCTGCTCTTGCTGCCCGCCTTCTAAAGCAAGATGGCTGCTGCTGCTGCTGCCGCTACTGCTGCTGTTGCCGAAAATGACGCAAAATCAATCGCAATAACAGGTTCCCGGGGGCCGAAACGTCCCTTCTGAAATCCTACTAGAAATCCTCTCGTATCCTCTTTTATATCCTCTCTTATCTTGCTCGAAATCTAATCCAATTGAATCCAATTTTGCTTTTTCGAGACACAGCCGAAACGGCAAAACACCACCTAATTTCGTGCCGAAAATGACGCAAAATCAATCGCAATAACAGGTTCCCGGGGGCCGAAACGTCCCTTCTGAAATCCTACTAGAAATCCTCTCGTATCCTCTTTTATATCCTCTCTTATCTTGCTCGAAATCTAATCCAATTGAATCCAATTTTGACTGCTGCTGCTGCTGCTGGTGGCTGCTGATGGCTGCTGCTGCTGCTGCGCTACTGCTGCTGCTCTTGCTGCCCACCTTCTAAAGCAAGATGGCTGCTGCTGCTGCTGCCGCTACTGCTGCTGTTGCTGGTGCTGCCCACCTTCTAAAGCAAGAAACCAACAATCAGACACCTTTTTCGAGACACAGCCGAAACGGCAAAACACCACCTAATTTCGTGCCGAAAATGACGCAAAATCAATCGCAATAACAGGTTCCCGGGGGCCGAAACGTCCCTTCTGAAATCCTACTAGAAATCTCTCGTATCCTCTCTTATATCCTCTCTTATCTTGCTCGAAATCTAATCCAATTGAATCCAATTTTGCTGCTGCTGCTGCTCTGCTGATGACTGCTGCTGCTCTTGCTGCCCACCTTCTAAAGCAAGAAACCAACAATCAGACACCTTTTTCGAGACACAGCCGAAACGCAAAACACCACCTAATTTCGTGCCGAAAATGACGCAAAATCAATCGCAATAACAGGTTCCCGGGGGCCGAAACGTCCCTTCTGAAATCCTCCTAGAAATCGTCTCGTATCCTCTCTCATATCCTCTCTTATCTTGCTCGAAATCTAATCCAATTGAATCCAATTTTGACTGCTGCTGCTGCTGGTGGCTGCTGATGGCTGCTGCTGCTGCTGCCGCTACTGCTGCTGTTGCTGGTGCTGCCCACCTTCTAAAGCAAGAAACCAACAATCAGACACCTTTTTCGAGATACAGCCGAAACGGCAAAACACCACCTAATTTCGTACCGAAAATGACGCAAAATCAATCGCAATAACAGGTTCCCGGGGGCCGAAACGTCCCTTCTGAAATCCTACTAGAAATCCTCTCGTATCCTCTCTTATATCCTCTCTTATCTTGCTCGAAATCTAATCCAATTGAATCCAATTTTGACTGCTGCTGCTGCTGGTGGCTGCTGATGGCTGCTGCTGCTGCTGCCGCTACTGCTTGCTGGTGCTGCCCACCTTCTAAAGCAAGAAACCAACAATCAGACACCTTTTTCGAGACACAGCCGAAACGGCAAAACACCACCTAATTTCGTGCCGAAAATGACGCAAAATCAATCGCAATAACAGGTTCCCGGGGGCCGAAACGTCCCTTCTGAAATCCTACTAGAAATCTTCTCGTATCCTCTCTTATATCCTCTCTTTTCTTGCTCGAAATCTAATCCAATTGAATCCAATTTTGAGTGCTGCTGCTGCTGCTGGTGGCTGCTGATGGCTGCTGCTGCTGCTGCCGCTACTGCTGCTGCTCTTGCTGCCCACCTTCTAAAGCAAGAAACCAACAATCAGACACCTTTTTCGAGACACAGCCGAAACGGCAAAACACCACCTAATTTCGTGCCGAAAATGACGCAAAATCAATCGCAAGAACAAGTTCCCTGGAGGCCGGAACGCCCCTTCTGAAATCCTACTAGAAACCCTCTCTTATCCTGCTATCCTGCTAGAAATCTAATCCAGTCCAATCCAATTTTGACTGCTGCGGCTGCTGCTGCTGCTGGTGGCTGCTGATGCAATAAACCAACAGGCACACATCTTTTTCGAGACACAGCCGAAACGGCAAAACACCACCTAATTTCGTGCCGAAAATGACGCAAAATCAATCGCAATAACAGGTTCCCGGGGGCCGAAACGTCCCTTCTGAAATCCTACTAGAAATCCTCTCGTATCCTCTTTTATATCCTCTCTTATCTTGCTCGAAATCTAATCCAATTGAATCCAATTTTGCTTTTTCGAGACACAGCCGAAACGGCAAAACACCACCTAATTTCGTGCCGAAAATGACGCAAAATCAATCGCAATAACAGGTTCCCGGGGGCCGAAACGTCCCTTCTGAAATCCTACTAGAAATCCTCTCGTATCCTCTTTTATATCCTCTTTTATATCCTCTCTTATATCCTCTCTTATCTTGCTCGAAATCTAATCCACTTGAATCCAATTTTGACTGCTGCTGCTGCTGCTGGTGGCTGCTGATGGCTGCTGCTGCTGCTGCCGCTACTGCTGCTGCTCTTGCTGCCCACCTTCTAAAGCAAGAAACCAACAATCAGACTCCCTTTTCGAGACACAGCCGAAACGGCAAAACACCACCTAATTTCGTGCCCAAAACGTAGCAAAGGAACCCCGAAAAAGGGTCTAACGTCACTTCTGAAACCCTACTATAAAATTGCAACTTTGCCGCTGCCTGCCGCTGCCTGCCGCTGCCTGCTGCTGCTTGCTGCTGCCTGCTGCTGCCTCTGCTGGTGTCTGCTGCTGCCTGCTGCTGCCTCTGCTGGTGTCTGCTGCTGCCTGCTGCTGCCTGCTGCTGCCTGCAGCTGCCTCCGGCTGCCTGCGGCTGCCTGCGGCTGCCTGCCTGCTGCTCCCTGCTGCTGCCTGCTGCTGGTGCTGCTGCTGGTGGCTGCTGCTGCTGCTGCTGCTGTGGTGCTGCTGTGGTGCTGCTGCAATCAAACAGCCTCCAAAGCAAGAAACAAACAGCCAGACACCCTTTTCGAAACACATCCGAAACAGCAAAACACCACCTAATTTCGTGCCCAAAACGTAACAAAGGAACCCCAAAAAAGGGCCTAACGTCACGTCTGAAACCCTACTTAAAATTGCAACTTTGCCGCTGCCTGCCGCTGCCTACCGCTGCCTGCTGCGCCCTGCTGCTGCCTGCTGCTGGTGCTGCTGCTGGTGGCTGCTGCAGCTCCACAACGAAGTCAAATGCTGTCCCGAGGCTTGACGTCCCTTCCGAAATCCTAGAGAACTAGCTCTTCAACTAGCTCTTCAACTTACAGCTTCTGAGCCGCCAAAATTGTCGGACCCGCCAGCCTGACACACCATGGCAGTGAAGGACGAAGAAGCCACCAAATCGCACCAAAAAACTCCCTAACGTCCATTCTGAAATCCTAGCGACCTAGCTCTTCAACTAGCTCTTCAACTTACAATTTCTGACACGCTAAAACGCCGGACCCACCAGCCTGAAATACCAGGCAGTGAAGAACGAAGAAGCCACCAAATCACACCAAAAAACTCCCTAACGTCCCTTCTGAAATCCTCGAGATCTAGCACTTCAACTACCTCTTCAACTTACAGCTTCTGACACGCCAAAACGCCAGACCCGCCAGCCTGAAACACCATAGCAGTGAAGGACGAAGAAGCCACCAACCATGAACCCAAAAAAAGGGCAGGCGGGAAGGGCAACCCGAGGAGCCCCACGTACTTCGAGGAGACTCCGGGATGGACCCCCCACCGGTGAAACAAAAACCCCGGAGTCAGGGAATCGAGGTACGTGACCGGTGGGAGGGGGACCCAACAGAGTCCCCCGGCAAAGGGTCATGGTTTGTTGTTGTTGGTTGTTGTTTCTTGTTATTTATTGTTGTTTGGTGTTGTTTGTTATTGTTGTTTGTTGTTGTTTGGGTTTATGTTTGTCTTTGTGGTTGTTGTTGTTCTTGTTCTTGTTCTTGTTGTTGTTGTTGTTGTTATTGTTGTTGTTGTTGTTCTTCTTGTTGTTGTTGTTCTTGTTGTTGTTGTTGTTGTTGTTGTTCTTGTTCTTTTTGTTGTTGTTGCTGCTGTTGCTGTTGCTAGTTCTGTTGCTGTTACTCTTGCTCAATGCTGCTGCTGCTGCTGCTGCTGCCTCACATGCCTGCTGGCTGCTGCAAGTATGCCTGCTGGCTGCTGCAAGTCCTTTTCTTCCATCTTCTTCCCTTACGCGCTCCCCCTTGCGTCGGCCGGGGTCGGCGGATATCCTTCATTAACACCATGATGATTGATGGATAATGATCAATATACCATCATCATTATACCATCAATATACCAGGTAGTGGTAGTGGTAGTGGGACCGCTGGCTCCTGGCCGCTGACTACTGGCTGCCTGTTGCCTGCTCACTGGATGCTGGCTAGCTGGCTGCTGGCTCCTGGCTGCTGCTTACTGGCTGCTGGCTAGCTGGCTGCTGGCTCCTGGCTGTTTTGATCTCTGCTGTTGCTGCTGCTGTTGTTGTTGTTCTTGTTGTTCTTGTTGTTGTTCTGGCTGCTGGCTCCTGGTTGCTGACTACTAGCTGACTACTAGCTGCCTGCTGCTGCTGCTGCTGCTGCTCCTGCCGTGACATGAACCAGCCTCCAAGGCACGAAACCAACAGCCAGACATCGTACGCGAAACCATTCGCAATAACAAGTTCCCCGGACGCCGGAACGTCCCTTCTGAAATCCTACTGGAAAGAAATCCTCCAATTTTGACTGCTGCTGCTGGCTGCTCTTACTGCTAGTGCTGGACTCGCTGCTGCCGCTGCTACTGCCACTGCCGCTGCTCTTGCTGCTAGTGCGGCTAAACTTGCCTGTCTTTGCTTGTCTTATTCCCTGGCGCGCTCCCCCTTGCGTCTGCCGGGGTCGGCGGATATATAGATATTTCAGATTGTTTCAGCATATGTCAACATATTTCCGCCCAATTTCAACATATTTCATGTAATTATATATGTAATTCCATTTTTGGGATGTTTCAACCAACAGCTGCGTGGCGCCCCAGGAGGTCCCTGTCGCCTCAGGCGATGCAGGCGCTGAGTGGCAGCCTTTGGAGCTGCACTCGGCTCGCGCGCGGCGATTCTCGGAGGAGGCACGGAAAACCCATCCGCTGAAACCTTCCGGAGATCCCGCATCGTTATATCCCATAGGATCCATGGTGCTGCTATATATGGTAACATGGATCCCATCAATATACCCCAGTCATGTTAGCATATATACCAGCACCATGGATCCTATGGGTATAGTCATTGTTAGTCTAGAAATCCGGGAAATATATAAATTATGGATTTCTGTGAAGATTTTTTGATGAACTCCACTGGATCCAAATTTTTGGAGGACTGGCAGGTATGTCACCATGCTAGAAATATACAGCTGCGCTATGCCACGAGAAGATGTCATTAGTGTCACGGCCACTGTCTTCACCCTGCTTGATGTTTGGGCCAAAACCACAGTCAAGACATGGTGCACAAAAAGAGTGAGAGCGCATTTCAAGGGCAAGCAGTTTTTGGTAAATGGATATTTCAGAATTGAAACATCGTATAAGTATGTATAAGTTATGTACAAGTCCAAAACGTCTAAGTTGTCTAAGTTATAGTTGCTGGTTCTATGAATTCTATCCCATTTTGTTTCACACACATATATATATATATGATATCATAACCAAGAAAAAAAAACAGATTTGGCACGTTCTATCCCATTTCCATCTAACCATGGTTTCCTTTTCCATATCCCCAAATTTTCATCCAGGAGCTCTGGTTTCGAATGGGCTCCGTGACCAAGGACGGCGTGTTGATCCGTGGTACCTCGGTGTTCACCGTCGCGGGGTCGTGTGAGCTAGTCATCCACAATTTTTAGTAGGTAAATATGGAAAATGATCTATAAATGGGCCATAGCTTCCATAGCCTAATAGCTATGTTAAATCACCAGGGTAGTTCAACTAAATGGTTTGTTCATGAATTCCATCCCCTCAACATAAATACTGCACATTTGAATACACCCCTTTTCTCTGACCCCAAATGTTCCAAGTTGGTAAAGCCCCCTTGATATGTGCAAATTTGACAGCATCCCTTCTCGACGATCCGAGGACAAAATCCATTGACAGGATCCTGGTTGGGTAATTTGCTGTCGATGGCTGCGGCGGAAAGCACGCTATGCGTCCTGAGCAGCCAGCACCTTGGAGCTCAACGGCTGTGGGTCCACTGAAAAGATGCAACGAAGTTGTTCTACTCAAGAGACGAAGGGGCAGCAGAGAGGGTTGGATTTCGATTCTAAATCTTGGAACCCTTGGCATTCTAAATTGCATTCTGCATTGCATCATTGCATGCTTTTGACAGAGAACCATGCAATCTTGAGGGGTGATTTTAGGGTTGCCGAGATGGACAGCTTTCAGAGAAGAGAGGAGTGTTCCATCATGGTTCACCAGATATAACAGCAGGTTCCTTCCCCTTGCCTGCAGGTATCTGGTAAATCCATGTAAATCCGAATAGGCATAGCAAGTTCAACAATTGTGACATGCCAGCTGACCCACAGGATGATCCTGGACGTCTACGACTTGAAAACGAAGCAATGCCGGCAGCTGCCATTGGCAGCGAATGGGCATCGCGCCTTGCATGGTGTCACTGCAAACAACACTGCCATGGTGGCGTTACCAGGTGAAGGTGTCGGCGGGGGCCTGCTTTGCATGGGATATGCATAGTGATCTCCCACAAAAAAAAGGTAAAGGTAGGTAGTTAGTCACTCGGCCACACCATTTTCACTTTATTTTCAAAACATCATTCAGGTGGTGTGTTGAAGTCAACACTGAACTGAACCACATCCATGTTTGGCAATTTTTGGTAACATCAAACTTTGAATGAATGTGGTAATTCAGCATATTATATATATATAATTATATATATATATATATTTAAATTTATATAATTATATAAATTATATATATATATACATACATATATATGTATAATATATTATAAAATATACAATACAACATTATCTTGTATTTTATCATATTATATTTATAGTATATTCACAAGTGAAGGCCTTAGGACCCACATGGACCAAACCCAGCATGATTTGACTTCGACGGCAGGTTGCCTCTGTGCCTATGATGCCCGGCAGGGATCCCTGCTGCGCATCTGGCCGCGCTCTGGGGAGGCAGAAGCCTTTCAGCTGACTCTGGCATCCCATGGGGCGGTGAAGCTACAGCCGTGGCATGGCGAGTTGTTGATCTATGCCGAAGGAGGGCAGGAGAGAAGCTGGGTTGGCGAAACGCCGTTGGCAGCCCCAGTTCTGGCCGTTGGCAATTTGGAGATTTGGAACGTGTTGTGACAGTGTTGTGTTCATTTAAAGGTCGGTCCGGCCTCCCATTCAGCCAGTGGGCAGGAGCTGGTTGTGGCAGACATGGAAGGAGCGGCAGCCAGACTTGAAGTGCATCTGCAGCTTGGCCTGGAAAGCCGTGAAATACTTGTAGCAACTTGCTCCTGTTACACGTTGCTGCGTGATTGCCTTGATTACAAACTTGATTCCAACACCTCAACGTTGGGTTGCTGATGTCGACCTAATCGTCCATTGTCCTTGCGCTGAGGACTGGTGGCCTGCGGAGCGTGGACGTCTTGAGCGACTGCAGGTTGATGTTGAGCTCTTCGACTGAGCGCTTGGAGCTCACTTGGCCAGGCAGATCGTGGCCGCGGGGCCCGGGGCTTGGGAGTCCTGACCTCTTCAGATCGGAGAATTTCATGCCAGGCAACTCGACTGGACGCATGGATGTCAAGGCGCCGGTCCGCTCTGGTTCTCATTCAGAAGTGTCTCAGTACTCTTCCTGTGTCAGGGCAGTTGTGGAACATTGTCCATGAGTCATATTTTAGATTTGAGATCAATGGATCCATCATGGATCCATATATACTTATCTTTGTCTTATGCCATCATAATTATGTATCATATTTGGGGAGTAAGAATTTCCCATCTCACGTGCCTTCGTCAGTGTTGGTGTCGCCGTTTTTTTTCACATGACTTGGCAGGTCGTCTCGGTGACCTTGGACGTTGATCCACATTTTGTTTCACATCCACTACCCGCAAGTCAGCTGCAGCTGCCAGATCATTTGCAGTCAGCTCCCATTTGCTTGAGCAGCTCATGTTTTCTTTGCTTTTGATCATTTTGCGGAAGTGACAGTAATTATAGTTATTTTCCTGAAAATATTGGATCACTTCATGAGGAAGAGCGAGAAGCACCCCTCTCAGATCTCTCAGCGCCGCATAGCCATCCCTCTCCAAGGTCCTCCATGGGCGGGCACAGCCACGGCCACGTCATGTCCGATGGATCCATCGGCTCCAGCGGGCGCCATGGACTGCTCAGTCTGGGTTTGGATCTGGGCATGGCCTCAACGCCCATCTGGGAATATCCACGGCGCGAGGCGCTGCTGGCATATCTGCGGTCACAGATGGAGGCGGAGGATTTCGCGCTGGAGGTGGATGTGGCACCTCGAAGGACGTTTGGGGCTGGATGGGGTGGATGGGGTGGATGGGGTGGATGGGGTGGATGGGGTGGATGGGGTGGATGGGGTGGATGACACAAACATATTCAAAAATGACTCAAGGGATCTCAAGGGATTCAGGGATTCGCACCCCCAGGTTTTGATTGGAGATGAATCGTGGATCCTTCTGAGTGCAAACCCCTTCTTAGATGGCTGCTGAGATGATCTGAGATGATCTTCAAGGTTCCGGCTATGGGTTTCCTCCCATGAGCCATGTCAATGGCCATGGGGCCAGGTCAATACCTATCACAGCATGAGCCCCCCAGCTATTTGGGATGATTTTGCTCTGAAAACCACAGAAATTCCATGGGTTTTTCCACGTTTTTCCAGACCTAGGCCTTGGTTTCTTGTTGGCACTCAGCGTCCAACAGCTTGATCTCTGTCTTCTCCCCTGTGGGCGACTCCCCATTGCGTGCCAGGTGCGCGGCCTAGTAGCCTACGCCTAGAATATCCTAGAATCAAAGGATTGCTGGGGAAGATCTGCGGAAAATCCATGGTTTTTATTTATAGATGTTTTTGATCTCAAAATTTGGAGGTTTCCGGATGATTTTCCGGTACACCAATGCTGGAACAGAAATGTGGGCGATGTTCCTGTTGAAAATGCCAAGGTTTCAGCTTAGCATAGGACAGAATGCTTGTGAGTGTACCGCTTGGATTGTTGTATTGTTCAAGACTTCATGCTCCAAAGAAGGGCTGTTTATGCACTGTATTCTTTCGAAAATAAGACCAACTCATCTTGCGTAGCATCAGATCTTTGACCTCTGATTCATAGCGTTCAGACTGACTCATACCGACTCATACCCATTTTTGCCACTTGATATCGTTCATTGTTGTTGGAAAATTATGTTGTATCCCATGTTGTGTCGTTAACATATGTGGTAGTATACTTAATTTTATTGACATATTGTCTGTATCATGTGTGAACACAGAATGGGCATTCATACTAGTCATGCGTACCCACACAGGCATATGTATATATATATATAGATTCACTGTCTATGTATAATCGTACTGAGTAACTGCACACGCACGCACACACACGCATATCTATACGCAAAAAATAATTATATCTATACATCACGTGTATTCATTTAGATTCAGATATTTGTGATTCATGGTTTTCTAGCATCTAGAATCACGTAACAGCTATCTACACACACACATATATATATATAGATAGATAGATAGATAGATAGATAGATAGATAGATATATAGGCAGAGAGATTACCAGGTATGGCATGCTCTACCTGGAAGCCCTGAACGTCTCCAGCTCCATGCTGCGGCGTGTGCTGCTGGGAAAGGTCCCAGGCTTGGGGTCCCAATCGCAGGCTCAGCCAGGGCCAGGGACTGATAGTTCCTTAGCAGAGCCTGGGACTTCAGATTGGCTGAGTCGATAATAAAGTGGATCTTTTGTCGGAAATTCACTAAATTCACAATAATTTTTGGGGAATCCCGTAGGGAATATACCATCTGGTAAACGTTTACATAGCTATGGAAGGATCCACCATTTTTAATGGGTAAATCCACTATTTCTATGGCCATTTTCAATAGCTACGTTAAATTACCAGAGGGTATGGGAATATAATGGGCCCATGGAATACATGTTTTCCTTTTTTGGGATGATCTTCAACACATATCAGTCCGGTGAAAGTGGAGGATGAAAGCTGAGAAATGCGGGGGTATTTTGCCCCTGAAAATCCTAAAAACATGGGACACCGAGGGCGCCTGATTTCTGGTGCCAAAGTACTTCCAGTGGCAGTCCCCAAGTTCAATTATGTTCCATAATTGACTTGTGCAGCATCCTGTGACTACAGCATATCCTGTTATTTACTGTTGTATCGTAATGTCATATGATTTCATATTTTTTTGCAGAAGAAATCATGCCAACATCCTGATTATACCGATGGTGTGTTTTGAAACCTCCATATTTTCAGGGCGCTTCCTGGAATGAGGTTAGGACCAGAAAGGTGTTGGGTTCTCTTTCACAAATCCTAGGTGGGTGCAGTGCAGCCTCATGATTTTGTATGATTTTGCGTTGTCCAGCCATCCAGCCATCCAGCGAAGATGCTGAGGATCAAGGGCTCCTGCTCACCAGACGCAAGGTTCCTGACAGGGTGCAGCATGTGGAGATGCCTCAGTGCCTGGCTGTCTGCGAGTTGGAGGATGGACGCCTGGCCCTGCTCTTCGCGGATTCACACGTGCGTCACCTGGAGCTTGTTGGATCGGTGCTCCAAATATCGAGGAATGGTTCTCCTCTAAGGAATTTGGGAGGGTCTTGACATGTGAAGTTTTTCGGTCCAACAGTCATTTCCCGATGTTCCTGAGCAGGGGTTGAAGGTATGTTTTTGGGAGGTTGAAGCTTGGGAAGGAGGGAGTCTTTATCCGGTTAAACTTCATCTTCGTAGGAGAAATCTGCAAAAAATTGCTCCTTGAATTTTTTTCGCAAGATGCAAGATTCCGAGTAGATATGGCACCTGGGACCTGGCACCATCAGATTTATTTCGGGTTATCAATCAGGTGTTGGCATCAGCAGCGTAAGGAGACCGAGGTTTCCCCCCGGTTGCCTGCAGGCATCCTGGAGTTGCGCGCAGACTCCTTGGCTTTGCAAGAGGCTCTCTACAGTAGCATGTTGGGTCGCCCTGGGAAGGAAGATCCAGAAATGGTGGAGGAAAACTTGGAGTTTGACGAGTTGCTTGGATTTGCTGCAGATCAATCGTCATTTTCCCATTGGTGCATCCACCTTTTGGGGAAATCTACTGGGAACCAATCCAAGGCTGGAAGAGGGAGAAGATGACTTGGAGGACTTTGAGGATGACGGTCAAGATGATGAACCTCGGGATTTGCAAACAAATGCCAATCTTTCAGCCATACCCAGGGAACGGTATAGATACCCCTTTCAGTTTATAAAAATAGATGCTTTATCGGTCATTTCTACATCACCTACCCCCCAAAAAAAAGGAAGAATTACTGTATAAATCACACAAAAATAGATGGTTTATAAAAACAGATGGTCTACAAAGACAGATGGTTTATAAATCATCCATTCCCAAACGAATTCAAGGATTCTACCAACGATGGTGCTGGAGCTTCGGGCGGCCGCGGCTCCGGCCGCCGCGGCAAGGGCGGCCGTGGCGGCCGCGGTCGCAAGGGCCAAGGGGGCCGCGGCAGCGGCAAGGGCAGCCTAGAGTTCCGAGTTGGTATCCTTTTTTTTTCTTGGCCTTAATTGGGCTTTCCTGAAATGGAGGTACCCCAATCATCCAATAGCTGGATCAACTCCCAGGCAGTGGGAAATCAGATGCAAAGCGAGCGGAAGCAGAGAAGGTGATCAAAGAGGCGAGAGAACGAGCAGCAGAAGTGAGAAAGATCCAGAAGATGAAGTTGGAACTGATGCTTGGCTTGACCATGGGCCATACTCACCATATAATTCATTTTTGAATATTAAAATTAAATATATATATATATATAATATATATATAATATTAATATATATATATTGCGTTATTGAATATGTAAGATTGATGTGCCAGGGGATTATATGGGATAGAGTGAATATAGCACCAGTTGCTAGTCACTACTTATTTAGAGGTACAGGCCGACTTCGAGGATCATATTAGTTGGCCTTTGGATGAATTTTGGTACAAGATCGCATTGGGAAGAACATGATTTCCAACAGCATTTTGTTTCAGACTTGCATGATGTTTCCCATATATTCCCATATAATTTTGCATACAATATTATGTGTTGTTAGAATATTATATAATGTTCATACGCAGATCTGTTCCAGCAAAGGCCCTACTGTCTTAGGCCAGGCTCAGTACCTGGCTCTCACAGGAAGGACTTCGATCATGCCAAGTATGACGAACTCTTCAAAGTGGTGGAGAAAGAGATCATGCGCTTCCTCCATTTGCTGAAGATCATTTGGCAAAGCCACCGGAAATGGGGAATCTACTGGGAATATTTAGGCATTTATTTTTTGGAATATTTGGGAGTATTCACCCCGCTTCGCGTGGGGTGGCCGCCCACACCGCAGGTTTATTTCGGTCCGTGAGAGGGGCTAAGGGTGGTTTTCCCCCGTGGGGGCTCTTCAAGCTAAGAAGTTTCAATAAGAAATCCTTCCAAAACATTGTTTTTGACAGTGTGTTTCCAATGTTTCCAGTCAAACAGACGGTAATTTACACGTTTTTTGCCATAAAGGCAGTAAATCCTTCCAAAACATTGCTTTTGACAGTGTTTTTGTAATGTTTCCAGTCAAGCATACGGGAATTTACACGTTTTTTGCTATAACGTCAGTCCAAAACACTTGTTTTTGCAGTGTTTTCAATGCTCTGGCATCCAAAAACCCTGCAAAATCTTGCTATGTACAATGTTTTTTTCATTTTTGACCGTTTTTCCATTGCCGGAAAGCTACCAAAATGACCCAAAATTCCATTTCAATACCCTCTTGCGCTCAGACACCCAAAAATCCTCGAAAAATGTCGAAAACACCACCGTATTCTGGTCTCGGTGCGAAACCGTTTTGGCCCCCCCCCCAGCTAAAGCTGATATAGCGACTGCTATATTAACAAATGTCATTGAGCATTTAGTGTTGCTGTTGCCCCCCAATAAGCACGCCTTCACCGCCAAAGCGGTGTGGGCGGATTTGGGGAACCTACTGGGACTCTATGGTACATGAACCTATTGATATCTATTGGGGAATATGTGGGGAAATGATGAGAAATGTCAGCCCCAGCAGCTCAGCAATCCAAGGCAACTACGAGTTATTCTCCAATCCATTGAAGCCAGGGAACGAGAACGAACTTGGCTACGTGGGAAGGTGCTGGGAGAGTTCCTGGTCGATGTGAGGATGATCAATCCGAATCGATGTGTGGGGTGCAGGGTGGAACCACAGATCCCATGCAAAAACTTGATAAAACTTGTGCAGTTCAATTCTCCACCAGTTTTTTTTTGTGTTTTTTTCTTCCCTGGGATCCGGATCTGTTGTTTTTCTCAACACACTCTTGCCGTTTTTCGACAACGGTTCTGTTGTCTCACTACTCAGCTAAGATGGGAATCACTGGGGTGAGACATTCTCCCCAGTAACTGGTAACTGGTGCAAGGAGAGACGGGACCCCCCCGAATCTTGGTCTGTGAATCTCGTCCCTTCATAAGCAACGGGAACTGAGTGAAGCTCCAGCCCAGTTTTTTATAAACACATTTTCCGACTGAAACGTATTGGTCTCAAGAGGACATCATTGCAGGTTTCATTGGTTTTTAGTTTGACCAGTAACTTGTAATGATCACTTGGGGTCCCTAGAATATCCTAAAATGGCTGAAGAAAGCAAGCATATCCACCAGTTCCACCAGCGGCCCAGGTTTGATGACAACAAGATCGTGGATTTGGCCATTGGCGAGAAGAACGTCTTCAAACGTCGTGGCCAACGCGAAGACCACAGCTTTCTGGCCAGGGGCTTTGGGCATGTTTGGGCCGGGGGTTGGAAACCCGAAACCCATGGGATTTTTGATCGCCAGCTGAGATAAGTACTTGAGTGATAACCAACTGGTGCTTTCAGACCTTAAATTTGCGCTTTCTGTGGCATCAATGCCTCCAGGCTTCCACCAAGCCATGCCATGCCCGGCCCGAGGTTTCGGGTCCTATGGATCCCTGAGAGTTCAATGTGCTAAATCCCACAATGTTGTTTGGCAAAATACCAATTCTAGTTGGTCAAAATCCCAATGCTCAATGTTTCTCGGTGAACTTGCATTTTTTCTTCACCCCACCAGGAACATATTTTTTCATGAATTTCCCAAATTTGAAGCCTATGGTTTTGGGCTACCCGGCTACCCCCAATAGGAAAGCTCCAAATGATCAGAGACCTTTCCCATTCATGGGTAATTTCATCTGATACTTTGGAGGTTTCCTATTTCCTATTATTGGTAATGTTCAGAAATTATTGGGATTGGAAATTTCCTATTTCCCAACCGGAAATTGAGAGATGGGAACAATGTCCCTGATTTCCTTTCATTATGAAATCTATTCCCTATCATGTTCTTTCTTGATTCCATTTCCATCTATTTCCTTAGCCTATCCCATAGGATCCATGTATGCCATATATGGTAACATGGATCCCATCACCGGAAACCCCCTTTATGTTACCAAAAAAATACCAGCACCATGGATCCGTCATGGCTATGGTAATCCCATCCATGATTTCCCCATCTTTCCCGAAATTCCCGGTGGATATTTTTTTCGGTCCTCCAATCAATGGCCATTTCAGGATCCTAGATTGGAGGTACCTACCATATATTTTTGGCCTATTTTTCAGGCCTAAATTTCAGGGAATATCCCCACAAAATATGGTGTTATATGGTACTAACGTACCTCCATTTTAGGATCCTGGATTTCCCATTGATCCAAGGAATCCAAGGGGCCCCCGAGGTTTCCTCCAAGCCCTGCCCAAGCGCTTGTCCTTCGTGGTGGACGTGAGCGGTTCCATGGCCGTCTTTAACGGCGACGGCCGGTTGGATCGGCTTATGGCCACGATGGTGACCCGTTGGAAGGAACGGTGAAGGGTGGTTTACCCTCTGGTAAACTAACATAGCTATTGAAAATGGCCATTTATAGTGGATTTACCCATTAAAAATGGTGATTTTCCATAGCTATGTTAAATTACCAGAAGGTACAGGATGGGGCCCCCAAGATCGCCAAGTCAGCGAAGTTGCCTCAAAAGTGGCTGAAATCTATGGTTTATGAAAGTTTATGGTAGATACAACTACAGTTAATGGGCTTTATAAACCAACTTAAAAACTGGGGGGCACCATCCTGTAGATATTATATATATATGGATGATCAACTATGGAATCTACTGTGTATATATATATGGTTCATCAACTATGGTTACATAACTATGGTTAACTATGGGAAACATATTAGGTTTTATTTGGTTTAACATATGGGATAATGATAGGATACATATTAAAAAATATTATAGAGATATTCCCTGCAGTCATTGATTCTAGATATATTATCATCTATGGTTGATGGACTGTTGATGGGATGATGAATGGGATGTAGCCTCTGGCTTCAAGAATGGCCTGCTGGAACATCTTCCAGAGGGGATAACCCCAGCGAACTAAACCTCCATTTCCTTCGGGGATTTCCCAGCTAGCCACGTTTGATTGCCGGGGGGTAGACGCTGGGATACAGAATGGCGATGGATAGTGGGATATGTATTTGGGTGATTCGTGGTATATCAGTATATCCATCAAAGCCTCAACAAACCACGGTATGGCACGTATTCCTTGGATATAACTTGATGTCTACTTGTGCCAAACATAGTCAAAATGAAGCATCAAACATGGGAATTGATTTCAATTAGAATGGGAATATGATTGGATATAGATGGATATAGACCTGGCGGGCGGTTCAATCGATAATTGACAATCAATACATCGGGATATGACTCATTGGTCTATTGGGGATTTGTGAGGATGTAATGGGATCTATTTGGGATGTATAGTGGGACGTAGAACCAACAATTTATCTGGGCAAATCATGATGGTTTGGAGTTAGGGTTCATCATCCCAAAAAGTTCACACACATATGACATACACCGTACCATATAACATTACATACATAAAACTACTGATGTCTGATTTGGGAATTACAATTTTCATTGCCGAGATTGGAGGTTGAATTTAGGGGACTTTTGGGAATCATGAGATGAGAGCACCATCCCATGCGACATGGCGTTGCCGCGACCGGCACCAGCTGATCCCCAAGGTGATGATGATGGAAAGCTTGGTGGGCTTGGAGCACAAGCCCCTTGGCGAAAAACACGCCTTGCCTTGCTGAGGTGACATCTGTTGTCTTATGAATTTCCATTCGTATTGGGGATCTTGGGGAAGAGGTTCTCCCCGCCAGTCTGAACAATCTCAAAAGAACGTATACCTAGTATAACGGCAGGTAGGCTTTTTAAAAGTTTCAATACATCTCTCAAACCAGCAACCGTCCAGGAGATCGAATGATCATTATGTTGGTGACTGAAAGTCTGGGGGAGAAACCCTTTCTGATTTGGGATTTCAATCCTATTTTGTTTTCTTTTATATACAATGTCAACCCTGGATTAATAAACCCCTAGGTTGTTTAATTGGGGGGATACCATTTAAGTATCAGATTATGACTATTGGGGGAATACCCCCCTAATTAATAAACCATGGTTTATTAATCCGGGGTTGACATTATATATATATAATTTGATGTTTCCTGGTGCTTGAAACAATTTATGAAGATTATCCCCCTGGACTAGAATCTCTGACATTGGTTGAAACAAGAAACCACGTCAAATTCTGGTGACACAACCGCTCTTGCTGATGACCTCTCCATTCTTTAGTGTTTTTGAACCATGTTTTCAATTGTGTCTGTCATCTATATCAAGTTTATCTCCAAGCATCTGCTGTAATTTCCCATGCCACACGTGTGGCTATCCATCTGCATAGTCAAATGCCAATCTACCTACACAAATACCAATCTACCTGCCTATCCATCTACCTGAATTCTACCTGATCTACCTACCAATTCTCCATTAATCTCCCAACGTCCCTGCTATCCTGCTGTCATCAGGTACATCTACGAGATCATCGGCCACAGCGGGGAAAGTGACTGGTTGCCCTTCGTCAAAATGGGCGAGGCGCCCAAGGATCGCGTGGAGCGTTATGCCGTGATCGAGGCCATGACTGACCATGCGGCCACAGCCAGAAGTGGGGACAACACGCTGTCTGCTGGGGTCACCTGATTCGAATGGAACGTTGTGCAATATGAAAACCTATACAGTTTTCTGAAGATATCACCCTTAAAATCAATAAAATCATCCCAATTTAGGAATCTGCGGCAAACCTCCTTTACCTTTGATGTTAATTGAAACCCAGGGCTTCCAGATTTTCCCATAATCACCAATGAGCAACGGCTGGATCTACCCAAGGTCAAGGCTGTTCAGGAGATGCTTGGCGTGCTGACGTGGTCATCGCTGGTAAAAGGTTACTAAATGGGTTGACTATGGTTGACTGGGATCTGGCTAAATACTGGTGCCAAATTCTAGTGATCTCAGCAGACAGTAGCAGACATCACTACAGATTTATGTCTTTCATTTGAAACTATCCCTCAAATTTGTTGGAGAAAACACATCAGACTACGTGTGATGGGATGGCATTCGGTTGTTTGATGACTGCCGAAACTTGACAGTTTCGGCGGCATGATGTGGCATGGGTCCATCATGAGGCCCTCTTCCAACATGAGTCCGACATGCCCAGACCCAAGCAATGAGCAAGTAGGTGTGCATGTTGATGTCCGCAATACCAACTGAGAAGATCATCCCAAGACTTCCATGACTGTGTACATACCATTTGTATCATGACTCACTACATCACACTTTTTCCACCTTCCTACATATTGAGACCGCACTACCATCACTACCCAGGTCCCACCAGGCAGTGTACCCGAAGCCATGCCGAGGATAGTGAAACATGAAGCGGATGACTTCTTTGTTTTCCTGGTCTCTGACGCCAACCTGCGAGGAACCCACGGGGTATGGTTGAGATGAGAATGTCTCAGAATCTGCAGGAGAGAAATCCAATGATTTATCATAGTTTATCATGTTACCGTGGTAGCACCACCATGCACCACCATTTACCACCATTTTCTGGATCTTGTTTGTACAGATTCGATGTTGGCAGGGCCACCTGCTGGCCGCCTGCTGAACCTCCGGGATGG